CTGTCCATCCCCCAGCATCAACTGCCAATAATGCCTCAGAGCTAGGGGCGGGGCCTCGGGAGCCCCTCCCCGCTTCATGCGGGAACTTTTGACTGGCTTGATTTGTACAGATCGCACAATAGTTCCATGTGTACATGCAACCGTGTCGTGCCTGAGGACAGCGTTTCACAGCTCCCTCCCCCTTTGCTGGTTCTTACAGCCTTTTGCTTCCTCCATGGACAACGCCTCCGCATTTCGGGGAAGTTTCTTTCCTATTTGTTTCCTGCCTGTTTCCTTCCCCGCCCCTTTGAATAAAGTAAAAATCTATTCTTATTAAAATGTATTTATTTTTTATTTGAGGTGTATGGGGGTTTGCCTGCATATATGCCTGGGCCACCACATATACGCCTAGTGTCTGCAGAGGCCAGCAGTGGGCGCTGGAGCCCCTGGGACTGGCACTGTAGACAACTGTGAGTGCACTATGTGCATGCAGTGCCCCTGGAGGCCAGAAGAGGGCCTCAGATCCTCTGGAATGGGAATTGAAGATGGTTGTGAGCTGCCAAGTGGGTGCTAGGAACCGAACCCAGGTCCTCTGCAAGAGCAACAAGTACTCCTGATTTCTTAGCCAGCTCCCCAGCCCCCCACTTCTCTTCTTTAAACATGGGTCCTCATGCTTGAGGGCAAGGGCTTTACCCACTGGGCCATCTCCCCATCTCCGCACGTGTGTTTATTAGTGCATACTGCCTCACTCCTCCATTCTGTTTCTTAAACACACACACACACACACACACACACACACACACACACACACACACACTCTTGGCTGGGCGGTGGTGGCGCACGCCTTTAATCCCAGCACCCGGGAGGCAGAGGCAGGTGGATCTCTGTGAGTTCGAGGCCAGCCTGGGCTACAGAGCGAGATCCAGGACAGACACCAAAACTACACAGAGAAACCCTGTCTCGAAAAAACAAAACACACACACACACACACACACACACACACACACACACACACACACTCTCTTACTAAAACTTCAATCAGTTTACAGTATGTTTTACTCTGGTGTCATGTTAGTGCAAATCATTTCCTCCCTATTGTACTTATTTATGTGTTTGTTTACAGATAACGTCTCACTCGGTAGGCTGGCCTCAAACTGACCATTCTCTTGCCCCCCCCACCTGCCTCCTGGGGTTATGGGTGTCCACTACCTCCCCATCTCTTACGTGACTTTCTTTTCCGGCCACTTTAGTGTACCGTAGGTGGGATCCAGTCAGAACTCGAAGATGTTTCTGTGGCGGGTTGGCATAACAGTTGCTATCCTCTCTTTAGTAGAGAATGCTGGGTAAATACTCTCCTTCATTCTCTTTTAGAACGAGTGAAAGGATTTCTCTGTGGAGTTTCAGGTTCACACAGTAGATATATTAAGTCTGACAGATGTCACACTGTCTTGAAGTCATACCTTCTCTGGTCTTGTACAGGGAACCTGTTTCCTTTTGTTATCAAATTTCACACTATATAAAACTTCACAGTTTTGACAATATGGCTGTCAATGCTTTTTTATTATTTTCATTTCTGGGGAGAAAAAAGCCCAGACTGGCCTTGAACTCAGGATTCCCCCTTTCAGCCTCTGGAGTACTGGGGTTATAGATGTGTATACACCCAGCTGGCTTTGTTACATTTAAAACAACTCCAGAAAGGTGTCTCTGACTCTGCACAGTGCAGATGAGAAGTACATCTTTCCTTCCTTCCTTTCTCCCTCCCTTCCTTCCTTTCTTCCTTCACCTTAAGGCTGTGTTTCTCTGTGTAACAGCCCTGGCTGTCCTGGAGCTCGCTCTGTGTATCAGGCTGGCTTCGAACTCACAGAGATCCACCTGTCTCAGCCTCCTGAGTGCTGGGATTAAAGGTGTGCCCCACCTGGTGTGAGAAATACATCTTTTTCTCTTCTCTCTCTCTCTCTCTCTCTCTCTCTCTCTCTCTCTCTCTCTCTCTCTCTCTCTCTCTCTCTCTCTCTTTTCCGAGACAGGGTTTTTCTGTGTAGCTTTGGAGTCTGTCATGGAACTCCCTCTGTAGCCCAGGCTGGCCTGGAACTCACGGAGATCAGAGATCCGCCTGCCTCTGCCTCCCGAGTGCTGGGATTAAAGGTCTGCACCACCACCACTCGGCAAGAAATACATCTTTTTTTTTTTTTTTTTTTTTTGGTTTTTCGAGACAGGGTTTCTCTGTGTAGCTTTGCGCCTTTCCTGGAACTCACTTGGTAGCCCAGGCTGGCCTCAAACTCACAGAGATCCGCCTGGCTCTGCCTCCCGAGTGCTGGGATTAAAGGCGTGCGCCACCACCGCCCGGCCTAAGAAATACATCTTTTAAAAGAAGTTGGAAGATCTGTTTTCACTCCTACTTGCCCTTTATTGTTTTCTGTACACTGATGGACAGTACGCCAAGAAGATTATTTTTCTCACAGTGGCTACTGGGAATTTTGTTTGTTCTGGATTCTACCAAAAAAAAAAAAAAAAACCATGAACAGTAATTAGTTAGGCTTAGCCATATGTTTCAGTATGTCCACAATACGTTTTTGGGTCAATGTCTTCCTTTCCTTGTGAATATAATTTCTTTTACTGACTTCAGTGAGAATTTAATGGTTGAAGAAAATGTTCTGGGTTCTCCAATATTGAACATATATTCATTTTAATAACTGAATAATTGTTTGGATACAGAGTGGAAGTTCAAAATTATTGCATTTATTTCTCTGTTTCTTTGAGCGTGTACAGAGGGAGAGGTGGGTCTCTCCATGTGGATCCCAGGAATCGAACTCAGGTTGTGAGGCTTGGTGGCAAGTGTCTTTACCTGATGAGCCTCCTCGCTGGCCCCAAATTCCTTTGTTTAAAACACTGAAATGATTTTGTAATTATCTTCTTTTAAATGTCCTCTTTTAAATGTATTTTTGACTAATTTGATATTTTTCCTAATATCAAACATTAGGAAAAACCACAATATAAAACTCCTGTCTATCTTTTCACTTAGACGTACACTCATTTTAATATTTCCCACATTTGTTTTATTTATTATTGTCTCTTCATCTCTTTCTATTTTTAACCATCTGAGAACAAGTTATGGCTACCTTTCCCTTTTCTTCTAAATACATGGTATGTATTTTATTTTATTTATTTTTTGGTTTTTTGAGACAGGGTTTCTCTGTGTAGCTTTGCGCCTTTCCTGGAACTCACTCTGTAGCCCAGGCTGACCTCAAACTCACAGAGATCTGCCTGGCTCTGCCTCCCTAGTGCTGGGATTAAAGGCGTGCGCCACCACCGCCCAGCTGTATTTTATTTTTAAATAGTGTTTTCTTTATTATATTTTTATGCATTCCATGTGTATGTGTGTGGGTGAGACATGTGTGGCATGTGTGGAAGTCAGAGGACCACCTGCTGGAGTTGTTTTTTTCCACCAAGTGGATGGTGGGAATCGAACTCAGGTGGTTAAACTTGTAGGCAGGTGCTTTTTCTTCTAAGCCATCTTTGTGTACTTTCTTTTTCTCCCTTCCTCTCTTCCTCCCTCCCTCCCTCCTTTCCTTCCTTCCTTTTTCCATCCCTCCCTCCCTCCCTCCTTCCCTCCTTCCTTCCTTCCTTTCTTTCTTGAGATAGGGTTTCTCTATGTAACCCTGGTTCTCCTGGAACTCTCAATGTAGACCAGGCTGGCCTCAAACTCACAGAGATCTGTCTGCCTCTGCCTCTTCAGTGCTGGGATTAAAGGCGTGTGTCACCATACCAGGCCCTCTGGATAGACCTTGATGATCTAGGGTGTGTTCAAAGGCTGCTGGCCATACGTATTCTGGCTCGGGATCCATTCCATTTCCATGCCTCTTTATTGGTTTCATCATTTTGGATCAATTCTCCAGGATTTCATGACATTGATTATTAGAGAGAGCAGGAGAGCTTTCTACAGACTCCCCTCCAGGACACAGTCTTCAGACATTTAATGTCACCAGCATGGATTTGGAGGTGACAGGGCTGCCACCTCCAGGTGTTGAGTGGGCGTAACTCAGCTTTCTCCATCTTTGCTTCCCCAAAGCTAGAACAGTAAACATTCTGCTTTGGGGGGTATCTGATCCCCAACACTTGGTGGCTTGTTCAAGCTTGGAATCCCTGGAAATGCCATTCAGCCATTCACACGGGGGAACGTGTTGTGTCCTCTGGCGATGCGTGAGCTGGGGAAGCCACCTCAGTCCAGCTTGAGCCATCCCGCTCTCTTCCCCACCGTTCAAACCAGATGTCTGAGAGACCGTGTACACTGCCAGTTTTCAACCACACTCACAGCTGCCAGCGGCAACTACAGTCACATCCTAGTGAAATGCCAACGGCCGTGCTGTGTGTTCAGCCATCACTGTAGATACCGGAAGAGATCTAGAGTTCAGCCTTGGGAGGTAAAGGGCTGGGGGAAGGTACAGAGCTTGTTAGTGCTGTGGCCACATCTTGAATTAATATTCTGATTTATTATTTAAACTGCTAAGGAAACCACTGTTTAGCCATGGCAAGAATACAATGGCCACATTAACTGATACGAGGGAAGGGGGAGGGAGACGTGGCTCCTGTCTCCGGCACTAAGATGCCGCCGTTCTGACAGGCTAACGGCAAACCCTGGAGAATGAGCTATATTAAGTAGCATCGGATGAGGTTCTAGGGGGTCAAAAGAGAGAGACTGCAGTCCATTATTCTCAGAACATCCTAACTGTCAGCGTATTGAACCAAGGGGTCAGAGGCAAAGAGGCTCTTCCCAGTAACAGCCCCCCATGTGAAGGGTTAGGGGTGTTTCATTCAGAGGAATGACTCCGGTGGTATAAACCTGGAGATTTACTGCTCTGCCAGAGATGAGCGCAGTGGAATCTAGGGCCGATGTCCTTTACCACATCTGCTTTTGATCAGCCCTGCAGATCTAGTTATTTATGTCAAGAGTTCTTAGCCCCAAGCTCAGTGGGGGTGGGGGTGGGGGTGGGGGTGGGCTCAGAGACAGTGAACAGAGAGAGGGGAAGGGCTCAGAGGTCAGAGGTCAGAAGATTAACATTCATATAGGGTTCCATCAATATCTGCCCAAGGGTTTTTTTTTTTTTTTCCTGATTGCCCATTTACCAGAGTAATGCAAGAGTTGAAAATGATGTGTCTTAACAGCTATGAATTAGGCCGGGGCAGTCAGTGAATCAGAGAGAGCTTTATACAGTAGAAAAACAGTTTGGGTTTCAGTGGAAAGCGGTGACTCACCTCTGGTTCAACCTCTTGGGCTACCAGCTTCTAGACTTACTAACGGCCCGCCAGTGCTTCCCAGCACTTTATAAAGTGCAGGTAACTGGTAGACCTTCCTGTCCCATCCCCGATGGTAGTGAGAATCTACTTTGTTTCCATCTGGCGGTTCTTCCCAATGTCCCGTGACTCCATATAAACTTGTGCCGATTGTTCTTCTGAATGGCCTTTAAAACCTGTGTCTGGTTCTCTTGTTATATAATTCAGATAAAATCTTCAACATATGTTCACTTTTAAATTGGTATGACTTTACCTCTTCCTCATTCTCACTCAACATTCTCGTTGAGTACTAAATTCTTTCGGAGCCTGGCTGCTCATGGAAGGGCTTGATAACTCTTTCTGAGATGTGGGTACAGAGTTCAATTTTTCTGGAGACTGCTTATTTATTTATTTATTTAGAGACAAGGTCTCATATAGCTGTTTGTTTATCTATCTATCTATCCATCCATCCATCCATCCATCCATCCATCCATCCATCTATCTATCTATCTATCTATCTATCTATCTATCTATCTATCTATCTATTTATAGACAGGGTCTCATATAGCTCAGACTGGCCACAAATTTGCTTATGTAGTTGACCTTCTGATTTTCCTGCCTGTCTCATGAGTGTTGGGATTAGAGGCACAAGTCACATAAATGGTCAGTTTCTCTTCTGCAAGATGTGAGGGATGCTGACTTTGAAGGCTTTTTTTTTCTCACTCTGAAATGGTAAATAGCCACAATCAAATGCTATGGGAAGCACCTCGGCTTGCTTTTGAATTGTATGGCTTCAGTTTGGCTGTTTGAATGGCTAAAAAGGCACTTCTTGGTTCTGTGTGCCTGGGCTCTTCTATGAGATTCCCACTCACACTGGACAGACTGTCAGTTTTAGGTCGTTTGGTTTCATTCCTGCTGGCTCGAACCGTTCTTCAAGGTATGTTAGAAACTGATACATTTTTGGTTAAACAAGAACATATTTAAATCCTAGGCATTGTGAAGATTATTAAAACTTACTTCTTGGGGCTGGATTGGTGGGTCAGCTGTTAGGAGCACTGATGCTCTTGCCGAGTACCTATGTTCAATCCCCAGCATCCACATGGCAGCTCACAACCGTCTGTAACTCCAGTCTCAGGAGATCCAAATGCATGAGGGACACAGACATCCATGTTGGCAAACAGACAACACACACACACACACACACACACACACACACACACACACACACACACAAACACACAACAAGACAAAACATCACACACACACACTCAAATAAAAAAAAAACACCTAGTTTCTTCTTCAAGTGCTTTTAAAGCCCATAAAATAATTTTGACTATTAACTATGGGTCTTTAAAAGTAGCACCAGAAATTAACAGTACACTCAGTTTCTTATTGGTTTCATTCTAAAATAGGGTTCAAGCAAAAAATAACATGAAATAGGTGGAGATTTCCCATCTATGAAAGATCTACCTCCCAACCAATAGAGACCCCGACAGTTAAGATTTAGCAGTTTGGTGTCTTTGAATACAAGTTTTTACTTTCAAAGTATTTTGCATCTGCTACTCTGTTGTGTTTTAAGAGCCTGGCAGCTGTTTTCACTTTTGGATGAAGCCCCAAGAGGTTAAGAGGCTTCAATCAGGGTCCCACACCTGTTAATGAAAGACTCAAAGCTCGTCTGTGCTCCGACCCCCTAATCCCCATCTCCTCAGCCGGCGCCATCTTCCTTCCATTAGTGAGGAATGAAGACCTTCTTTAATCAGCCTCTGCCTCCTGAAAGATATTAAAGTATACGATTTCTAAGAAGAAGAAGAAGAAAAAAAAACTAACAGAAAAGGAACAAGATGTAAATGAATTGTGATTTATTACCCAGATCAACTTCCACTTTAGAAAAGACAAGAACAAAATATACAATCAGTATTTACATTTCTTTTTACAGTGGAAAATATTTACACCAGAGAGAATACAAAATGGCAATGTGAAACTCTAGGGCCACGCAGACGTCAAGGACCACACTTGGAGCGAGGGGCTCTCGGCTGCCTCTTCTGCATCTTCTAGAGTCTAGACTGAGTTGGTGAGACTCCTGCTTGCCTGTGTTGCTGTAGGCAGTGAATGGTTCCTCTTGGTATTTCTAGACCTTTCCCAGATGCCTTTGGTTAGCGTGCTTACTCACCGATCTCCCCACATCTCCCTCAAGCAGTGGTTCTCAACCTTCCTTATGCTGTAACCCTTAATACCGTTCCTCATGTTGTGGTGACCGCCCCCACCATAAAAGTATTCATTACTACTTCATAACTGTAATTTTGCTACTGTTATGAATCCTAATGTAAATATCTGATATGCGACCCCTAGTGGGGTCAAGACCCACAGGTTGAGAACTGAGGCTCTCGTGGGTTCATCTTTGACGTTTGGGACATTGCTGTGGTTGGAGTCACTGCCCTCCCGTGGGTTTTCTGGGTGGGGTGGGGGTGGGGACTAGGATCTCTCTCTCTCTCTCTCTCTTTCTTTTTTCTTTTGACAGTGTTGGGGGTTGAACCCAGGGCCTTGAGCAGGGTAAGCAAGCCCTCAACCACTGAGCTACATACTCAGCCCAAATATGGTTAGCTGTTTTTCTTCCTTCTTTTCTTTTAGGGTCCTCTTACTTAAAAAATGGTGCGCTTATCTGGGCAGCATGCCAAGTCACATTTCAAAGAAGAAGTTAATTTTCACGGTGAGGTTTTTCCATTTGGAACATTCCAGTTGCAGTGAACTTTGATTCCCGTACTTTGTAAAACTGAGGGCTGGAACAGGGTCTGATACTGAAGCCCCTGTTCTCTGGGAAGACCTTAGACCCGTGCCACACTTCTAGGGCTGGGGAGAGACCACACAGCCAGCCCTGCTGTGCCACGTTCAGTCGAGTTCTAAGTTGAAGCCCACCCCTGTCAGGTGGAGAGGAGGGAGCAGAGCATTTCAAACAGCCGAGGTTGTGTATTAGATTAGCTGGGGACACAGTGTCCGCTGCATTGTGACATGCCGACCCTTAGCCACTAGGGGTCCCTATGGCCGCTTAACCTGGAAGTTATTCAACAGAGGAAAGCCAAGAGTTTGTCTCTGACCTGGAGTATGCAGGCATTGGCCAAAGGAACCAAAGGAACCACTGATAACCGGAAATCAACGTCAGAAATGGAAAGGGAGACCCAGCAGAGAGCCCGGGGTTTTGAACTAGCACCTGATAATGGTGAGTAACGTAACGTGTGGGTGCCCTTGAAAAGGGCCCAGTCCTGGAAGTTGGAATCTGTCGGCAAAGCGCTTTCCTGTGTCAACACAAAAAATGAACCAACTTTCAACGTATCCAAGGGGACTGAAAATGAAGTTGGGGGCACCAGGAAAAGAGGAAAAAGTCAAAAAGAAGAATATGATAAAACAATGGTTGAGATGATCAGAATAAAACGAGAGAAAGAAAGACGAGAATTTAAGGCATCGGGAAAGGCGAAGAGGGGCTGGCAAGTGGGAAACCGGGAGCTGTGCCCCAGATTTAAGATGGGCATGGAGAGTCCAACATCCCAACTCACCAAGTCCATGATTGTTCACCATGGAAGTGAAACCCTGGGTCAAATACTACACCAAGTGCACCAAGTAGGAAAAAGAGCGGTTCAGCGAGGCGGAAGCTGTGTAGCGTCCAGACGCTTCTATAAGCAGCTGGGAAGATCAGTCTGGGGCACCGGGTCCTGTGCAGTTCCTCTGGGTACAGAGGGACTGAGGGGGAACATCACCTTTCTCTTGGTGTTCTTTGCCTGGTGGAATGGCGTTTTGGCTAACTCACTGAAGTAGGATGCAAGGCTCCATGTCTGTCTTAGAAAGCAAGCTCTCAGACACATGGAATCGCGAAGTCTTTTCCCAGTGGTAACCAGAGACATCAAGTGCGACTTCGTGCTTGGTGAAGTCTAGTCTAGTCCTGCAGGCTTGCAGACCCGAGTTGGTGAAGAAAAGCCACGGTGGGAGGCACAAGACTTCTGCCCGAAAGGGCCTCGTTTTTCAATATTGTGAGGCAGAGTTTGAGTCCAGGGCCGTGGGATGCCAACAAAAGCCATCAGGGCTCTAAGTTATCAGTCAACAGCTTTCCCAGTATCGTGCCTGGGCAAGGGGCTCACGTGACCCCTGCTTTACCGCGGTCTGCATCCAATCGTATTCCCAGAAACGTCACTCTGTCCCATACGGACCAGTAGCAACACCTCTCCTTGCCCCAGAAAGCACAGGTGAATGTCTCAACAATTTCACCAAGCCACTTACACATTTTCTTCACTGTAGAGCGCATGCGCAGAGCTCTAAGGGTGGTGGGTGCCAGGGACTCTGTGGAATCCCAGTGGAGACACTGAGAGTTCTTCATAGGGGACGCGATGGCCACAGAGCTCGCTTGTTTTATTTTTGTTCAAGTTATAAACCAGAGAGTTGGGTTTTTAAGTAAAAGAACCATTGTTCCCTTGGTCGCTTTATCAGAGACCTAATCCCAGATCTCAGCAGCCTGTGCTCTGAAGGGACACTAGGTGCATTCCCAGCAAAAGCGAAGGACACATCTGGAAGCATTCTGCGAGGCTTTTCCAGCATGAGGGACAGTTGCCCCTGTTCACAACCCTCCATCATGCTTTGGTGGGCAAGCGGGCGGCCATCAGTGGAGGCCTGAGCCCAGCAGAGAACGGCTTTAAACCTGAAGGCACGGGTGCTTGCGTGGCTCTGAACAGTGAAACTCGCAGGCACAAGGAAAAACATGAATGAAACCAGCTGAAAAGTTCCTGAATATGACATCCGGTGTTACTTTTTCATTTAAGCTCTGCTTGAAGTCGGCCACCCTCCTCTGCGGAGATAGAGTCACAGACCCGGAGCCTGTTTCCGTGGGAACTAAATTAAAACCCTACAGGAAAAGTCTAGACTCCGCTTTTAATCACGAAGCCAAAACAAAGAAAAGGCGGAGCGCCTCTTCACCACCAATCCAAGGCTTAGAACAGAGACTCAGTGTAAAGCTAGGACCAGCGACCGGTTTTCTCTTTGATGGGGGAAAGAATTGCAATAGATCTGTCAGAGTCTGTCTAAAGGCAAGGGACCAGGAAAACAGGCAAGGTCAGATAGCCTTCAGACATAGCTTCTCCCTCTCCAGGAAACCTTGCAGAGCCATCGGAGGCATGGAGGCTGATCTGCAAGAAGTGTGGTGGTGGTGGTGGAGGGCCTGGGGGAGGGAATAGAGGCCTGAAGTGATGGGCCTGGAGGCAGGGGATAGATCCAAGTGGTCTGGGGGTGAGACGACAGAATCGGAAAGTGAAAAAACAAAATAAAATGTGCCAAGGAGACGCTAGGATGAGCCGAGAAACCAGCAGGGGCTACTGGTGGGGAGCAGAGGCGGAGCTAGTGAGTGCGAGGGCGAAGGGACCATTTGAACTGAGGACCCGGGCGGGCTCCATCTTCCTTTCCAGGAGGTGTGTGTGTGGGGGGGTGTTGCTGAGTGTTTTGGAAACCATTTGGCGGAGGTCCAGAACGGAGCAGGAAGGTTCAAGCCCTCCCAGCTCTCTCATAGTCCATTCCCTCGAAGCAAGGAGCAAACCACAGAGCTCTGCCTGGACGTCAAACTGTGGAGTCCAGGTCCCCGTCCGCTCAGGAGGGGTCTTGAGTGTGGGCCAGGGAGCGCTTTTGTGGTAAAGCACCAGGGTGTGTATGCACTTCTGCAGGGGCAGCTGTGAAGGGGGTGTCGTGTTTCACTCCAGGGCACTCAGTACCAAGTGGCCTCAAAGGAGGTTTAGCGGATGACAGCGGATTCAGAGGAAGACCGTCCAAAGCACCAGGGAAAAGTGACTTTGCCTGAATGTCGACACAGAAATCACAGGAACACAGGATGCACCACAAACTGGATTCAAGTGAACGTTTTCTTCTTTTACGCACAAGACCCACTGGCTGAAGTGTGAGTGGGTCCATAAAAAAAAAATCAAAAACAACAAATAATTCATCTTATATCCAACCTGCAGCTCACAGGCAGCTTGCGGCTCAGGGAAGTTATAAATTCTGTCCAATACAAAATCGTAAACTTATTTAAAATATTATGAGATTTTTTTGTATTTATTGTTGTTGTTATTGCTGTTATAACTGACCACATGGTTCTCCTGTTTAAATTTTATGGTCCACAACAGCTTGTCACAATGTCAGAAGTTTGGACCTGCCTATGACTTTCTCAAAAACCATTTTACTCCTCCGTGCTGACTTGTGGGGCCAGTCAGACAGACCTCTTGCTTTCATGATGCCATTCAGAAAATTAGTTTCTGATCTTTAGAAAATACACCCAACCCTCCACTAGCCACTGTGCAGGTTAAGACACGAGGGAATGACATCTGTCTTACTGATGCTCTGTGTTGACGATTTTTAAGCTTAAGACATCAGGTTGGCCATATGGAGAGTCTGCCCAGGTGGGTCAAGAGGGCACAATGGGCAATCAAAAGGAGGAAGGCTGCTGGGGAAAGGAAGCATCCTCCTCCGGGGAGTTGGGGGTAGTGGTGAGTTGGTGGGTGGTGTGTGGGTGAGGGTGGGGGCTAGGGGAGCCAGGGAAGGAGAAAACCTCACTTAACAAGGTAACTGGGATTTTAAAGCAAGAGGTATTATTATTCTTTTTACGTTGCTTACTTTTCTCTTTCAGGAAAAGGAAAATCAAAACCCTATGGACATTTATGGAATTTAGTTTCAGAAAGCAACTTCACAGGGGCCAGTCCATCCTCATGTCCTACCTAGAACTGGCCCTGTTATTTCTACAGCCCAGTTACTCAACATCCAAATGGCTCATCCCTCAAGGTCCTCCGCAGGTGTGAGGGGGAACCTCTTTGAACCTAATTTCACCAGGAAATTTAGTGACCCTTCCTCGATGATTCTAGTTAAATCAAGCTCGTCTCCAAAAAAGGAAGCTTTTTCCCTCCCTCTAAACACAAGAGCTTGCGTCTACTGCCCAGCCCCTCGGCATAGCTCTTTCCATTTTTCTCATGCTTTTCCAGAGCTCATCGTTTGTCATTGAAGGCGGGCAGCCTGTGCAGATGACGAAGTTGGTACTCAGACTGTGTGGAAGGCTCTTGGCCAGTGTCCCCCAGACAGCAAGCTGCTGGGTTCAACACAGAGACTTAATTACCAGGGACCACATTCTCAGTGGCCAGAGTCTCAGGGACGTTTACTTTGGCAGACGCCCCCCCTAAAAACAGTCTTTGGAATGAGTGGAGTGCAAGTAAAAATGTCTCTTTTCAAACGGTTTCACAGTCTTTCTTGCAAGGAGCAGTGGGACCCAGCTGTAAAGGTGACCAAGACGGTGTATGTCTTCTTCCGCGGGCGCTGGTTCTGAGTTGGGATCCATTGGCAGGTGGTAGACTGTCCAACCATGTACAGATGTCTAGGATCCTGTCAGCCGTCCACAGCTCTCAAGCCCATTTGCATTATATAGGGTACGTTCGCTTCTCTCATGCCCTGGGGATAGGTGGAGGGTTCGATAGCCAGTGATTTGGCTGTGGCAATCCCAGGGTACCCACTAGCTCCCCATGTCATGTCTAGGTCCACTTCCTGGGACCGTGTCCATGCCCAGTTACGCGCATGTGTCCTTGACTCCCAAAGGAATCTAAGATGGCTGCATGCGATTTGTCTGCAGTCATGGAAAAAAAAAACGGACACTGTTCCTACTGGCGAAGAGATTCCCCCCAAAAAGGGGGAAGAAGGAAGCTGCCACATGAAGATCAGAGTGGCACCCCTCAAGTTCAGACATTATGAGTAGGGGACCCCCCTAAAAGTGTTCTGAAACATCAAAGAAAGATGCTGTCACAGGTTCAAAGTCAGAATCATCAGAATCCCCCCCCCCCCATGTCTAAGCCTTTCCATCATGGGAGTCTTGGGGTGAGGCTCCTTTGGGATGATGATTTATTCCCATGGAGCCTCTTCCTTTTGAGGGCTGCTGCCCTCGATAACCTTCCGGTGACCTTCACTCCTTGCCTAGGCCAGCGGCTCTTCGTATTCCAGTTCAAACTCCCTGTCAGAGGTGAGGGGACCTTTGTCCTCTCCCTGCCTGGACACCTGAGACCATCAGTTCTGATTACGGCACTAAGTGAGAGGAGGTGCTGAGGGCTGGAGACTGAATTGAGGGTTTGGGTTATCCTCAGTGTGACTCCCGCATCTGTGGTCACCAGCGTGGTTAGTGACGCTGCCCTCCTTCCCTCGAAAGCGGTGTGGATCGGACAGGCGTGCTCATTGGCGAAGTAGCGAGGCAATGGGGAAGTAAGGTGGTCCATGGCTTCCAACAGTGTTGCCAAAGGAACGGAGCTGATTCCAGACCATCTTGATTGTGAGTGTGTTCCTTTGGCGTTGGCTCAGTAGCAGCTGGGGCATCGCACCATGTTACACAGGGGTGTGTGTGTGTGTGTGTGTGTGTGTGTGTAAGGTGATGGGCTCTGAGGGCCAGGCCAGGCAGCTGCCATTATTGCTTACCTTTGCTCATGAGGGTTTTTCTTCTGCATCCCTGCTGCTTCCTTCCTGAGGCCAATGCTCTTTGTTCCTCTGGCAAGTGACATTTGAAAGAACCCAAGAAGGGACAGGATTAATGGAGGCAGCCCCCAAAGACAGACAAGGATCCCTGTGGAGTTGAAGGAGCTGAGAAAGATGACAGGATCCAGGCCACAGCCTCCTAGGAAGGGTCCCTGGGGCCAGGACAGGAAGCTGCCAACTACCCCTCCTGTAGACACGGTTGCTCAAAAGTTCTTGCAAGGCAGGAGACTCTGGGTGTCACGCCAGCCCACCTGGCCGCAGAGAGCACGAGGAACCTCTGCAGGGAGCAGGTCTGGAGGCCTGCGGTGGTCTAGCTGAGCTCCTGTGTGGAGAGGGCAGAGGCCTCGCTCTCATGCGGTCACGCTCCGATCGGCTCCTCAAACCAGGCCTTCAGGAAGGCTTCTGCAGACAGCCCTCTGAGCAGGGACAGATCCTCCATCTTGGTCCTCCTCCAAGGTTAGGTACTTTCCCCGTGGCTCAGGGCTGCCTTCACTTCTTGGCCACTAGCCAAGGACTCTGGCCCTTGAGAAGGCATAGAGAAGGGGACGTTTGAGAAGGAGCCTTGCTGAGCATCGGCACATTTTATGGGCACCTCCTAGGACCAGAGCTCTCCCCAGCCCAGCTCCCACATAGCTGTAGCCAGACCACCAGCTCCTCACAGCCAGGATGGGATCTTCGCCTCTCTCTTCTACTGTGGTCTCATGTTGTATCCTCTGACTTCAGAACTAAGAGGCATTGGGCTCATACTAATGGGGAGATTCTGCTACAGAAATGAACCACAGGACCACCTCCAGGCAGCCGCCAGCTCCTCCCTTTCTGCTTTGTAAATCCTTCCCAAAGACCTCAGCCTCTCCTTCCTGACCACGCTGGCCCCTGGTGTCCTCTGTCCTCAGGACCCATGAACCCTGGCTGGCTGTGACCCTCACCGAGCACTCAGCACATGTGGCCCCTCCCTATCCAGGGTTACGAGCACGCGCATGCCTCAAGCTTGCAAAGCCAGCTCCATGCATGACGCTATTGCAGTCAAAAGACTCCAGGCAGTGCGGAGCACAGGATGCCCCCCTCCATGTCCACAGTCATCCCTACAGCTGACCTGGAAGTAGAATCAGAGGGCTTCAGGGTGTCGGAGATGACAGAGCCACTGGAAATCGCCCAAGCCTAACACCCTCATCTGAAACTTGGACATACCGTGACCAGAGAGCAGATGTTAGAGAAAAGGGCCAGAAGCCAAGTCTGTGGACCAGTCCATAGGCCGAGTCAGGTCACTGTCACGCCATGTTCTATCTGTGACGTCAAGATGCTGGGAAGGGTGGTAAGCATGATGAATCATAGATGGGGTCAGAGGAGCGTGTGGGAAGGGGCTAAGCCGCTCCATGAGCAAGGCGTGGCTTCTTTCAGCTTTATGCTGAAGTCACCAGTTGTGGAGACGGCCATTACTCGTGTCTTGGTTGAGATGCCCACATGACTCCACATAGATGAAGGTGGGCAATATGTCCTCTGTGGCAGAACACAGGGCAGGCAGCAGCGGGAGCTGCCCTTTGGCCCCAAGAATACAGTGAGAATCTTGAGCATTGTTTTTTTTTTTTTCTTTTCTTTTCTGGACAGGGTCTCATGTAGCCCGAGCTAGTCTCAAACTCCCTACGGAGCTGAAGATGACCTTGAATTTCTGACTTCCTGCCTCCACTCTCCCAAGTGCTGGGATTCCAGGCATGCACCAGCCAGATTGGGTTTGGATAGTTCCAGGGATGGAACCCAGGGCTTTGCCCATGCTAGGCAAGCACCCTAGAACTGAGCTGCATCCCCACGCTCAGAATCACCTTTCCCTGAGGGCCCCTGCTGGGCACCCTGCAAGCACACCCACCCTTCTGATTGCGCCCATCTTCTTCAAGTCAGGGCTGGTACCTCGTGTGCTTCTAACCTTCCTTCTCTGCACTCAACACAATTAAGATCCAAGTGGAGAAGCTCGGGTAAGGATGGGGGCTGAGGTGCAGCTCAGTGCCCTGAGGGAGATGAGGGGGTTCCTGGCCCAGGGGCACAGGGGGGTCCGATGACATGGAAAGATGGTGTGTTTGTGCACACAGGACTGTGAACCCCTGGCCAGGAAGGTGGAGACTCTTCCACAGCTAGGCTTGAAGTGATGTGTGAGCCCCACCTTAGTCTTAGGGATGACATTCCCCGGCAATGACAATGCCACATTGTTTCCTTCGCCCATATTTTCCTTGGACTGTCTTTAGGTGGGGATTGTACCCCGGGGCCTCTCAAGTGCCAGGCAATGTTCTGCCATTGAGCTACAGCCCCGGCTGGACTGTAACCCATGCCAGCCTCAGATTCTCCATCCTTGGGCCCCGGCCTTTCTAGTGCTGTGGTTAGTGCCAGGCCAGGAGTTCTCTGTCATGGTAGGTGACTGGAATTCTCTTGGTGGTGTTGAGTGGGTGAAAAGCACAGGTTCGGAACAGGAGAGGTTGCCCACTGTCCCCAGAAGACTCAGTTGATGTCGGTCTTGGGTGCAAATGGGAGGGGGGGCGTGTTCCTGTGTGGTCTCACTCTTACTACGATGACGTCATCGCTGAGCTGTGACTACATTCGGGTAGCGGCCTTTGGAGAACCTGGTGGCACTTGGAGTTCCCAGGTCCTCATTCAGGAGTGGGGAAGTTGGCCCAGGAGCTAGGTAACCCCCAGGGCCAGTTTTTAAAAAAAAAATTTATTTATTCTTGTGCATTGGTGTTCTGCCTGCATATGTCTGTGTGAGGATGTCAGATCTTGGAGTTACAGACAGTAGTGAGCTGCCATGCGGGTGCTGGGAATTGAACCTGGGTCCTCTGGAAGAGCAGTTAGTACTCTTAACCATTGTGCCATCCCTCCAGGCCCTCCAGGGCCATTTTCAATAAACACAACTTGAGATAGGCCGTGTGACTTTGGAAGGCTGGGCATTTTTGTGGATTCCTTCCTCCATAAAAACATAGGACATTCTGGTGGTGGTGCACGCCTTTAATCCCAGCACTCAGGAGGCAGAGCCAGGCGGATCTCTGTGAGCTCGAGGCCAGCCTGGACTACCAAGTGAGTTCCAGGAAAGGCGCAAAGCTACACAGAGAAACCCTGTCTCGAAAAACCAAAAAAAAAAAACATAGGACATTCTGTTTTGTGGCTGCTGGTAGAAAGACAGATATGTTGCTGGCTGGTGTCTTTGTTATATTTCACTTCTGAATGTGAAGACAGTGAAATTAAAATGTGTTGGGGAGCCCTTGTCCCTGGACAAGATGGGAAAGGTGCTGGAGTGGGGTCGTAGGGCCGTCCTGAAAGGACTCATCAGACCAGCTGGAGGTTTGGACCTGGCCTGGGTGGCTGCACACTTCTTCCCCACAAAGGGGAGCGCTATCTGTGTCCCCTGGGATTCACTCTAGATCAGTGGCTTCAGTTTTCAGATGAGGGAGCCAGTAAGTACCCAGGAGGAAGCTGGCACCCGGGAGAAACGGTCTGATTTCCAGAATAGCCTACTGGAAGTGAGCCCTGGGTTGAAGTCTGTGCAGCTTGGTTCCATTAACGTAACAGTTAATGAGTGTGCGCTCACCCTCACACCTGGCAGGTTCTTAGGAATGTGAAGGATAAAGTGTGTGTGTGTGTGTGTGTGTGTGTGTGTGTGTGTGTGTGTGTATGTGTGTGTGTGTGTGTGTGTGGTGGGGCAGAGTCTGTTAACAGTAGCTCTAGAAAAGAAATGTAAAATGAAAATAGATCCGGAAAGGGAGGGAAGTGTTGGTTTCAGGTTCCCTTAGAAGTCCCAAGGACACTCTAAACAGTTAACAATACACCACAGGCTACACACCCTAGTAATACTGACCTGTTCATCAACAGAGGTTTCCTGAGGGCTGGGGAGGTGGCTTAGGGGTTAAGGTATTTGCTGAGCCAGTATGATTCGGGGATTCAGGTCCCCGAACCCACACGAACGCTCCCAGACTCAGATGGCAGGGGCATGAGATTCCCCAGAGCAGTCTGGCTACTGACACCATATTGGTGAGCTCTGGGCTTGACTGAGAGACCCTGCCTGTTGAGTAAGAGGGAAGAGGGATCGAGGATGACCCCTGACATCAACCCGGAGAGCCTCCACATGCCACACACCTACGTGCACAGGTACCCATACATGTACTCACACACATGCAAGCATGCACACACACACACACACTACACACAGATATGAACGTGGAAAAAAAATAAGGAAGAGGTTTCCTGAGACCTTTACCAAGCAGGCACGGTGACAGGAAAACATACAACTTTCTCTCTCTCCCTTTTTTTTTTTTTTGAAACAGGGCTTTACTATGCAGCCCAAGCTGGCCCCAAATTTGCAATCCTTCTGTTTCATCCTCTTGACAGCTCTATTTCTTATGTGTGTGTGCAATATATATATATATATATATATATATGTATATATATATATATGTGTGTGTGTGTATGTATATATGCATATGTATGAATATGTATATGTGTGTACATATATGCGTATGCATGAATATGTAAATGTGTATGCATGTGTGTATGTATGCACATATGTGTGTGTGTGTGTGTGTGTGTGTGTGTGTGTGTGTGTGTGTGTATGAACAAGTGCTGCACCAGAAGACAGTCTCAGGCCCCGATCCTCAGAACCCACCCCACCTTGTTTTTTTGAGACAGGGTCTTTCACCAGCCTGAGGCTTTCTGATTAAGCTAAGCTAGCTGGCTGGCTAGCAAGGCTGGGGGATCTGCTTCTGGGCACTGGGATTCCAAGCACGTATGCCCACCCTTAGCTCTTCCCCATGGGCTCGGAGGACTGACCGCCCTCAGGCCAGTGCAGCAGACATGCTGCTGTCTGATCCACCTTTCCAGCACCACTCCATTCCTTTAAAACACTTTAAAAACACTCTTTTACTTCATGTGTGCTCATGTCTTGCTCGCATGGATGTATGTGGACCATGTGCAGGCTTGGTGCCCACGGAGGTCAGAAGAGGGCGCCAGATCCCTCGGACCTGGAGTTACAGATGGTTGTGCACCACGAGGGTGCTGGGAATCGAACCATGGGCCCCTGCAAGAGCAGCGAGTGCTCTAGGCCACCGAGCCGTCTCTTCAGCCCCACAACAACTCCATTTCCTACAAAACAACACAACCTGAAGTTTGTCACATGTGGTGGAGATCTAGCGGAGGTGGTGGTGGTGGGGTCATTCTTTTTTGCTACAGTAGACTGGCACACGAGGCAAAGCCCCCTCCTTCAGCCAGCTGCTCCTGGATCTGCAGATTTCTGTGAAGTACACAGCGTGCTCTGCAGTAGCCATGACTAGCCAGAGTAACTCAAAAGGCGGTATAGACGTTCGGATGAGAAATGAGACTAGGATGCTTAGTCTCCAGTAGGTGGCGCTGTTTTTTTTTTTTTTGAGAGGCTAATGGAGCCTTTAGGGGATGGAACCTTGCTGAGGGAAGTCCCTCCCTGGGGGCGGGCTTTCAGGTTTTATAGCCAGGGCCCACTTCCGGTTCTCCTCTGTTTTCTGTGTGTGGATGAGATGTGAACAGCCAGCTCCCTGCTCCTGTTACCATTCCTTCCCTAACATGGTAGACTCAACCCCTCTGGAATTGTAAGCCAAAATCAACCCTTCGGTGTTCTAGGTTGCTTTTGGTTGTGATAATTTATCACAGCAACAGAAATAAGAACTAATAAAAGCCCCAACCAAACCCTGAAACAATACGTAAGTCCCCTTTGCTGAACCCTAAATGCTCAAGTGATGAATTTGGGATGTGACATAAGGAACATCTCCTAAGTAAGTCCCCACCCTCCTTTTGTTGACGCTAACATTTCCCAATATTGCTCCACACTTCTGAGGGCTATTGCTTCTGAAACTTCCTGCTTGCACAAGACAGGATGGATTTAATTTAGTGATTAATCAGGATCATAAATCGCCACGTTTCATTTTTTTTAATAATAATGAAAGTCAGTTGAAGTTTAAAATATTATCAGATACATCTAGTCTGGCAAACATCATGGACCTCCACATGTTTGTGAATTCACACGTAAGCCTGCAGACCTCTGTGCTGGCGGGCCCCCTTTGGCACTGGAACACAATAATTTATTAAGCTGTGATGTTTAATAAGTGTGCACAAATATCATGCAACATTAGGAGCAGACTCACAGACAGCGTATTAGAAACAGATTTATACAAAAATGTCTTGTAAACAAAAGGGAAAGGGTTGTTTTCTGTACAAAATATTCAGGCTTTCCTCCTCTTTTTAAATGATCTGTAAGATGCATCATACTTTGGGCATTTTCAAAAAGTGAAAACTGTATAAAAATAAATATCCTATGTACAAACACACACAGGCCAATCCGAGGTTAGAGGCGTCACTGCAAAACAAAACCAGAACAATGGAGAGTTAGTATCAGGGGGCCTGAATGCTGCCTCCCCTGGAGGAAGGGAGGTGGATTTGTCTTCGATTGCATCAGAACCTCTGATAGGGAAGTGTGGAACATTAAACCTGCTAGAGGTAAGACCCCCCCCCATCTGAATTTAAGACACACCCAACTCCAGGTTGAGAAACCCAATGTTCATCTTGAAGCTATTCCTGGCTGTGGCCACTAGAGGGCAGTCTCTCTATGCTGTCTTGGAAACTACGCTACACACTACATCTGCCCAGATGTCATGTCTGGTGTGAACCAGCAGACCTGGGATGCTTTAGTTGCTTCTTGAGCATGCTGTAGCTCTGGACAGCAGCTGTGGTTCCCCTGCTAAGTTCAACATATTCCATGTTTTGCCCACCAGCAACAACCTTGAAGGAGAATCTTTGGGGACTGAGGAGGGTCTTATTTAACGGTCCTCTCACAGCTCCTGGATGAGGCTCTGAGGGAGGGGCAGATTCTTGGGGGCGGGGGAAGGGAGGCACTGCCCCCTCAATGCTGAACTTTCCCTTTCTGTGGCTTGTGAGCGCTTTAGGTACCTAGGTGTTGATCTAGATCTGATGCCTTGATTGTCTCCTTACTCTTTCTAGTCCTGAACATCAATGAGATTTTGAGTGTCAGGGGTACAGGGGCACCGAGTGATCTCATTGTACAATTCTGAGTTACAGGCACAGGACTGGATTGACTAAGCCTAAACTCTTGCGAGTGTGGGGTCCTGAGCCCTACTATGAGGACATACTGATAGCCTTAGATGATAGTGGTGGGGGCTGAGAGATACTGAGAGGGAGGTGAGGTACAGGGAGATGGCTGCCCTCCTGCTGCAGACCTTGCTGAGGACAAAGGTAGGCCTCTGCCCTTAGGCTGGGGAGTCCTGTGACTTGGGTGGGAGCTGTGGCTGAGAGGGCTGGCCTTGTGGCCTTCGGCTGACTGCTTTAATGATGGTAAATGACAATGGCATTGTGAACCTGGTGATAGCTCCATATTCGGGATACCCCCACCTCCTAGGTGAGTGGGTGCTGGGATTACATACATGTACCACCATGCAGGATTTATGCAGTGCTGGGGATCAGACTTGGGACTTTGTGCACGCTAAGCAAACACTCTTATCAACTGATCCACCTGTCTGGTCTCTTAAAACATCTCTAAGTGTTCTCCAGGTGTGTGCAGTGAGTGGATGTTTAATGGGTACCCCTCTCCTCTGCCAACCACCGGTGAGGTAGCACCTTTTTCGACCCACATCTTGCTGTCTCATCTGCGGAAAAGGATGGAAACTGACAGCTTCATGGCACTGTTGGGAAAGGGTTGACTCCGAGCGCAAGGGCCTCTGGGAATCTTACCTTGTTCCAGCAGCCTTGGACTGGTAAGCCGTCTTCTCCCTGCGAGGAGGCAGAGAATGCTTAGACTCTTGAGACAGTTAGCTGAGCGGGTAGGGTAACAACGACACAAACATTTCCACGGCCTCACTGGGACGTGGCCTGCCCACTGTGGTCTGCTTCTTAGAAGGGGGTGGGAAGCATTTAGATGCCACCGGTTTCCCTCTGGCTAATGCCGAGTGTAGCTGCAGTGAGCGCAAGGCTGAGAGGGACTGCTGTGGCCTGTGGGCTCAGCCTGTACAGATGCCCATGAAGAGCACAGAGGACCGTCTTTGCTCTGACTCGGTGGAGTGCTAAGATCTCAGGTCCCTGGGCACGTGGGACCCTGGTCTTCCTCTGCAAACCTGTCGAGGGAATGGTGTGCCGTGGCTCCCACTCGGCCTGAGCTTGTTTCTCTTCCTAAGCAACGGGAGGTGTCATCCAAACAGTCCCAGATAACGGTCACTACTGGGTGGGGATGGGGTGACCAGGGACGGGCAGCCTCAGGGGGATTGCAACAGGATCTTGAGACGTCTTTCTGGCCCTGCCTCAGACACCCGAATCTGGGGGGGAAATGGAGCATAGGGCTGGGAAGTGACTGGACATTGTCTGAGGCAAAGCGACCTCAGGATGCTGTGCCCGTGCGAGGGAACCTTCACGAGGCTTCTCGGGCCTAACATTCTGGCCTCTCTGGCATACTGTGTGGCAATCCAGGGATCTCTCAGAGATCAGGCTTGAGGGGAGGGTCAGGCGGAATCAAGAGCACAGGGTCTCAGTCTAGGTCTAGCAGAAGGGCAACCCCATCTTAGAACTGCAGTCTCTAGGGTCTCCTCCACCCACCCCAACAGGGAACCCCCCAATCACCCAGCAGGCAGCAGCGATTGTCCCAGCCCAAAGAAACCTAGCATGTGCTAGGGTCATGCCAATAGTTCCTGCACCCCACTCCTGACAATTCGAAACAAAGGACACATCATTATGGGATGTTATTGGGAAAGACATCATTTTGAATGGTCAAATAATCTTTCTCCTCATTTCTCCTCTGGCCTTGGAAGAGGACTTGCAGAGGGCGGTGTCTTTCAGTTTCATGGTACCCCTCTGTCCCCTTCACAGTCCATCATGCCATGCCAAGTCACCCCACTGCCACAGTGCGGCACACTGCACACAGACCCTGGGAAGGAGAGGGGCCTTTGAGGGCCACAGTGGCATTTCCATCCGGACATGGATGGTGGCAGGGCACAGTGGAAGAGCAGGCAAAGAGTAGAAAGGCCAAGGTGCCTTTGCAGAACTAAGAGTACTCAGATGGGATGTGTGTGTGTGTGTGTGTGTGTGTGTGTGTGTGTGTGTGTGTGTGTGTGAGACTGTGGCCCAGGAAAGACCCAGTTTTAATTAATGGAAGCGCTTTGGAAGTCATGGTTGAGACAGGCACCCATGCATGCTGCATGCTCGGGATGGGGGGCAGGGCGAGTCTTGTCAAGAGGCTTGCTACTCTGTGTGCTTGACCTGTGCTGTCTGGCTTTGCATTTCTGTTCTAAAACGTCTCTGGTGCCCTTCAAGCAACCCTGTGATCACCCAGACTTTCTAACGCCATTTTTCATTCAAAGAGGATCTGTGAGTGACGAGGTAGGATTTCGAGGCAGGGAGTTCTGTGGTGATGGCAGCTCCAGAATCTCCCGGGGAAATGGAAAGCAAGCAGGCGTGCCTAGACCAGTGCCTGCAGGGTCAAGAGTTGCCTTCTGTTTCCTTTATGGTTAGTTAAGAGGGTCATGCAGATACTCCGGAAGTTACCATCTGGAGCAAGACTGGAAGAAACCAGCTCTTGAGTTTCAGCTCCAGACATGCTCAGGGGACCTTGGCCACCACCTACCTCCTCCTAACTACAGTCTAGACCTTTCTACTCTCTTTCCTAGTGAGCTGCCTAAAGACAAAGGGCAGAGACACCAAAGGAGAGCCTTTGGGGTCTTTAGCATCTAACACCTGATCCCAGACCATACGCTAGTTCTGATGGTGTCACCGGGGCCATGACCCAGGATCCAGTCTGGAAGAATGGACAGGGTGGCCCCTACCTCCACCTCAATTATAGAATGTCTCTGTCTAGAAGCATGCCCCATGTCCCTTGCCAAACTGTGGGGAAGGGGTGGGTTTGCATCTGGGCTTGGTTGGCAGGGTGACTGGCCGCTCACTCAGTGTTTTGTCCGTTTGCTCAGCTTGTGTATTCATGGCTAAGTGCACCGTGTAGAGGCAAAACAGTCAGTGTTAAAGTCCTGCCCAACCCATGTGCTGCTCTAGCTTTCAGAACGGTCTAGATGCAATCAGGCAATGAGGATTAGATGCAGCCAAGACTGGCTTTGCAGGGGGCTGGCTGATGTTATGGGGGAGCCGGGTTGCTTCAGAAGTAGTTGCAGGAGAAAGCTAAGAAGACACCTGGCCGCGTCACATGCACGAGGACAGCATGGTTGGGAGCCACCAAAGCTCCGGGCAACGTGACTCTTGGTGTCCACAGAGGGAAGAAGCAGTAAGTAGGAGCTGGGAGAATGGAGCAAGAGGGTCAGGAGGCACACGGGTACACACCACACATGTGGGGGTAGCCCAGCTTGGCCACGCAGGCAAGGGAGGGAAATGCCATACCAGTGGGCATGGGGCATCCAGTCCGTCCAGCCCTGGTAGCCCCGGCTCCCCTTTCTCTCCTTTAAAACCTCGGTGGCCCTGTTCATAAAACCAACCACGATGATTACTGAGGTCAAGGTCAGCCATCTCCAACTGGGCAGTGGAAAGGCCCAGTCCTATCCCGGCCAGGATGCAGACCCTGATGTATGCAGCCACCTACTCCCTGGCACAATCACAGACAACCTCCCGCTGGAGAGCAGCATGGCTTTCAAAACCTTCCAGAGCTTTGAAAGATCACTTGAGAAGCCAGGCTGGTGCACCACAGTCATTAATTGCTGGCTTCTTGGGAAGGCTGCTTGGGACTATTTACCCATTTTGGTCTTCAGCTTTCCGAGTCTGACTACTGGGCAGTGCATGAAAAGCCCCTTATCTGGCCCTGTTCTGCTCTGCACCGACTCAGTGGCCCTCAGGAGACTAACTCTGGGGTCTTGCATCCTGACGGAGTGAGGTCTCAGACAGCTAGAGCTGCAGGCCCCAGAGGTGACCATGACACAAAGGATGCAAATCTCACGCCATAAACACCACGTGGGTTTGCAGAGCACGATGGGACCAGAGCCCGAGAGCCCGAGACCTTCTCCCCAAACCCTGCGGGTCCTCTCCTTCCACCCATCCATTGTTCTGAATCTTCAAAGGAGAGGGACTCAAAGGCAAGGGATTTAGCAGAATGGCTTGCAGCTGTGGCTCTGGGGCCCACCCTCTGCAGGCAGGACTGCCAAGGCACAGACAGGCTCGGTGGCATCTGTGGAGCTCGGCTCCTCATGCATTTGCCTCCTTTGTTCCCAGCCCGAAACCCTGTGGAAAAAAAAATTCGGAACCATGCGAACGAAGAACAAAAAACATACCAGCGGGCAGGGGGCGTCTAGTCCAGGTGCTCCTTGGTCCCCTTTATCCCCTTTAGGCCCTCTAGAGCCTTTCTTCCCCCTCTCCCCCTGCAAGCAATGGTTTAGTCCAAGGTGAGGGGGGAGAAAAACAACATCAGCACACCGTCAACACGTTAGGATCATTCACATGTTAGGGACGGAAAACGAGACAGAGAAGGACCAATGGACAAGGAGCTTTTCTTAATCAAGTTAGCATCCTGGAAGGATTATGGGACACACCCACCTCCCGACTCTAAGCATTTTGGCAAAGGAGAGAGGGTGAGGGGAGGGGGGGAGAGGGAGGTGAGAACAGGGGCATCTCTGAGATGGCGCGGAAGGAGGAGCCCCCTAAAGACAGTGGCGCCCAATTCTGCTGATCTGAAGGCCAGCAAAGGATGATGTGTTACGTTTCCATCTCTTTAAGGGTTTAATCGCAAAGGGCTTTGGGCTGACAACTTCTAGTCCCAATTAAGGTTTAGTTTCTTTTTAGACAGGTGTATGTCTGTGCATGTGTGTGCATGTGAGTGCAGGTGTCCATGGAGGCCAGAGGTGTCAGAGCCTCCTGGAACTGGAGTGACAGGTGGTTGTGGTCTGTCCCCTGTGGGTGCTGGGAACTGAACTCGGGTCCTCTGTAAGAGCAGTACACATTCTTAACCACTGAGCCATCTCTCTAGCCCTCTCTTGTCCTGATTAGCTCTCATGCCTTTGCTGTCTCCTTAGGAGGCAAGATGACTCTGTTTAGAGTCCCGGCATGTGCACATGCATGAATGACTGCAGCCCATATGCATGTATGCAGGATGGTGTGTGCTTGCGTGTACACCTGTGCGTTTATATATTCTCAGATTGATATCCTCTCTTATGATGCGTCTCTCTGGTTTATTCTGGTTTCACATCATCACTACTGAAAATTGTACTGTTGGGCAGTCATGACGGCCCAGCAGGTAAAGGTGCTTGTGGTGATATTTTTGTGCAAATAAAACTTGCTTGAAGATCAGAGGGCAAAGCCAGCCACTAGTTAGCCATAGAGGCCAGGCAGTGGTGGCACACGCCTTTAATCCCAGCACTTGGGATCTCATGCCTTTACTCCCAGGACTTGGGAGGCACACGCCTTTAATCCCAGCACTTGGGATCTCATGCCTTTACTCCCAGGACTTGGGAGGCACACGCCTTTAATCCCAGCACTAGGGAGGTTGAGACAGGAAGTGATAAGGCTGGGCAGAGAAAAAGGACTATAAGGCGGGAGGAGACAGGAGCTCAGTCCCTTTCAGTTGAGGAGTTGGTGAGGTGGGAGGTGGCTGTGGCTTGTTCCTTTGGCTCTCTGATCTTTCAGCATTTACCCTGGTATCTGGCTCCAGGTTTTTATTAAGACCGATTAGGATTCGTGCTACAGGTGCTTGCCACTTAGGCTGAGAACCTGAGTTCACTCCGCACATGGTAGGAGAGAAGTGACTCCCACAGCTTGTCTTCTGACCTCCACGAGTACATCATGGCACACTTTATTACCGCTAGCTCAGGGAGTTCATCTCTCTCTGAAAAGCATCGGCAATCCTCCTCCTAATTGAACCCTAGTTTTATGTCTTGGGGTTCATCTAAAGAAGGGCTCTAGGGCATTCCTCTTAAAAGTCATCTGGAAATGAATTTGTAGTTAAATTTTCATGTCTCAGTCTTTTAAAATGGGGCATGTAGGTCCCTAGGGAGTCTCCCCAAACACTCTGCTCTGTAGAAGGTGGGTTATCTCATGCCCGGGGACTTGTATATTGCTGCTCCATCATGGCAAGGCCAAAGGTACAGCTAGTTCTGCCAGTTACTAACTTTAACTCTTCCGGGCTTCAGTTTTTTCACCTGTAGAATGGGTCCATTACACTCGCTTCCAAAATTGGTGTGTGACCTGTGTACGAGAAATGCTCACTGGTGGGATGGTGCATTCCTCAATAAGGAGGGTGGGTTCTGTCACCCATGGTGATGACAGTCTCCTACTACCTAGTGTGGGGACAGGTGCTCCCCGAGGGGGTTTGGGGTCTACAGCATTCCTGGAGTTGCAGGCTGCTGCTGTGTTAGGTTTCTTAGACAGGAGAGGTTAACGATAGTTCTGATGTTTTCCCGGATCTTTCAACATGACCCCAGTAGTTTTTATTTCAGAGGTCATCTGGAATTTGTCCACACATTACTCTGACTGGCTTTTCAGAATGATGGGTGTTGAAGAGGACACACGTGCACAGTCATTTCACTGGGTCAACGGCACGCCCACCGATGAAAAGACTCTGGCATGAGGATTCCCTTCGTGTGGACGAGCCGAGTCACCAGTGGTTGGAATGGAAGTCCCAGGGAAGTGACCTTGTTCTCAGAGTCATGTGTACAGTTTCCTAATGAAGGAGATGGGCAGAGTCGCTGGAGAGTTGGTTCCAGCTCTTAGATAATTTGCCTACAGGTCACAGAGTGTGGGCCACCCACACTATGGGGCATCACCCCACATCAGGTGTTCTGGAAGATTCTGGAGCTACTGCTTTACCTACATGTCCCCTATTGCCCACCCCAGAGCGGGACATACAAGAGGTGCGCCCACCCCCAGCTCCATCTGGTGAGAAGGGAGGGCAGACAGAGTGATCCACAGGTGCCTTCAACATTCCTGAAGACTGTGGAAAACTGACTTCAGGAGACACAAATCGGGGGTGGGGGAAGGATGAGGGATGTGGGGTTTCAGTGGAGCACATATGTTGTGGGAAAGACAGGGAATAGAAGAGGAGGAGGCTGGACAGGAGGGGACAGAAGGACTCAGGAAGCAAGACATGCACTCCCCCAGACACTCCCCTACCCCCAGGCCTGCATGGCAGAATGTGCAAACAGCCTCAGCATGCTCGGACCTTTTCCGCTGGCCAGCCCGCAGGCAGCGATATGGTCACAACCAGCCGGTCAACGTCCTGATAATTACGTTGCCGGAGTAGTGATACCCTTACTCTTTGACCCCCCTTTTGGCTGTTGTTTCGACTGTGTGTTCTCCTATAACCGAGACTGGCCTCGCGCTTGATGTGTCGTTGAGGATGGCTGTGTGAACTCCTGGACCTTCCGCCTCGACCTCCCAAACGCTGGGATTACAGGCCTCAGGTGCCATGTCTGGCTTTGACCAGTTTCTGCTGTAAATGTGGCTCCTGGGCCACATTCCCTGAGTCACCTAGAGACAAGTGGGGCATGGGTGGGAGAAGGTAGGTACCTGCAGGGACGGGAGCAGAGCACCCTTGCCGGTCTTGTGTGTCCTTGGCAAGCTTGCTGTTTTGGATTCTGGGTCTTTGCCCGTCATTACAAGGACCTTCCTCATTCCATGAACAGGAAAGAGGCGTAGGACCATTTTTGGGCAAGACATGCAACAGTGTAAGTGTGTGTGTGTGTGTGTGTGTGTGTGTGTGTGTGTGTGTGTGTGCGTGTGTGTGTGCGTGCGTGTGTGCGTGTGTGTGTGTGTGTGCGTGTGTGTGTGTGCGTGTGTGTGTGTGTGTGTGTGTGTGCGTGTGTGTGGCAGAGGACAACTTGTGGGACTCAGTTCTTTCTTTTTACCACATGGGATTGAACTCAGGTTGTCGGGCTTGGTGGTAAGAGCTTTGCCTGTGCGGCCACGTTGCCAGCCCAACAGTATGATTTTAAGGTTGCGTCTTGGTTTAGGTAAGGCGGAACACATTTCCAATGATTCCCCGGGCATGAGGAAGGCAAAGTTTGATGAGGGTACATTTTGAGGGCTGCCTGTAGGAGCTGCTCTCTAAAACTCAGGTTAACACTGGATATCTCCAGAGTCACCTTCCCAGGTAGCAACAGTGACACTTTGGATCAGAACCTTAGCCTCTGACATGTCACCTGAATCAAAGTGTCAGTAGCCTATATCCCTCTCGGCCCCATTAGGGCTGGTGGCTCAGAGGCCCGAATGAGGCGGCCAGTTTCAGAGTGTCTTTTTTTTTTTTTTTTTAAAGCACATTTAGCATCCTGAGAGTTGACTCCTGGGTGAGAAAAATGAGTTGTCCCTTGTTTTGAAACCTGCTGCTTGGGACAATTCATCTGGACCTTTGTGGTGTACCACATTGCTTTCTGAACATGGCTTTCTTTTTTTTTTTTGGTTTTCTGAGGTAAGGTCCCAGGCGGGCCTCAGAGGATATATAGCCAGAGACAGCCCTGACTTCTGGATCCTCCTGCCTCCTGCCTCCTGAGTGCTGAGATTAGAGGTGTGTGCCAACTCCTGAGTGCTGAGATTAGAGGTGTGTGCCAACTGCCAAGCTCTCTGCAGAGTTAAACTGGAACCCAGGGCTTTGAGTAAGCAATCCTACCAACTGAGCTACACCCTCAGCCCCTGACTTTGACTCCAAGGAAGAGATATATTCTAATTTATATATAGAATGTGGGAATCTATCAAAGGATGTGGGAAGAGGAAACGGAGAAGAAAGGTTTCCCACAATTTCTGGGGCTTCCACTGATGATGGTTTAGCATCAGAGACACCAGGCTGGCCCATTTTCTCACCCTCCCCCATGTGTGACAAGGGTACCTCACTGGCCCTGACTCCCTGCTACAGCAGAAGGATTACCTTTATCTCAAGTGACTCAGTGCCTCCAGCCAACGGAAAAAGTCTTAAGAAATAGGCTTGAAAAATGTTAATTGAGTGTGAGAAAGAAAACCAGAACACATTAGAAATGAGTTAGGGAGGCTTGTATGCCAATGAAGAAATGGAATGATCAGGTTTTGTGGAGACTCAGAGACCAGCCACATGGCTGAAAGGGAATCGGTTTGTTGCAGTGGATTCCGTGTGGTCTTGCCATAGACAGTTTGGTAGGGGTGGCTCTGCCTCCTCTCACTTATTCATAGGTTTTGGGGAACAAGTGGAGTTGCTTTTGTGTGGCTGCCGGTGAGGAGACTTTAGGGGTTTAGAAGTGCCTGGTAAATACTTCACAAATTGAGGAGAATGCATTTAATTACGGCCAGATAGAAATAGACAGATTCTGACATGTTCTATTCCTGAAGATATGATCAGTGGTCGAAGATCAGTCAGGTTCTGGAATCCATGTGCGCTGGCTGCCTCTGTCGCACTGGGGGAACTCAGCTCAGCGTATTTCAGTATTCGGGACAGTGGTTTCTTCTCATGTAAGGTCCTTGAGCTTTTTTTTTTTTTTGTCTGCTAGAAGATGCCCTTGGTCCTCAGGGGGTGTGCCCTGCACACAGATGGGCACTAGAGGAGGTGATGGAGAGGGCTATCCCTCGGGTCGATGTAGTTAGATTATTGCTGCTGTGCCCAAATGCCCAAGGCCATGAGTGTTACATGCCTATCATGCTGGGGACATTTAATGCGCCCTGCTGAAGGCAGCAGGAGCCAAGAGGAGAGGGGGGGGTCTGGAGGGTGCAGTTCATTCCATTCCCTGCCAAGTCTCCAAGAGAAATAGCAGCTGGGATACTTTCTTTCTTTCTTTTTTCTTTTTTTTTTTTTTTTTTAAGGGCTTGGCTGTCTGTTCTTGGAGCTGGAATTTATTTTCTTGGTCACCAGTGGACTGGAATGCTTAACAAATCTAAGTTTCAGGAGGCAAAGCTGAGATGACGATGGATCTAAAAATACCACGAAGGGGCCAGTTATCAGGGCAGCGTAAAGAGGGCTGCATGCGAGCGAGCGAGGCTCCTGTTACTGGACGGCCATGCTGGTCTGATGGTTGCTGTGGGATTCATTTAGCCGTCTCTGGAAACGGGGAGACCTACTCTTCCCGGCACGCATGGCATGGAGCCCCTCACTGGAAAGCCTTTCAATTTAGGATGATTGATAAGGAAAGCCTATTTGTCCTGTTAGGTCAGGAGTCTCCAATTGATCATTCCATCCCATCATGAAGACATTAGTAACCAGATCCCGAGTGCGAGGGCTCAGACTTACCCGGTTTCCTTTGTCCCCGGGTGGTCCATGCAAACCCTGTATTAAATCAGAGGGACGAAGACATGTTAATGAGAAAACACGAAACGGCCGTGAGGTCCTTCCCTCGGGCTCGGAAACAGGCAGATGCCCCAGTTCAGTGGAGATGGGCCTCATTACCCCCATTTTACAGAAGGGGAACAGAGAAGCAAATGCATCCAGGAGCTTGACCTAGAGGCACATGGATTTACAAGCACATCCGTGGACAAGGGTCTTAATTTTCTTGCCCTGTAGCCCATGTCCCCACCGGTAGTTGCGTTCTTCTGGGATCATTCACGGGGCGAGGGGTAGGTTTCACGCTGCAGGCAGGGGTGTGGATGGGGTACTCTGGGCTGAGTATTTCCATGGCTCTCTTGCCAGCCCCTGGCTGCACAGCTGCTGAGCCCCTCTTTTAGAGTGCAGAACCCCCTAGGGGAAGGAGTGTTAAGCATCCACCGGTGCAGACACGCTTGTTTAGTCCATATCCACATGAACCTCGGTGGATGGGGAAACAGAATCCAGGCTCTGTGAGACAGCCACTTGGCTTCTGTAGCAAAGCTACAGGCAAATGCATTGCAGATGGAAGCCAATCAGTCTTCAAGGCGAGCACCCCTTTCTGTGTTGTGGGGATCTGGGTCCTGGACAGCAGAAGTGGGGGTGCCTCGGGACCCTTCTGGACAGCACAGGGGCTAAAGTGGAAGGTTCCAGACATGCTGTTACACAGGTGAGATGAGATGGTCCCTATGATGAGCACCTGACACCTGTCATACCCCACAGGGACTTCTGGCCCATCCCCAGTTAAATATGCCCAGCTTCTTTTTCAACCCCAGGTATGGGCTCCAGGCTCTGGGCTGTGTTGGGTGGGGGTGGAGGGGATAGACAGAAGGAAACCTCTAGACCCTGGAGACTCACAGGAAGCCCTGCTGCTCCCATTGGTCCTGTCATCCCTGGGTCTCCTTTGCTGCCCTGAAAGAGAGAAAGATGCCGCATGAGCTTTCCACGCTGTGATGATTTCCTTTCCATGACCGTTTTCTGATTCCCTACGGAGCCAGAGCCCTAAGGAATTGAGTGTGTGTGAGGCAGGGTGTGCTCTAAGAACTTCCTGCTGTCTCTCCCGTTCCACGAGAGGAGCTTTGATTTCTTCTCCGAAGCCCATGCCATCATCATGGAGAGGCAATTCTGGTTTCCCCAGGGGGCGAATGATCTCCGAGAGGCTCATGGTCTATGTAGAAGCCACCCACTTCCCCACCACAAGCCTCTCCTGGGTAGGCAAAGGGCAGAGGGAGAAAGGTATGGACGGAGAACTCCACAGATGCTCCATGGGTTTGGATCAGCCATGGAGTCTGTCCACTAAGGATGACAGATCCTGGGTGTGTGAGAACCTGGAAGGCTGAGAGGAATAGTGCTCACCCCCCCCCCACACACACACACATTGAGCTGATTCTTGTCACACCCATCCTCTTACACACCCATTCTGTGAGGGATGGGTTGGACTTCAGATACTGTGTGACATGGCTGTGGCCACTCAACACTGATGGTGGTGACCCCTGGGCTGTGTTGGGTGGGGGTGGGGGGATAGACAGAAGGAAACCTCTAGGCCCTGGAGACTCACAGGAAGCCCTGCTGCTCCCGTTGGTCCTGTCATCCCTGGGTCTCCTTTGCTGCCCTGCCCAGTACCCTGACTTTCTGACTTACTGATGTCATCTGGGGACTTTCTAAATCCCACATGGCCTTCTGTCCCATACTATTTCTCTAAATGAGCATAGCAGACCTGCATCCTTGAGAGACTGGGCTGTGCCAGGTGCCAGGTGCCAGGTGCCAGGTGCCAGGTGCCAGGCTACCAGCAGAGAAAGAGCTTTTCCTTCTCACGTGTCCCCTCACAGCCATACGAGGGTTTGCTTCTCCCCTAGGCTGCTACAGGGATAACCAGGAGTGATGGACGGGAGAAGGGGTGAGGGCTGAGACCCTGGGGGATGGGTCCCAGGTGTGTGTTTTTTTTTGGGGGGGGGGGATGAGCAAGCCTTCCTGGTTTCCCAAGCTCCCAGTTCACTGAGCACTCACCCTCTCGCCCTTTGGTCCAGCGGGGCCTGGAACTCCGATTGGTCCTGGAGTACCCTGGGGAGGGGAAAGAAAGCAGAGGTCAAGGGCCAGTTGCTGCAGAGAGCCCTGAGAATCCCACCCAGGACCTGAAGATGTGCAAAGCCTGAGCCCCGGTTTTCAGGCTTGGTAAAGCCAGGCTTGTTCAAGGAGGCCGTTTGACTGGGCCGCGATCCATTTTGGATTTAAGGGCCTCGGAGGAATGTTCCTTCCCCCACCTCAGAGCCAGATTCGTGGAACCTCTCATATCACAGCCAAGCTTGCCGAGGCTGAAAAAGAGTAGGACGGTTGCTTGGTTTGCCACCAACAAGCACTGGGGAGGGAGGTGACCCCGTCCCAGGAGTGGGGGCCTGGGGACGGCGCCCCCTTGCGGTCACAGCTCCACATGCAGCGGGAGGGTCCTCATGCCACAGAGACCCGTGCGGAGGAGACACACTTAGAGGCAGGTGTGAGAGGGCCATCCAGCTCCCCCCCCCCCCAACCCACTGCAGACCCCACAGACCCCCGGGCCTGAGGAACAGGTAAAATAGTCATGAGTTAGTATTCTCCAGTGTCAGAACCACACTGGCCTTCAGGGAGTAGGGGCAGGTTCTCTCTTAACTTGGGGTCCTAGGGAGGTAGGGGGCACTTCAGTAAGCTGGGGGTTGCTTGGAGACAGAGCTGGGCTTGCTACAGAATCAGCAAACATTTCTCCCAGGTTCCCACCTGCATCCCAACTAGACCAAGTCTCTATTTCACAGCCTCCTGTTTATTGGCCTCTCAGTATTTATGTGTCCTACTCAGACCAGACTGTGGGGCCTAGGGCTGGCCCCAGGAGGATGCTGTCTGGCACTCTTGAGTGTATGTAGCTGGGGGAGGTGGGGTGTGAGCGTCTGGGAGAATGCTGATTGGCCACACAGGAGAAGTTCTTGGTGTCCTCCGTGGAATGAGGAGGAAGAGAGTAGTAGATTGTGGGTAACAGCAGTGGTTCACTCTGAGTAGGACTGGAGGTAGCTCCCCTGCCTCCACGTCCCACAGACTCCACAGACTGACCCAGGCTTCAGTCTCTCCTCCGTAAATCTAGAAGGTCAATGAGGGAATACGTTCCAAGGCCTCCAGGGATAAATGTGCAAAAGCTGCCCAACCATCAGCAGGACAGGACACTCCGTGGCTCTTTCATACAAGGAGATAGAATTGGCATTCAGTAGGATGAGGCTCTGATGGGTGGCCTGGCACCCTCCTACCTCTGAAAGCTCTATCTAGGCTCTGTCCCCTGACCCTGTCTGAGTGTCTTCCACAACGGAACCCAGCTGGTGTTCTTCTCTCCCCCATGGCTCTCCAGCCAGCTAAGGATAGCCTTGACTGGAGTGTGATGGACCTTAGAATGCTAAGATGGACCTTAGCTGGCTATGGAAGCACAGCGAGCTGGCTACAAGTGGCTGGGCACACAGCCCTGGTGTGGCTTCCAAGCTGGGAAGTCCGCAGGGCGTTCTGTGCAGGTAAAGCAGCGGACGTTTTCTGTGGCCCTTCAGAAGAGATAGTGAGAGCTCTTTTCTGGAATCAGGAGGAATGGAGTCACAGAGGGTCCAGGTCCCTCACTTGCTCTATTATAGACCCCCTGTGCGCGCAGGGTGGCTTGGGTGCCACCCACAGTGACAGGTGTGGTTAAAACGCACCCACAGGACACTGAGCTGAGACTGGCCTCGGAGCTCCCACAGGCCGCTCCCATCCTGACCCTTCTCTGCTCCCCAACAAACACTCCAGGTGGGGTGACTGCATGTGACTGGGAGGCCCTGACGGGCAGACAGGAGATGGACAGATTTCACAGTATGACGACGACACAGCGTGAAGGTCACACACAGACACTTGTGTTTGCCGGGGACGCGTCTTGGCTCAAGCCCCAGGATAAGGAAGGGTTCCCAGGCTGGACTCAGCATCGGGGTCACTGTTGCTAGAGTGACTTCTGCTATCCCACGCTTCGCATGTCTGGGGTCCTTGAGTGCATGCTCACTGTGGCCCCTGTGTGGGGCTGGAAGGGGCGTTTCTGATGTGGGCACGGAGAGGACCTTCTGGTGTCTACGGCAGGACAAAGCGTGATCGTTGCTACTGCTGTGGGGGAGCAGGGGGCGGGGAGCCAACAAGGCCACAGCAGGAAAGACAAGAGGGGTCACAGGCCAGACAGGGATGGGGCAGGGGGGAGGGGTGATGGAGAAATGACACTCACCGGTGGCCCAGGCCTGCCGTCCAAACCTGAAGCTCCCTGGACGAAGGGCACGAAGGGCACGGTTTGACCCAAAGGAAGGGAAGGGAGGGGGCGGGAGAGAGAAAAAAGGAGACAATGGGGAGGGGAGAGGTGAGTAGAGCGTGACTCTGGACAGACACAAATGCCATAAACACAATGGGAGAATGAGCTTGGGAGGACAGGGGGGTGTGTTTGCACACGGACACTGAACAAGGACACGGAGACACCGAGGGCCGTGGCTGGCTGCTGAGCGGGCGTGAACCCTGGGGACAGAGGCTCTGACCCTCTACAGCTCTTGTCACCCCTCTCTCCCTTCACCCCACAGGAACCCCTCTTCCCAGGGTGCTTTGGTGCTCGGGGAAGGGGACACAGAAAGGCATTCCCCGGATGTACAGGTGGATCCAGAGCTACGCTGCCTCTCCAGGGCAGGCTACGTGGAGGGTATCCTGGGGGAGGGGGTGTGATCCCAGCTTCTTTTGCACCCCTATAGAGAGAGTCCATTCTGCACCTCCTGACCCCCAGGAGCAATTTTAAAATTGCTCTCATTCTCTCTGTCTCTCTGTGTGTGTGTAGCTAAGAGGTCAACTTCTGGGAATTGATTTTCTCCATCTACCATGTGGGTTCCAGACAACTGAACTCAGGTTTTTAGCCTCACAGCAAGCGCTTTTACCCACTTAACCCTCTCACTGGTCCCAGCACTAGCTTTTAAACCTGAATAGAAGCAGGCTTAGTTTTGCTCCATCTGGGCAGGCAGGGGGGCAACCCTTGGATGATGATCCTGACATTTCTCTGGCACTTTACAGTTAGACACCAACTTGGTCCATTCACATACTTTCAAACAAGTGTCCTTTTACACACAAAGGCTTTGGAGGCAGCTGTCAGGGTCATAGGTCTAAAGCTACACATTTGTGGTAAATGAGTCCCTGAAGGTGAGTCGCTATTCAGCCAGGGTGTCCTGTGACCTCATTACTCCCTGCTGACCGATGAACAATGACTTGGTGGGAAGGGGGCCTTTGCAATAGTGCCAGGTTCTGAAGTGGTCTCTGGGGTTGGCATGACGGGACACCTAGCCAGCAAGCATGGAGTTCTTGAAAACTGCTTCTAACTGAGACTCAGAAATGAGCCTCAGTCTCAGGGTAGATGAGGGGAGGGACCAGAATTTGGAGTGTAAGGGGCTGGTCCTCGAAAGGGTACTGGGTAGGATGAGGCTGCAAAGCTGTGTTTTCGGTGTTGAGACTACCAACTCTGGGACTGACTTTGACCCCAAGCTAGAGCTGAGGTTCCCAATTCTGGCTGCACATGTAGTGTCTCTCCTGGGGTTTTATTTACAATACAGCCACTTAGGTTCTATGCTGACCAAGTCACATAACTCTTCAAGAATCAGGGCCCTGGGTCACGGCATGTTTAGAATGCTCCCAGCAGACTCCAGTGTACTGGCATCACTGGGAGCTAAATGGAAGGGGGGAGCCAGCAACATAGGCCTGGAGAGGCTGCTACCTGCCGCCACATAGCTGCTGACATCCAGGTGCAGCCTAGAAACAGCCTGGAGCATCCACGGGATTTGCAGATGCAATGCCACCACCAAGTGCTCTCGAGGTGGTTGGGTCAGAGGGCATGGACCAAAGCACTCAGACCCTTGGTGAGCCACTGGCATCCTCCTTCCAGGACTATAAATGCTATTGGTCTATTGCTCAGAATATTTACGGGGCAACTGCCTATGAGATGTCAGGCATCGGGCTGAGAGATTCAAACGTGCCGAGCTCTCCTCCCTCCAAAGCCAATATCACCTGAGTGAGGAGACCCTTCTCCCTAGGAAGGGCCGCAAGATCTCCAGGACACCACAGTCATTGCCACTCCCTACTGCCTCACCCGAAGTCCTTGTGAACAGCAGTCTGTGATGGAGCTTGTTGTTTCTTGTTTGTTTGATTTTGTAGGTGTGAGCATGGAGACATGCATGTAGGTGAGGGCATACGGTAGGTCAGAAGACAACCTCCCATGTCATTCCTTAATCACCTTCCTCCTTTTGTTTGAGACAGGCTTTCTCACTGGCCAGGAAGTTCTCTACAGAGCCCAGGCTAGCTGGCTGTGGGCTTCCAGGGATCTGCGGTCTTACCATTGCTAGAGATTGCCAGCACACACCACCGCTGCCCAGTTTCTTTTTCTTTTGGTTTTTTTGAGACAGGGTTTTTCTGTGAAGCCCTGGCTGCCCTGGAACTCACTCTGTAGACCAGGATGGCCTTGAACTCAGATCCACCTACCTCTGCCTCCCTGCTAGGATTAAAGGCTTAACATGGGTCCCAGGGATTTGAATACAGGCCTCACATTTGCACTTGATGGAGTCATCACCCCGGGCCTTCTTTCAAGCTAAGGAAAGGATTTCTTTGTACATGCCTCTACCAGAAACTGTTGGAGACACAAACATGGGAGGACTTCTCTGTCACTCATCTGGCACTGTCTTTGTTTACGTCACCTGTTGGGTTGCTGGGTTATTGGCCTGGGCACCCCTAACTGAAGCCTCTCATGTTCATCAGGGTTGTCGGCGCTTATGAAGGTGAACAACAGGTGATCTGTGGCTGACGGGGTCAGGAAGGTGCTTCCTTGTGTACGTAAGCCATTCCAGACACAGCTTGTGAGAGGGCCAGCATCTGCTAAAGTCATCACTTTCTTGTGGTCTGTCAAGTCAATCAGCTCCTTAGCTCTTCCTACGCTCGCATGCTAGTTGCACCAGCAAGAGGGAAACTGTCCCTGACTGCATGGGTTTCCCATGGCTCCTCTGCTGTTTACAGCTACCTGGGGCTGGGGACTGGCTTGGAGCTGGAGACAGTGGAAGCCGGAAGACCCCCCCCCCATGTAGCTTCAATGGATGAGCAGCCTTCGGTCCAGTCTTGCCACCAACTCCATCAGTGACCTCAAGTGACCCTCCGTAGAATGACAAGATGGTTTGCTGAAGTCTCCTTTAGCTTTTGAAAAGCAGATTCAGACAGTGACACAGGAAGAGCCACCAGGCCACTGGGAGGGTGGGACAGGGGCTCACACAGCCTGGGCTGTACCTCTAGGCACGCAGAATCCTGGAGGCCGTCCTCAGAGGCTGATGAGGGAGCCCTCCAGCTCTGGAAGACTGAGAGCCCAGGCTGTGGGAGCAGCAGCCTTAGCCTGCCGGGATCACAGAGCTGGCTTCATACATGCCCGCGTGCTGTGGCTAGCGCATAGCAGAAGAGAGCTGGGGTCTCCTTTGGGGTTATTTGGGGAAGATGACCATTGCCACAGTTCCCCAAGTCTTCCATGCTTACCCCCTCAGGGAACACACCTTGATGGCTTCAAGTCAGGCCCCAGAGGGCTTGAGGCTGACCTCAGGCCTTTCTGGTTCTCCATCAGGTTGTTCCTTAGGTATGGCCCCTACCCCAGTGAGCTTCACATTGTTCCAGCACTAAGACTAGGCCTGGGAAAGATGCTGAGGGCCTGCCTTCCTCCCCCACCATGACAGGAAAGAACCCAGCACACTGGGATGCTCAGAACTTTGGGTGCAGAGCAGCGTCCTCCCTGGTCCCTGCCCAGCAACGAAGCCTGGGGGAAGGGCTACCCAGGGCAGCTCCTCCCAGAAGCCTTATGGCTCCCAGGTACTTACAGGCAATCCCAGAGGCCCTCGGTCTCCTTTTTCTCCTTGGGAACCCTTCTCTCCTTTGGTGCCATCCAGGCCTGCTTCTCCCTGCAGGAAAAGGAGATGGTAGAAAATAGTGAAGGGGTCTGCCTGAGACAGCCCAGTCCTGTTCCCTGAGGTCGTGGAGGCTGGGAGTGGTAGTCTTGCCATACTTTTAGGTTGAGGGAAAGGTCTGGAGAGATGTGGCAAGAGTTTGATCATTTGCTAAGCAAGTCACTCCACGGAGCTCAGGAGGTGGATGGGGAAATTCACATCCCAAAGCAGGCCAGGCGTCAGTGGTGGACGTTATAGGGACTATAGGACTTCAGTCTGCCCTGATGGCCTGGCTGCGCCTAGTGGGTGGTACCATTTAGGGAGATGGATCAGCTAGGTCTCAGAAGCGTGTCCCGGCCACAGCATCTGTCACATGACCTTTTCTTACCTTTGGTCCAGGAACACCTTGGAGGCCCTGCATTTGGAATCAGAACAAGAAGCATTAGAACTACATGTGTAGGGGCTGGAGAGATGGCTCAGTGATTAAGAGCACTGGCTGCTCCCCCAGAGGTCCTGAGTTCAATTCTCCCAACCATCTATAATGGGATCTGATGCCCTCTTTTGTCATGCAGGGAAACATGCAAATAGAGTGCTCATCTGCATAAACACATAAATCTTTTTTTTTTTTTTTTAAAGAACCACATGTGCAGGTGACCCCAGGAGGGCAAGGGTTTGGGGTGTATAGTCTCAGGTCCTGGCTCTTGAGAGGTAGAGGGAATGTGAGGGAGGGCCCTGTAAACATGGAGCTTCCTGGGGTGGAGTCAGAACCATCTGCCCAGCCAGGGGCTGATACACAGTCTCTCTGTGGCCTCCCACAGCTGGCTCGGAGTCTCATGAAGGGCCGAGGAGGCAGCAGTGGAAACAGAGGGAATCGAAGGATATGAAACACTTAGTGCGTGGGACGTGGGAACGTCCACTAAATGGTGTCGACTAGCAGTATTGTTGCTAGTACAATGGAGGACCCAGAATGTAAGGGGCATTCGTGGAACATGAAGAGACACAGAGCAACACCTGCTCATTTGAGGTGTTTGGGGACCCTCTATTTGCATCCATCTGGGCTGGTTTTCATGGGTCACTTTCTTAAAAGGCCATCTTTTTGCTCTCTGGAAGGAGGAAAGGGCAAGACCAGACATCTGATAGAAAAGGGCTAGACAAATGTTGGCAGAGCAGTGGCAACCATGCCAGTCCACCAGGCGGTGCCAGGGCTTCCTGGCGTGTGTCACTGGGATGACATGTTGGAGACGGGAGGGAAGCCGGATGAGGAGGGTTTGTGGACTTGAAAAGCTCTCCTGGGGAGGACCCAAGGCTGAAGCTGAGCTCAGTGATGGCCAAGGGAGGGGATACCGTAGGTCCAACCACAATGGCTGAAATGCTACCGAGTCCTTGACACTCACCGGAGGTCCTGGAGGCCCCTCTGGCCCTGGCGGCCCGGGAACCTATAATCCAAAAGGGAAGCTCTGTTATGCTCTGTTATGGTCCTGGTCCAGCTAAGTTCACGAGAGAATAGGAATGCCCCTGAAGGGTAGGCCAATACACAGCCTCCCTAAAGGAGACTTTAGGTCAGAAATTCAGGGTGAACTGTTAGCCTCACACAGTGTTGGCCCAAAAACATTTTCAGGAAACATCTCCAGAACACCTGCTCCTCCTGGGTGCCCTGAAACACCACTTAGCTTGCAGTGGATTCCTACCATGTTGTACATGACAACCACTGCCCAGGAAAAGAATGAGAGCCCTGCCCTCTAGGTGGAGCGTGGTCTCCAGTCTGCCCAGACTCCACCCCCTGCTGTATTCAACTCTGGCCTCTGCATTCATGTGTTGCCTGGACCTCTTAAACATGTGAGTTAGAGCTTATGGGAATGGAGACTGGTTATCCGAAGCCAGGGGAGGCTGAGGTGTTCCTGAAGGGTATTCTTCAAGACTAGCTCTGCTCCATGTTTGTAAAGGGTAGGCCAGAAACGGTTGTGTTTCTTTTGAGGGCAGATGCAGCAAGAGAGATTCAGGCTGGACAGGAAACCACCAGTGTCCCTTGAACCGTGGTGTTTCTGCTCAATGACTACCTCCTTGTAGAGAACACAGTCTCTGAAAGGTTTCCTGTTCTTGGCTCAATGGTTAGCTTTGTCAGCTTGACACAACCCAGAAGAGTCTCAGGGATTATTCACTTCGGGTTGACCCATGGCCATGTCTGTGGTACATTAGTAAGTTAACTGATGTGGAAAGAGCCAGCCCACTGTGGGCAGCACATTCCCTAGGCTGGGGGAATACCTGAACTGTGTGAGTGGAGAAATGAAGCCCAATAAGTGAGCACGCATTCATTGCTCTCTGTTCTTGACTGGATGTGACGTGACCACACCTGACTCAAGCTCCCACCACCCCGACTTCCCTGCAATAATGGACTATAGCCTGGGACTGTCAGCGAAACTAAACCCTTTCTCTCCCCAAGTTGCCTTTTTTGTCAGAGTATTTTATCACAACAGCATAAATGAAACTGGGGCCCTCAGATGGGGCTGTAGCTTAGTGGTGAGAGCATTTGGCTAGCATGCGTGAAGGCTCTAGACACCCCCCACCCCACCCTCACACTTATTATTCTTATTATAAATAAACAATGTATAGATCTGATTATAAGAGTGCTTGTAGAAACCCAAACCCCACTGAGAATGGTGATGCACTCTGGAGGCAGAGGCAGGTGGATCTCTACGAGTTCAAGGCCAGCTTGGTCTACAGAGTGAGTTCCAGGACAGCCAGGGCTACACAGAGAAACCCTGCCTTGAAAAAACCAAACCAACCACACAAATAAACAAAAAAGTGTTTAAAAGTAACACGGACTTATTAAATATTTTATAAATGAAAGAGAATCGAAAGGAAGAAAATAATATATGGCTGTCATATAAGTTGAGAGGGGCTGTTAATAGTTTGCCCGACTTTCTCCCGCCTTCTTGGAAATATTAGCTATAGCTGAATACATTTATGTGCTTACAATGATACATAAATATAATTTGGTTTTCTAGTCTTTTATAGTTGATGTGAAACTGAATTTTCTATCTTTGGGTGTGTTCCCCCATCAGCCCCCTTCCTTGATAACACATTGGCCCTTGAGTAGGAGAGCAAGTGTCTACCTGGACAGTTGGGCCGAGAATGGTGTTTGGCCTGAGGATGACCTCAGCCATGGACAAAGCCAGCACTACTGACTTATTAGCCTGAGGATTTTAATCCTTTCCTTCTTGTTAGGAACACTGTTTTCAATTTTGACTTGAAATACTTCTGGAAGGAACATTTGTGTGTATAATGCTTTTCCAGAACTTAGGATTACTTCTTTAGGGTGCAATCCATTCCTAAATAAGGAACAGTGGTGGAATACTTGGGTCCGTTTTACTAAATTCAGATGGGGCTGGTGACATTAAAGGGTGCCAGGCTAGGGGGCCTCGTGGGGGACCATGAAGTTTGAGGGTCTCTTGCTTTCCTTTGGGGTGGCTACTGGACTGCCCAGGCCTTCCTGCCAAACTCCCTCCCATCTCCAGGATCTCTGCCGCTTCCCCTGTACAACTATGCATGGTGCTCTCCATCCTCCACAAAGCCTGTTTCCAGGCCGACTTCTTGCTCCTTACCCTTCCTCTCCGCCTCTCAGAGAATCTCGCCTCTATGGAAAGCATCCCTCTGACACTTTGCGACCAAGTCCTACATGGCCGTTCAGAACTTGCCCAAATAGCTCAACCTCTGGCACAGCCAGGCAGTTCTGTTTATTTTCTTATGCCCATTATAGCCTCAGGATGTTCTCTGAGCACTGTAGGAATTGGTCAGTGTGTGACCAGGGCAGCCTTGGGGCTCAGTACCCGACAGTTGCCCAGCTTCTGCCCTTGCCCAGTCAGAGATGCTAAGCAACTTGGAGAAAAACTGGTATTTCTAGTGAGGCCCTTGTCAGGTGATCACACGGAAGGAAGAGCAGGGTGGACCTACCTCTACTCCTGGGTCACCTTTCTCCCCAGCTTCTCCTTTCTCTCCCTGTGGGCACAAAGACATCCCAGTGTGAGAGCTGGTAGCCAGGAGCTCGGCCACAGGGCCACCCTCACATCTGTGATAAGCTACAAGGACTAGGCTGCTCCTGGAGAGGTTGTATAGGTAGTCAGCCTACAGGACAGTGGACCAAGAATGGCCCTGTGACAACCATCTTCAAGGATCTCAGACTCCAGTGGTGGGAGAAGGGCTAGTCCTGGGTATGCTTCTTACAGCAAACAGGCTGCAGGGTGGAACTGTGACCAACTGTTTTTCAGTATTGGAAGAGGGACTATGGCATCATGATGCCTGCCACTCTTGTGACTATTTTATACACCATCACATTCATGTGTTATACATAGGAAAATGTAATGCATGCTAAGACATGTTTTATATATGAAGACACATGCATGCATATGGTGCCATCTTGCTAGTTCTAGATTCTAGAAAAAAAATCCTCTCAATGACTTTCAAGAAATAAGCTATTGTGAGGTGAACTGTCCACCATGTGGAGGACCATGTGGCGAGGAATTGTAGGTGGCATGCAGGAACTGGGGGATTCAATCCTACTATGACAAGGGACCAAATCTTGTCAACAGCTAGTAGCTTGGAAGAAGACTATTCAGGGTACAGGTAAGAACACAGATGGCCACTGATTTGACTGCAGCCTTGGAGACCCTGGTTGGGGAACCCAACGATGACAGGCCTTGGCTCCTGAGCCGCAGAATGGACACAATGACGAAGGTGTGCCATTTTAAGCTGCTGTTGGTGATGACTTATGGAACACTGATAGAAAGTGGATATAGCTCAGATCCCAGAGCCTCGGGGGAGCCAGTGGGGGTGGTGGACAAGGAAGAGACCATACCAAGCCCAGGAGCTCAGCTTCCATCTTGGAGGTGGGCACGCTGAGGATCTATGTGTCATCTACCTACGTGGCTGACCCTGCTGGGTAGACATTCACTATCAGGGTCCACTGAGTCACATTTGATCTCTGAGGGTCTTTGACTTTTTTGTGGGTGTTGGTGTGTGGGTGTAAGAGGCAGGACGTCAACCTCAAATGTCCCCCAGGTGCCTGCCTTGTTTGCTTCTTCGCTTTCTCCCCCCCCCACTTTTTGGGGGACCTGGGGCTCACTGATTAAGCTAGGCTGGCTGGCCTGCATACCCCAGGGACCTGCCTGTCTCTTTCTAGTTCTAAGAGGGGAATTCCAAGTCTGAGTCTAGCACCCTTCGGCTAAGCAGCCACTGAAGACAGAAGCTACCACACTGTGTACTGAAGAAGCTAGAACTCTGGACCCAAGCAGGACTCCAAGCCAGCGCTGACAGGCCCAGGCTAATACAGCCTGGCATGATGCCAGACACTCTCAGGCTGTTGACCCAGCAAGGAGCCTCTCGCTCCTATGCCCTCATCTGCAGCTGCCTGCAGACACCCTTGACACCCGGTCCTCTCGCCTTACTGTGAATCCCGGGAGCCCGATGGGCCCAGGTAATCCTGTCGCTCCGGGCTTCCCTTGGTCACCTGGTTCTCCTTTCTCCCCAGTTGGGCCGTCTAGACCCTACAGATCGACAAAGATCTCTGTCAGTGAAGCTCAGAGTCATCATGCTGAGCAAACGTGCCCATCTATGGCATGCACACATGCGTGACTCCCTTCCTCCAAGGGTAGTGCCATTTCATGGATGGTACGGTTGAGGCCCAGAGAAAGCTCCTTAGCTAAGTCAGCAGCCTAGCTGGTCTGGGCAGGGGGCGCCTTTTCCATTCATGCAAACTCTTCTAATGTAGGGTTTCCACATGCTTCTGGAGGAGTAGGCTCACAGCCCTGACTCTGTCTTTTTCAACATTCCATGGGAGGATCCAGGAAAGGCATTGTTATTCCCATCTTAGAGATGGGAAACTGAGGCTCTGCAAGGCTCAGTGACTTCCCTAAGGACACAGGAGAGGTTGGCACAGGACTCAGGCCTCCTGCGTGGGGACACGATACCAGGATACTAGCCTTCATAAAGTGAGTGGCATGGCAGGCGGCAGCTGGTAAACCTTGGTTCTCTGAACTCGGGAGCAGCTGGCAGCATGCAGAGACCATGTCAGGATGGAGGTGGTGCATGCAGGGTACCAGCTGCCCAGACACTTACCTGGGGGCCTGCTTGTCCTGTCTCCCCTTTCTCCCCGGGGACCCCTGGGGGTCCGGCCTCTCCCTTCAATCCCGGAGGCCCATCCTTTCCCGGGGGCCCTTGGGGGCCAGGGGGTCCCATATCTCCTGGTTTCCCTCGAGGTCCCTATAGAAATATCAATGACACTTCTTGGGGATATTGATGGAGAAAAGATGAGGGAGGGGGAGAGATCAGAAAAGGCTTGGTGGTCAAAGGCTAGGTTCACTGGATGGGAGCTGATAAAGAGATCGCCAGGCTGGCTCTGCCAGGGTACAGCTGGAACCCCTCTTCCTGACCCTCCTGACTTTCCCTGGCTGGGCCTGCTCCTGAGCCCTCCTGCCCACACTCCCTGGGTGAGAACCACTTGCAGAATCCTTGCTGTAGACAATGCTGTTTACCTTGTCCCCATCATGTCCTGGAGGGCCTGGCAGTCCAATCTCCCCCTGCAGCAGGGGCAACAGAATTGGTTGAAAGCAGAGATACCAATGCCCACCTCCTTGGTACCCTGCCCCAGACCCCATAGCTTCTGGAAGGCACACCTTTGGTTGCCTTGGTGTCACAGGTCAGGATCCCAAAGTACGGTGGTGAGGGGAGCTGAGCATCCTATGGCCCATGTTTTAGCCACAGTCTCACAGGGCTGTCCCTGAGAGCCCTGGACATCCCACAGTTCCTGGTCACCTTAGCCCAACCCTCCTGTCCTCACTGCTTACAAGCAGCCTCACAGCCATCTCAGACCCTTCCTACTTTAGGTTGTGAGGTGGGGGGGGGGAAGGGTGTAGTAACATGATGTAGGAAGGAGCAGAGGAGAGAGGCATTTAATTCTGCTGGATGGGTCTGGAGTGACATCCTGGAGAAGGCTACCTGGAGGAAGGCAGACTCTCAGAGGCAGAGAGAAAACACAAGGTTTCTTCTAGAAAAGTGGAGGAAAGGGTGGGTGGAGGGCGAGGATAATGGCAAAGGCACCGAGGGAGGGAGGTAGAGAGTTGGAAAAGGGCTACCCAGGTCTGGTGGCTGAGACCATGGGTGTGTTCCAGATCCCACTGTATCTGAGGGGTTCTCTGAAGCACAAGACCAAAGACTATCTGGGAAGAATGGCAGAGCTTGAGGCTGGGAGTGAGGGGACTGGAGTGGGTGGTAGGGCCTAAGGTACACAGAGGGATGACAGGTAAGTGAGGGGGTCCTGGGAAGATGAAGGGGGTCACAGAACACAGGGAGGCCCCACAGCGATGTGCTCAGAATGTCTCATCTGCTCGGCATTTTAAACACTCCACTCTGCACCCCCACCTCCCCAGTCCCCACTCCCCATCCACCACCAGGGCAAGTCTTACCCTTTGGCCTGGAGTCCCTGGAGGTCCAGGCGGGCCTGTTTGTCCAGGAAGACCAGGAGGACCCTAGGAAGGAAAGGAAGAACTAGTAGGAGGGATGACTGTCACCAGAGGGCTGTATGTGGGGCTGGTTTACAGGGATCGTTCACTTTCCAACATAACATTTCCTCGTGTGTGTGTGTGTGTGTGTGTGTGTGTGTGTGTGTGTGTGTGTACATACACTCATGCATGCACACACAAGCTACAGCATGAATGTGGAGGTCAGGGGACAACTTTGTGGAACTGATTCTCTTTTTTTCTATGGATGAAATTCAGGTCGCCAGGCATGTACAGGAAACACCTTTACCTGCTGAACCATCTCCCTGGTCCAACACTTAGCTTTTTGTGTGGGTTCTGGAGATCAAACTGGGGTCCTCGTGTTCAAAAGTCCAACAAGCATGCTACCAACGGGGCTATCTGCACCACGTCTAATGGCCTTTTAAAATCATACTCATTTTTTTAAAAAATTTATTTATTCTTATTTTATTTACATTGACATTTTACCTGCATGTCTGTCTGTGTGAGGATATCAGATCTTAGAGTTACAGACAGTTGTGAGCTGCCATGCGGGTGCAGGGAATTGAACCTGGGTCCTCTGGAAGAGCAGTCAGTGCTCTTAACCACTGAGCCATCTCCCCAGCCTTAAAACCACATATTTTAATGTTCCCAAATGAGGTTCCTTGGTTCTAGAACCTTGTGGCTTGTGCCCGTGTCCAGGGATGAGGTATTCCTGGAAAGGGAGTTTGTTTGACACAAGGTCTTATAAGTGGCTCCAGCTAGGCCAGAACTCACTACATAGACCAGGCTGGCCTTGAACTTGGGGTGACCCTCCTGCCTCTGCCTCCTGAGTCCTGGGGCTACAGGTGCAGGCCACCTTGCCTGTCACCCTGCTGTATACAGTTCCCAGAGATTAGAGGACCAGAGACTCCCACGGCTCCAGGACTTTGGGGCCCTCTCCTCTCCACCGTGGAGGCTGAAGTTGGTGACGGTGACAGTTGTCCTAACTACCAATGTTTCCTTCGAGCCTGCCACTGGTCGGCACATGTGCAGAACCCAGCATGGAATTCCAGGGGTTTTCCAGGCACAGATACTGAGATTGCATAGACAGCCGCTCCTCATTTTTCAGGAAAGAGAGAGAGAGAGAGAGAGAGAGAGAGAGAGAGAGAGAGAGAGACAGAGAGACAGAGAGACAGAGAGACAGAGAGACAGAGACAGAGAGACAGACAGAGAGACAGAGAGACAGAGACAGAGAGAGACAGAGAGAGAGAAACTGCCCCTGGAGATGCTGTAAATACCACCCAGAGTCCACATTGTGCCTGTGTGATCCACCTGGTAGATGAGAAGCTGTCACCACCAACGGCCCTGATACAGGGACACACAGCTCCTGCCCCTGTCCAGGCTCGGTGCATCCTCTGCCTGGCATGGCCCAGAAGCTCAGGGCATGCCTTCTGGGGGTTAGAAATCTAGACTGTGCTCTCTGTGACCAGTCCAGTGCCTGAGGGAAAACCAGGGAGGAGTGTAACTTACCATCAAGGCCAGTGTCCTGATCTCCTGAAAAAACAGCACAGAACAATTAGCTGGAGGGCAAGTGTCCCCCTGCCAGGTCCCCTCTGCAGTCACGTCCCTCTGCAGGGGCGGGATGGAGGAAGACCTCACAGATTGGCTCTCAGCCCTGTGTCACCCCCACACCTCCCAGAGGCTTGCCATCTGGATAGGGGACATCTAGATAGGACCTCTCAAAAGCCTTCCTCTTGGTCCTAACAAAGACTCCCACACCTCCACACACCTCCTCACAGCTCCACACACCCCCTCACAGCTCCATACACCTCTACACAGCTCTACACACCTCCACACACTTCACAGCTCCTCACAGCTCCATACACCTCCTCACAGCTCCACACACCTCCACATACCTCTACATAGCTTCACACACCTCTACACACTTCCACACATCTCCACACACCTCCTCACAGCTCCACACACCCCCTCACAGCTCCATACACCTCTACACAGCTCCACACATCTCCACACACCTCACAGCTCCTCACAGCTCCACACACCTCCTCACAGCTTCACACACCTCCATACACCTCCTCACAGCTTCACACCCCCACATACCTCTACATAGCTTCACACACCTCTACACACTTCCACACACCTCCACACAGCTCCTCACAGCTCTTCACAGCTCCACACAGCTCCACACAGTTTCACACACCTCCACATACCTCTACATAGCTTCACACACCTCCACACACTTCCACATTCCACACAGCTTCACACACCTTCTCACACCTCCTCACACCTCCACACAGCTTGACACACTACACAGCTTCACATACCTCCACACACGTTTGCACAGCTCCATACACTTCAACACACCTCCACATAGCTTCACACACCACACAGCTTCACACACCTCCACACACGCTTGCACAACTCCACACACTTCCACACACCTCCACATAGCTTCACACACCTCCACATACACCCACAGACTCCATCCAGCTCCACATGCCTCCCTACAGTTTCATACACCTAGGCAGTTTGAAGGGGCGATTCTTAATCTGGCGTAGTTTTGCCCCAAGGGGAACTCTGGAACTGCCCGGTCCTGATTAAAGATGGGGTGCTGCCAGTCTAGTGGACTGAGATGTGCTAAAAATCCTTCAGCACGCGGGGGCGACTCTTCCACTTATCACCACATGATCCAACCATGAATAACTGTGCCAAGATCTATTTAAAAGATGGGGGCTCATGAACTTGAAACAGGATGAAACTGATGGAAAACTGATGTTTTCTGGGAGGTGGAGGCAGCTCCCACCAGGTAAAGGGGGTGCCCAGGAGTCATGTGCCCCCAGAGCACGTGATAATTGGCACTTTATGGGAACCAGGGTATTCCCAATGGCTCTTGGCTTGGCCAGAGCCAAGTATTTACTACCTGGGCTAAGAGCTCCGCCAGGACTTGGAGATCTCCAGCCTCTGGAGTGGAACCTACTCACCTGAAGTGCCTCGCTGATGTTTCCATTGTAGTCCACCATCTCTCCCTTGCCGGGTTCACCCTTGGAGCCCTGAAAGGCAGAGGAGCTCTCAGCCAGAGCCTGGGACAGGAGGGGCCTGAGGGCCTGTAGCCTGTGGTGGTGGTCCCTGTACCTGCCTGGACACAGGGTGACGTAGAGCATCCAGGACTGTCTGTCAGGGTGCTCAAGGCTTGTGGGACAAACAAACAGCGTGTGCTTGAGCATTCGAGACCAGACAGGCCCAGAGATGGATGAGTATAATCACCATGGCCGGGAAAAACCTCCCTCCTAGGGCCAGCGCACTGTTCCCTTCCCACCTCTCCAAGAGCTCAGGGTCAAGTCCCTTCATGCTACAACTCCAGGTGACAGACGAACATACCTTGGGGCCAGCTGGTCCCTGCTCCCCAGCTTCTCCTGGCTGTCCCTGTTGCGTGACAAATGAGCAAAATGATTGATAGGGCTGAATGTGAGAACACCTGATGACCATAGGTGAGCCACACTTAGCTCATTCATCTTGGCTCAAGCCAACAGGACAAACCTCCCTGTATGTTTCACTGCAGGCTCTGCCCCCTTCCAGAAACTTCCCAATACCTGCCCACACTTTCTTCCTCTGAGTTTGAGTTCCTCAGGGCCCTACTCCCTTTGAGCTTAATGATACCCCTTCTTTTCTGTCCTAGGTTAGTCGTTAGTGACTTTCCTCTGTCCCTTTGGCTACCTTTCCTTGGGTCCCTAAACCAGCCTTGGCAACCTTGGCAGCAGGTATCTAGCCCTTTGCTTCTCATGACTTCCATTCTGCACTGTGCAAGGGTTCGTTGCCTGGTGTTCAACGATGGCCCCAGTGAGCCCATGTGATCTTTTTAGGGCCCACTCTCCCTGGGACAGAGGGAACCACAGGGTAAAACAGAATCCAGGGATGTCAGGAGGGAACAGCCAGAGGGATACTGATGTCCTAGAGTGGGTCAGGGGCTGGGGGTTGCTCCAGCTGGAAAAAGGACCAGGTGACATGGAATAGATGGGACCATGGTGTCTAGTGAAGGATAAATCATACATTTAATTTTTCCGGGATAATGTGAATTTTGAAGACGAAACGAAGTTAAAGATAAAGAAAAATTGAATGCTTTATCAACTCAACTCAGATGACCCTGCCACTGGCCCTCTGAGGAACTGCCTGCCCTCTGTGTCCCGCCCACCTCAGCATTTTGGTTATCATGTGCCTGTGGAAGAGGTAGGGAGTGGACAGAAAAGAGTTCTCCATGTAGATCTGTAGTGTGGGGAGCGACTGTAAGCCAGGGTTCAGACTCATTCTCCAGCTAAAGTGTCCCGTTCTCCAGGCAGGCTTTTGCATGCCCATGATCTCAGCAGATGCTTCTCTGAGGTTCAAGTCAAAAGAAGGAATCAGGAGTCAAAGCTGGCTAGCTCGGGGTCAGCACTGGGGTCCAGTCAGGCTCAGGATGACTGGTCTCCTGAGCTGTGTTCGAACACCCTCAACCACCCTCATCCTGCTGCTCCTGACTGTGGGGGACTCTACCTTGTCTCCTTGCAGTCCTGGGGGCCCAGCCTGGCCGTCGACACCAGCTTCTCCCTGGGAAGAAGAGAGAGGAGGTCAGGGCACTCAGGGCAGCTGGGGCAGCTGCTGGAGAGTCGGGAGCCTGTTGGAAAGACACACTATACCAGGTCCTGCCTGCCTGGGCAACAGAAAGGGACATGAAGGCCCTGGGAATTGGGGTAGAGATCCCCACAAGTCCAGGATGGGCTTTGTGGATTGAGGTGTGAAGGCAGAGCCCTGGAAAGTGGACCAGAGTTTGCAAATACAACTTTCTAACTCTCCTTCCCTATATCAGAAGACATAGACATGGTGGCCAGGCATTCTCAAGTCCCCACTGAGACCCAAGCTGTGGCAACCTCATGACCTATGACCCCAGGCCTGAGAGCATGGGGTGGTGGTGCTGCTGCCTCTGGCAAAGCCGCAGCTCCTGCTGAGTTAGGCTTCAGTCATTTCTCTAGGATGCAGGGAAGGCAGCAACCAGCCATGCTCGACACCTTGCTCTCCCGGAGCTGTCCATCTGCCCCTCTTTGGGGGCTCCACATCTCTGTTGACATAGATGCCAGCAAAGACTCACCTTTGGCCCCGGGGGCCCAGGGAGCCCTGGGGGGCCGGGTTCCCCCTTGCCTCCTCCAATGGCATTGCCTGCATCGCCTTTTTCTCCCTGGGGATGGAAAACAGAGTTATATCACTGGCTCTCCCCTCAGGAGGAGGTGATTGATGGACTCCTGCAGACGGGACAGTCCTGAGGCCAGGCCGACTGCACAAAGGCCACCCAAGGGCTTGGGGTTTCTGGGTCAGCCCTGCCACCTGTGGGACCGACATATTGGTGATTGAGGCTGGGGAGGGGGGCGAGGCGCAGGGGCTGGGGGTAGAGGCACATTACACCAGGGACTTGCGCAGTGAGTGCTCCTGGGTGGGTTGAGAACACGCAGAGTGACAGGAAGCATTGTCTGCCTCTTCAGTCCGGCATGCTCAGAGCCCTTGTTCCTGACCCTGCTGGGGGCCTCTCTTACAGAGCTCTCCCCAGACATACTGGACCTCAAGTCTTTTTAAAATGACCTACTTTTAAAAATAACTTTAAGGAACCTAAGCAGATCTGCCTCACAAGCTCAAGGATGAGAATTTGGATTCCCAGCACCCCCTGCCTCTACCCCTACAGTGAAAAGCTGGGTGTGGTACCAAGTGCTTATAACCTCCATGCTGGGGAGGCAGAGGAAGGCAGATCTCAGAGGTTCACTAACCAGCCAGTCTAGCTTAATGGTCAAGGGGGGAGGGGCATAGAGGTACACTTCCTCAAAAAACACAGTAGACCACTCCTGAGGAAGGACAACCAGGTTAACCTCTGGCCTCCATATGAATGCACACACGTGTGCACCATGTGCAAGAGCACACGCATGCTTACAAATGCACAAATAACTGATTTAAATGGCTTCAAATGAGCTGACTTTCAGAGCCTACACCGAGAAATCCAAGCAAGGGCATAGCTCCTGAATTCTTCAAATTGGTGCGTTCTTGGGCCCTCTTGTGGGACCCACGCCTCCATCTGGCCGTGCCCCAGCTGCTTTTCCCGAGTCTGGGAACGGACAGGGCCAGGAGGAGAGCAAGGCTTGCAGAGCGCCCACCATCCACCACCGAAAATGTGTACCCACCTACCTTCTGCCCCAAGAGGCCGGAGAGCCCAGGGGAACCTGTAGCCCCCTTCTCACCCTGCAGAGAGAGAGAGAGAGAGAGAGAGAGAGAGAGAGAGAGAGAGAGAGAGAGAGAGAGAGAGAGATTAAGAACAGCTTCTTCAGGACATCTAGGGAGGCAGCACACTACCCTCTTAGCACATTGCTCTCTGGCTCTTTTGTTGCTGGTTTGTTTTTTTTTTCAAGACAGGGTTTCTCTGTGTAACAAACAGCTCTGGCTGTCCTGGAACTCACTTTGTAGACCAGGCTGGCCTCATACTCACAGAGATCCGCCTGCCTCTGTCTCCCTTGTGGTTCCCCCGGCTCTTGTCTATCAGCCCCTCCTTGGGCCTCTGCTTCCTCTTGGACCCCCATCCTAACTTATTCTTCCCTGAGGGACTTCACACCGGCAGTGGCTGACATCCCTGCTCTGTTCCCATGTGAACCTGGCTCTTAGAATTCTCAGGACGGGGGCCGGGCGGTGGTGGTGCACGCCTTTAATCCCAGCACTCGGGAGGCAGAGCCAGGCAGATCTCTGTGAGTTCGAGGCCAGCCTGGGCTACCAAGTGAGTTCCAGGAGAGGCGCAAAGCTACACAGAGAAACCCTGTCTCGAAAAACCAAAAAAAAGAAAAAAAAAAAAAAAAGAATTCTCAGAACGGAGAAGAAACCCTGGCCACAGGCCACAGTTGAGTCCCTCTCTCCAGAGAGCCCTTGGAAGCAGGGAGGAGGGCAGTTTGGAAAGCCAGAGCTTGGGAATTCTTTCTCTCTTGTATCCACTCTGCTCTTCTTCATGTCTTTATGTCTGCCCTCTTCCCCCTCCCGCCCCCCTCCCCCACACCAGCCCCTGTCTTTTCTGTCTGCCTCCTCCTGCCTCGGAATCCAAACACCAGAATGTTCCTTTGTGAGAAGTGTGTGTCATGGGCCAAATTTGTGTTCCAGCAAAGTTCGGTGTTGAAGTCCTCACCTCCAGTACTTCAGAAAGTGACCCTTTTTGGAAATAGGGTCATTCAAGATCGGTTAAGATTGAATATGAAGATCACGCTGGAGTAGACAGAACCCAGTGTCCCCATGACATTATAGGATGGGGAAGTCTGGAGACAGACAGACACACACACAGACACACAGAAGCTATGTGAAAATGGAAGCATATGAGGTGAGGCTTCTGCAAGCCGAGGGGACGTGAAAATTGTCGTAAACCTCTTGAAAGGAAAAGCCTTCAGAGTGCACACCCCTCCTACCCCCTGCCTTTGGGCTTCTGGCCTCTACGGCTGTGAGAGTATGTAAGTTTTGCTGGCTAATACATTTGGTCTGTGGATCATTGAGGCAGTATTCCCTGCTCCGGCTCTGCCCAGCTCTGAGAACTTGGCTATCTGTCCCCATGGCACAAAACCTGTAGGGTTACTGGACTCCAAGCCTCATTTATTAGGCGGGGCCAGTCTACCCCATGAGATAGGTGACTTTGGACAGTCCCTGACAGAACTAATGGCAGAGCCAGTCTCCCCCAGGTCTCCCAGGGTCCACCTTTTGGGGTACAGTCTTCATTTGGCCTCTACAGCATCTGTATAAGTCAACACGGTGTCATAACAAAACACTGTGCCTGGGTGGCTGAGAGAGCAGAGATCTAGTCCCTTATCACACCAGACTGCCATCTGGGTGCCTGTGTGAGGGAGAAGGGAAAGGCTCTCCTGGCTTGGAGATGGCTGTCTCCTGTCTGCTCTCACTTGGCAAAGAGGAGGACTATCTTCACCTGATAAGGCCACCAGTGCCATCATCAGATTAGGGTCCCACCCTTGTGACCTCATTTAACCGTTATGCTCCCCCAAAATCCCTGTCCTCTAATGCAGACACCTTCGGGCGCTGGACTGCAGCATATGAATGTTGGAGGGTGTAGTTCACTCCAGAGCAGTGCCTGATGGAAAGGGCACCCCACCAGCAGGGAGTTGGTTCAGGTTGGCATTGGAATTCTTGTCTCCACAGCCAAGAATGTGGTTAATGCCATCCCTATACACAAGAATATGATCTGGGGGACTCTGGGGCCACAGTCTTAAGGATCTTTCCAGCTGGAGGCAGCGATGATGCCACACTGAGTCTCTAGGTGTCATATCCCTGCCACTTGCCCTTGGGTACAAGCTGCCTGGTAACATGGTATGGAGGCAGGAAAGGAGGCAGAAAGTCAGGCAGGAGCCTGGAAAGGATGACTGGGGGTGGGGAAAAGGAAGGGCAGACTGCCTCCCCAGTGCCCAGCCTTGTCTGGACTGCCCCTGGGGTGGGTTTTAGCCTGGGCAAGGTCCTACCTACAGGGATGCTTGGTAACAAAGATGACGAGGTGCAGTCCTTGTCCCTGGCCTTTCGCTGGTAGCCAAGGACTTCTGGAAGGGTTTGTGTCCCCGGGTTTGCTGGTCCATGCCACATTCCCTTTTTCCATATCATGCCTACCCAGCACAGTAGCTACAGGGTGGAGCCCCTGGGGCCCGTGTCCCCTGAGGCATTCTGTCCTACCCTCTGTCCCTTCTTTCCCAGCAAGCCCGGGGCCCCAGCTTCCCTGCATCTCTCTTAGAGACAAGAGAAAGTCATTGATAAATGGACATGGTGGTAAGGGAAGGATGGGGTGGAATCAGAGACGGGGGTTCCCAGACAACTGCCCTCAGGCTCCTTGTCAACAAGAGGAGTTCAGATAAACATACGGGTACTGCAGACTGTATTGGCTTTTTAGGATTTCCAGCGCACATTAGCATATCCAACACGCCCCCCACTCCCCCCTTCCCCGCCTCCCCCTAGCAGATAAATACACCACCACTACCCCAGCCCTCTTTTATCATTCCCTGAACAAAAAGTCTTGCCAAGTTCAACGGGCTTTGTTTGAGTTTGTGACCTTCCTGCCTCAGTCCCCCAGACAGGCAAGAGTCTAGGCCTGTGCCACCTGGCCTGGCTCCATGAAAGATTTTTTTTTTTTTTCGGTTTTTTGAGACAGGGTTTCTCTGTGTAGCTTTGCGCCTTTCCTGGAACTCACTTGGTAGTCCAGGCTGGCCTCGAACTCACAGAGATCCGCCTGGCTCTGCCTCCCAAGTGCTGGGATTAAAGGCGTGCGCCACCACCGCCCGGCCCATGAAAGATTTTTAACTCAGTCATTTTCAAGTTCATTTGACATTTCTGTCACGCTACATCTTTTATTGTTCTAGATAAGATGAGACCCTCCCCAGTCCCCCACCAATTCTGCCCCCCACCCCCTTATTCCCCCCACCCCCACCCCTGACAGCTGCCATGCCTGCAGGCAGGACCAGGAAAGAGGGAATTCCTTACAGTATGCTCACACACACCCTGGGCTGGGCCTCAGGGGGACCAGAAGCAAAATGGTGGCCCCTGTCAGCCTCACCCCACCGCCAATCTCGTTTCTCTGCGCCCCTCGGGATTCCCCTTTCTGTCAGTACCTTGGCTCCTGGAGTCCCAGGCTCGCCCTGTGTGGGGACAAAGAGGACAGGGATGAAGAAAGGAGAGAGACCAAGTGGGGACAAGGGCTCTCTGCTTGGGGGGAGGGGCACTTCCTCGGCTCAGGGGCAACTCCAGGACAAGGGCCTTCTGGGAAGCTGCTCCTGAGGGTCTCATTTTCCCCCTAGAGTGGTTCTCAACCTTCCTAATGCCTCACCCTTTCATACAGCTCCTCATGATGTGCTGACCCCCAACCATGAAATTATTTTCATTGCTACTACTTAACTGTAATTTTGCTACTGTTATGAACCGTAATGTAAATACCTGTGTTTCCTGATGGTCTTAGGCGACCCCTGAGAAAGGGTCATATGACCCGAAAGGGGTTGCCACCCACTGGTTGGGAACTGCTGCCCTAGAAGGATGGGTAGGTTAGGAGCATCCCAAGAGGTGCCACCTGTGAGTGGAGCACTGCTAAGATCCATATTGGGTACCACTGGGCATCCCCATGGTACCCACTGGCTTAGTTAAGGGTTCAGGGAAAAGATGTTGGCTCTCCTCTCAAAGGCTTTGGCTCTCCTCTCATGGCAGCTGGTTCTGGAGTGTGGCAAAGAGCTGGCTTCTCTCAGTGGCAGACTGGGGAGGCCGTGAGTGGAGGCTGGAGACCTGGTTGAAACCTCTGTCCTCCCTAGATCCAGCTGCCATGCTGCTGAGCCCAAGCCCTAGCTCTGTGGTCTCACGATACCCTCGTATCCTGCCCCTAACACATAGAGTGACAATGTTTACCGACCTTCATCCCAGCCATGGCAATTCCAGGAGCCCCCTGGCAAAGGAAAAAAAAAAAAAAAGGCATGAAGGTGTCTGAGGTCAGAGGCTGCCAGCTGAGCAGCTCGGCCTGGTCTTACCATCGGCACATTTCTGCTGACTGATAGCCAGTACTGCCCCAGCGTGTGGGAGAATGTGATATGCTGAGCTGGGCACCCCAAGAGTGCACCTGAGGATGGAACGTGGGCTGGCCATCTGCTGGGTTACCAGGACTTTCAGTGGGAGTTCAGGGACAGTGAGGCTTGGGCTAGCTCCCTGTGGTCAAAGGGTGGGGAACTGGGCTAGTTCCCTGTGGTCAAAGGGTGGGGACCACCAGGTAACACCATAGGAAGGCTCTGGTTTCACCGAAGCCTAGTGTACCCCTGTGTATAAGTGGGGTTACCACCAACCACAGCTCTCTAAACCTCTGCCCTCAAGAACTGGAAGTAAACCCCATGCCTTCTTGTGTGTGTGTGGTATATGTGTGTATGCACATGTGTTTGTAGGGATACACACCCATGTCTACACACGTGGAGGCCAGAGGTCAGTGTCAGGTTCCTCCTCTATCACTCTCCACCTTATTTTTTGAGACAAGGTTTCTCATTGAACCTGGTGCTCACTGATTGTCAGCCAGCTCACAGGACCTTCCTGTTTCTTCTTACGGTGCTGGGATTATAGGCACGTACCACCCCATTTGTGTGGCTGCTGGGGATCCGAACTCGGGTCCTCATACTTGCACAGTTGAACAGTAAGCTCTGATGAGCTATCTCCCTTTTTCTTTTTAATCTTTTTTTTTTTTTTTTTTTTTTAAATAGACAGGGTCTCATGTAGCACAGGCTGGCCTCGAACTGGATATGTATTTCAGGGTAGCCCTGAACTCCTGATCCTTCTACCTCTACCTCCAAAGTGCTGGACTACATGTGTGTACCACCACACCTGGTTTATGAAATTCATTTCCTTATTTCCCCAAGACCATACTTTGAAGTGAAAATGTTGTTCAAAGTGCGACTTAGAAAAGCCCAAGTGGAGCTGGAGAGATGGCTCAGAGGTTAAGAGCACTGGCTGCTCTTCCAGAGGTCCTGAGTTCAGTCCTCAGCAACCACATGGTGGCTCACAACCACCTGTAATGAGATCTGATGCCCTCTTCTGGCCTGCAGGCATACATGCAGGCAGAACACCGCATACATAATAAATAAATATAAAGAAAAAAGAAAAAGAAAAGCTCAAGTGGAGCATGTTGGGGTTCTTATGTTTTCTTTGGGTCTCAGGACCATACTAGAGCTGAAAGCTGAGAAGGATTTTTATGATCCAGAAATCCCAGGAGGCGATCGGAGGCACATCACACCAGCCCCACCCTGCTCATGTTAGGAAAGATAGATTTAGGAAGGGGGAGGGTTGAGGGAGTGTGCATCCCATATTCCCAACAGGTTATGAAAAGGAAGGGACCCAAGAAGGAACTAAGATTCCCAGAATTTGGGAGAGGAATAGAGAGGGATAGGTACCTTGGCTCCGTGCTTGCCTGGCATCCCCGGCATGCCCCGCTCTCCCTGGACGAAGAAACAAGAGCAACCATGAGTAAAGGACCAGACTCAGCATTAGGGCCCACAAGCTTGAGTTCCAAGCTTGGAGCTTCTCATCCAACCCCCATGTGTTCCGAGGACCCTGCCATGGCAGGAGCCACATGCGCCAATTCCCTCAGTTCCCTGACGCCATCTTGAAGGAAGACCCAAGTCACAGATGTAGAAGAGAGACAAAGAGGGGGATGGGGAGAACACACACACACACACACACACACACACACACACACACACACACACACACACTAAACCTAGCCAGGGAGATGGCCTTGAATTGGACACGTAGCTGAGGATCCCCCTGCCTCCACTATGCTGGGCCTGGAGTCAGGCTGTGGCAAGAGCAGCCATGTGGCTACTTACCGTCTACAGACCTTCTTACCGCCAGTGGGTTTGCTAACATGGTGCCCACTGCTGGAGCAGACATGTGCGTCTCTCTACTTTCATCCGGGGGCCTCTTCTTCCTAAGCTCTCTGGGTTTGTGAGCTATCGTTTATTTTTCCAACCCCCTTTCTGATCCTGCCTGGCCACACACAGCAGCACACTGCAGCTTTTCTGGGGTTCGTGGGCAGGGCTGTGCCATCTCCGCTCTGTCCCCTATGACCATCAGACCTATAGGAGGAGGGGCCCCAGGAAGGCCGTCATACCATCATAATCACGAAGTGGGTCAGGAGATGGCAGCCAGTGACGCAAGGGGCCATGAAAAGGTGAGTCAAGACTGTAATCCGATTGTCTAGGGGGGCTAGCTCTTGCCTCATGCACTGAACCCCACATGACACCCCAGTATTGAGAGGCAGCAGTGCTCTGCCAGCAGCGGATTGCCTCAGTGGTGCTGAAGGAGCTGCTGTGGTAGGAAATCCAGAGCCCAGACACACTGACTCCTGCCGTTGCTCCTGCCTGACCTGTATCTGCTCAGACGCTCTTCCCTGCTCTCTCACAGGACAGCTCTGCCCTTCCTTCTCCAGACAAAAGCGAGAGCGACTCCCACTCTCTTCCTCCAAGCTGGGCCCTCCCCACCGATGTCTCCAAGTCTCCCAGCACACAGGCGAGATAACGAGGCTTCCAACTTCACAGTCTCCACTGCCCAAAGATAAAAGACATGGGGGCCCCTGGGCTCCTGAGCGTGGTATTCTGAGGTCTGCCTCCATCCTGGTCTCCTGGTGAAGATAAACCACTGTGTTCCTAGAAGTGCCATCCACCTCCACGGCCTCATGGCTCTCTGCTACTTCCTCAATTCAAAGCTTATATTTATAACTCTATGAGACCCTTTACTGTCCCCATGTCCCAGTCCTGGGTCCTCACCTTGTATTCCCTACCCCTAATACTGGACTGAACCCAGAGTGTCTTGCATGCTACGCAATTGTTTTACTATTAAACTCGATATCATGAGATTGTGAGACAGGGTTTCACTAAGCTGTGAAGGCTGGCCTTGAGCTCACTCTGTAGCCCAGACAGGACTGTGATCCTCCTGCCTCAGCCTCCTGATTATCTGGGGTCATGGGCTAGTGGTACCATGCCCAGCTCACTCTGCACTTGACATCTGGACGCATGTCACGCCCATCTGTGATGGACACTGCATGCATCATATTCATCCTCTTGGAGACAAGTGCCTGAGTTCTACAGAAGGCCCTAATCTTTATGTCCAAACACCAAATCAATCCTCTTCTACCCTGGCCTGCTCAGGGTGTCGGAGGGGTCCAGCCAGCACAGGCAGGTCTGCTCTGTGGCCAGCAGAGGGTGCAGAAGGACCGACTCTGAACTTGGCCATCTTGGCCACAGTGGTCTTAAAGGCCCCTCAGGGTCCTAGGTGGCACTCCTCTCTAGAGGACCAGGTCCCCTGATAAGATTCCAATAGACTCCACCACTCTGACTCAGCCAGGAGTCCCTAGTCAACCTGCGGGTCAAAACCCACTTTAGGGGTTGCATGTCAGATCTTTATATTACAACTCGTAACAGTAGCAAAATGACAGTTACAAAGTAACAACAAAATGACTTTATGGTTGGGGGTCACCATGACTGTATTAAAGGGTCGTAGCATTAGGAAGGTTGAGAACCACTGTCCTAGACAGAGTCCCCTAGTATGTGCAGGGATGTTGGAGGGATATCACCTTGAGAGGCCTGGCTGCTCAGAAGCTCCTGTTTGCTTTTTTTCCTGAGCTTTCTGCAAGGTCTCTGAAATCTCTCCCATCCTCCATGTGTGATGCTGGTCTAGGTGTCAGCGTGACTGTTTCCTCTCTGACTCCATCTTTCTCTTTTGCACAGTGAGATCAGACTGGATCTATCCGCCCCCCCCCACACACACACACCCAGCCCCACCCTGGTAGCCTACATGGCTCTGCATAGAAGATCAGTCAGCTGGAGACGCTTGGTCCACGGTTCCAGAAAAAGGAGTCGTAGGGAGCCTTAGTTTGGGTCAAAATACAAGTTTAGGAGGGGGTTTTGGTGGGGTTCCACTGTCCCCTCCTAATACCTCCAGGACAGCCAAGGATGCTTCTGCTGGGGAAACAGCCTGCAGCTGGAAGGCAGCCCGAGAAGCCATGCACACAGCGAGGGCCCCGGGCTAACCCAAACAGTCCTTAGCTCGAATTGGCTTGACCTGGTGAAGACATGCCTGCCCACACAAAAGAACCAGCCATCCTTACTTCCTTCTAGGGAGCAGTCCTCTGTAGGGCGGCCGATCTCCCCTCTTCCTCACCCCCAGCCCCCCTTGGTTGATTTTGGTCTCAGGGCCTCAAGACTCTCCTCCCTCCTGCCCTTCTGCTGGGCAGGAAGCAGGGGCGCCAGGCTGACCCCACGCCAGGGCTCTCTCCGCTCCCATTAGCTTCACTGCTCAGCTCCAGCCTAGGGGCTTGCCCTGTCTGACCTCTGGATAGGCCAGAGAGCATTGCTTCCTGGATGGGAGAGAGAGGCGCCCTCCAGGATCCAAGACGCTGTTTCAGCAGGGGAAGCAGAGGCTGGCGCGGCCATGGCTGAAGGACAGCAACACACTTTGAAGCTATGGCATGCTTCTGTGAGATTTAGGGCCTCCTCCTTTTCTATTGCCCTCTTGAGTGTTTCAGTTCCAAAGGCACAGGTGGAACTGGGCTCAGCTTGGCCCTGCTGGCTCAGTGCCCTGCTTGGCTTTGTGGCTTGGATCTCACAGCTGTCCAAACCTATGGCTCCGATTCCTCTCTGCCTCTGCCTTCCCAGTGGGGATCCCAGAGGCTCCCTGGTGTGTGTGTGTGTGTGTGTGTGTGTGTGTGTGGCAAGGGGTTCTCCACAACCCATCTGGACCATCTTGTGGCTGGGCAAGTGGGTGCTCCAAGTGCCCGCAAAGGGTCTTGGCCCCTCTGCCCAGCGTACGATGACTGTGACTCCCATGCAGCTAGTCACCCTTGGGGGATGCTGGCTCTTTAACATGGTGCCAAGAAACAATGAATGGAAGCTGCAGGTGGGGAGGGGGGAACTACCATCACTGTGGTTCAAGAGACCAAGAGTTGGTTAGGGGGCTGCACTAAGTGATCCCGAAGGCCTGTCCCAGCTCCTACGAGGCCCCTCATGTGTCCCCACCCCCACTATCAACAGGCTCTGTGTCCTTTGAAGTTTCTAGGTGGGAGGACCCATCCTTTCTAGAGATGACAGGATGGTACAAGCTTGGCCAGCGGGTGTGGCCTCCTAATTGGTGATTTACTGTTTGTTGAACAAGCTGCCCAGGGACTTGGCAAGAAGTCTGTCTGGAGGGACAGGGGTGGGTGGGGCTTCAGCGTCGTCCGCTCTCTGCCGCCAAGCAAAGGGCCGGCAGACTAGGGAGATGAATGGATTTCCCTAACTCGGGGCCAGGGCTCTCCTACAAGGGGTCAGTGACATGGCATCTTTGTTCTCTGCAGGGGGATGGGGGATTGCCTGGTGAGTGGGCTGCGAAGGCTGGGGAGTCCCTGGGTTGGAAAAGCTGCAGAGATGGGGAGAGGAGACTCATTTGGTCCTCGGCAAGAGTTCTTGGTTTGTCCTTCCAGGAAAAAGGTGATTGAGTTCCTGCTTCCCCAGCTTCCCTGCCCAGAAGCAAGGACCGGAACTGTGGAAATCCCAGGTCCTCCGGTAATTAGGGCTGGCAGGGAGTGATCCAGGGAATTCCTGGGTCGGGTGCCCCATTGAAGGCTCGGGGCTTTGGAAGGATGGCTGGCTGGTAATCGCAATTTGAGATCGGTTGATTGTGTGGTCAGTTCCAAAGGAAAAGTCAGTTCTAATTAATCTGTGGACTTTGGAGGGCAGAGCAGAGCCCAGAGGTCATGGAGTGGGGGCTGGAGGCTGTCCGGTGCTCTTGAGGCCCATGTCTCCCTGCTCTTATCTGCATCCATTTCCAGAGTCTGGATGTCCTCACTGGGACTCCCCAATGTTGACAGAAAATGCTGCATACCCTCTGCTGTTTGGAAATGCCACAGGGAACCTGGGTCACTTGGACCCCCTGGGAGCCAGAGGGCCACAGGGATCTCTCAGGAGTAGTGGAGGCTGGAGATGAGCTGTTTTAGGAGTATGCAGCAGCTCGGTTATCTAGGGTCACTCCACTGAACAAGGCACACTCTAGTTCATCTAAACAAGGTACCCATGTCCTACACCTTCGGCCCTGCGAGATGTGAACCCAGCCGTGGTCTCTGTCTCCACAAAGAGGACATCTCAGCTTCCAGCTCATGTCCTTCCTGGGAAGATGAGGGAGAAAGCCTTTCACAACACTAGATTTCCCTTGGAGACCCTAACACGCAGGCAGGTAGCAAAGTCATTCAGAGTAAGGCTCTGAATTTAGACAGACCCAGATGTCACCACCTCCCAGCTTGGGGCTAGAGGGAGACAGACTCTGTGATCCATGCTTTGCTAGAGATACCAAAAAAAAAAAAATCTGACTTTCTGAGGTGGATTTAGGAGACAATACAGTGAGAGATGCACAGGCGCTGGGGTGAGACTCAGTTGGTAGAATGCTTGCCTAGCATACACAAAACCCTAGGTTCAGTCTCTGACACCCCATAAACCGAGTGTGAGGCAGCACTCGGGAAGTCAGAAGGATCAGGTAGGTGTTCAAAGTCATCCTCAGCTACCACATGAGTTTAAGGTAAGCCTGGGCTCAAAAAAGGAGCCGGGGCACAAAGTGATGCCTGTGGAGTGCCTGATAACCCACCTGGCATGTGGGAGGGGCTCGGAGAATATTCATAGCAGTGCTGGTCATCATTCCACAGAATTGCCTCCTTCAGAATGTGTGTCCTACAAAGACCCATGCAGATGATCTGGGGTGCACCAGACACAGGACTAATTTGGATGCACCACGAGATAGGCTCCCATCAGGTTTGTGACTCACACTAGTCCGAAGGAGACCGGAGGGTGTGATGTGTGATGTTTGAAACATGCTTTATACTGTGCAATATCGTTAAGGTAGATGCTTGCTATAAACTTGAGCCAAGCAGGTAACACATGGGGATACGGCAATACCTGCGATGTCTAGGCAGGAGGGTTGGCCTCGGGCAGGTATAGGGGCTGCACAAGGGTGCCAGCCACCCTGGGCTTTGCTCTCAAAGATCTAGTAGAGAAGTAAGCCTTGCTGGCCTGGTTGAGAGGACACAGGCCTGGTCCAGCCAGTGCGGGGGGGGGGGGGGGGGGGGGGGGGGGGGGGTAACAGGGGGAGGTGGGCGGGGGGGGGGGGATGGAGGGATGGAGGGAGTGTCTCATTCTCATACTTCACAGGCTGAGAAACTAAACTCCACCTCGTGTGCCAAGCCTGGGAGACAGAACAAGCCGAGCTCGTGGGGCAGGTCCATCTGCTACACCAAGGACTCCCCTTTCTCGCAGAGACCACGGGGGGGGGGGGGGGGTCGCACAGCTGTCTCGGCTCAGTGTCACTGTAAGTGGTGGCCACTCCTCCCCCAGTGGGGAGAGGTGGGAACATCTTTCTGACATCCATATCCATTCCTCCTCCAAATTAATTTCTCCTCCTTGTACCTTAACGAACCACAGAGTGGGAGGAAAGGAAGAGGGAGAGGGAAGAAAGGGAGAAAGGGAAGGCTGATGGGTAAAGGGGGGCGGTCGCCATTCAGCCTTCCTCTCCTAGAGAATCCACGAGGTGCTTTTAGACAGGCTGGCGGGACCTCACTTCTGATTCCAGCATGACGTTCACCAAAGTATTAACACCTGGGGGATAATGGTCTCCCAGGCCTGGCTCTGAGACAGGTGCCATTGGTTAAACTAAGATGTGGAGGATGGCGGCCCTTGCCTGAGCACGAGCGACAATCACTTCACATCAGGATCGAGAGGGAAGCCAGTGTCTGTTTGGACAGGAGGATTGCCGGCGTCAAGATGCCAGGGTCCCAGTGTGTCTGTCTGTCTCCTTGCAGGGGACCCCTCTGCTACCGGACTAGGAGGCACTGAGGAATTGGTGATAGGGTCCCAGAGGAGGGGGAGTTAGTGGCATGGGTGTGGGGTGCTGAGGTGCCCTGGGAGGTGGCTGGGAGGGGTGAAGGTCCAGAGAGGTAGAGGGGGCAGCTACGGCCTTGGCTGTTAGAAACTTCTATGGAGGAGCAGAGGGGCGTGGCCTAGCAAAGAGACCCCCATAAAGAATTCAGCACGAGGGGAGGGGCAGAGGGGGCTACTCCGGAGTCCCTAAGGCCGAGGAGGCTCTGACTGCGCTAGACACAAGATGAAAAGATGGGGACCAAGGTGCCAAGAGGCCACGGCTCACAAAGCTGTGTAAGGCCCCTAGGGAGTATGTGTGGACGGTCCGTGTCCAGGAAACCGTGGCTTCCCAGAGCAAGAAGGGATTGTAACCTCGACTGCTTCAGTAGCAACCATTGACAGTCCGGGCCAGTGGTTCCAAGCCCCTGGCTCTCTCCCCGGCACCTGGCATTTGGAAGTGTCTCTCTTGGATGGAGACAGAACTGCTTTTCTGGAGGGCCACCATAGTCCGTGCTCACATCTAATCCTGGGAGAGCAGCATAGGCCCGTTCTCCTGTCAGGCTACGGCACTCTGTGCCTGAGCCAGCTTCCTCCTCCCCAGGAGCTGGCCCTACCTCAACGGTATTAGCCATTCCTCTGCAAATGCAGGGATGCCCCGGCTGAATGCACCTTGCTATCATCTGCCCACGTGGAGGACGGCCATGCCCATGTCCAGGCCCTCCAGGACACCCTAGCCCATAGCTGGACCCTCGCCAGCCTCAAGACAACAATTTCCTAGGCTTTGTTTTTGAAGTATTACACTTGTTTGTAGCAGAGGTAGACACCACTGGTCACAACAGTCCCAGCCAAGGGCATCACCATGACCCCGGGGGCCCCTCTGCCCGTGCCCCACCCCTTCACAGCTTGAAAGAACCCATCTGACTACTAATGGGAAAACCGACCCGCGCTGCACCGGGAGGCAGTAAATTTTGTGAGTCTGAGAGAGTGGATGGAAGCAACCGTGGGGCTGTAATTTCCACTTCCTGACACAGCGCAAGCCTCTCAGTTTATGCAGAACTAATTAAAGATCTCTCGTGTCTCACCATTTCCCCCACCAGGCACCCATAAAACACCACGGCAATGGCAGCCACCAGAACCCGGAGAGTGAGGCGTGTACATCCTAGCTCAGTGGAGTCTCCTTTTCCAAGATTCCTTCCCTCACCCATACCTCCCCTTCCTGCTGCATTTGCCCCTTCTGGAAGGTTCTGGAGGATTCTGCAGCTTCCCAGCCAATGGCTGGGATCCTTGTAGCATCTGGTGCCATGTGAAGGACCCCCCCCAAACCTGACTTGAATTCTTGTTCTGACTTCTCCTAGCTGAGACTTGGGTGAGCCTCAGTTTCCCCATTTGCTAGGTGCGAGCGAATTACAGTGGTCCCAAGGGGTATAGGATTGGGAACAGTATCGGCTGTATTGAAGGACAATGCTTGGCCTACAGCTGGCATTCAGTAAGTACCAGCAGTCATAGAAAGCATTACACCCTTATGGTTATGGTAGTGACTGCTTCCGGGCCTTGGCTCAAATGGGTTTCCTTGTCTAAAATACTATTTCCTTTCAGATTTGCTAAAGGGCCACAGAGGTCGGCTGGAAACAGCCGCAAAGCTTTTCTACTGCTTCAGTCAATCAGTCAGAACTAGGTCTCTTCCTATGCTGTTGCAGGTAACTTGGCCGCGTGACTCATCTGAGCAGAAGGTCCTTAGGAAATGTGGCACGAAATGATGCTGGGAGCGTGCTCATGTCTTTGAACCTGCCCACCTTGAAGGCTGTCCTGGGCCTACCTTGCTGTGGGGAAGCCCATCCAGCCTGCTGGAAGATGAAAGGCACCCGGAGAGTAGAAGCCACCCAGCCCGCATCACCCACAGGACCGAATAAGGCTATCTTTGCCCTCCTAGCTATCGTATAATCTTCTACTCCTGTGAACCCAGGCAGAACTGTCGAACCCCAGGCCACCAATCCACAGAAACATAAGGAATAATCATGATTTTAAGTCAGCCAATTTGGGATCTTTTGTTACACAGCACTAGCTAGCTGATATACCCACTCATACGGTTGAGCACTTGACTGCTTTCTCCCAGGAAGCTTCCCCAACTCTTCCCACTTGGGCTCAATCCTTCCACCCTGCTTTCAGAGTGCTTTGTAGTGGTAGCACTTAACAGTTTGCTTCTAGTAAGGCAATCTGTGTGGGCATGCTTGTCTGTCTGGCCTGAGAACTGCCCAAGAGCAGGGCTGGGTCTGTCTATACCCCCTTCCAGGCTCAGCATGGAGCCTGTGTTAGAGGGGCCCAGTGTTCTGGCTCACCCAGCCCAGATACCAGACACAGCCAGCCAGGTCAGTAAGAGAGTTGAGGTTGGATTGGGCCACCAGCCGGGCAAGGCCCCGGCCCATCTGCTTCTGTCCTTTCCCGAGTGTTCGGACAACCTTATAAACAAGGAAGCTCACGTGGCTGGCACAGGTGTGAGTATATGCTGCTCCCCACCCAGCCCTGGCCTGTGTGCATCCCTGTAATGAGGCCCCTCTTGGGTTCCCCATAGAAGAGGTAGCGTCCTCCCCCTCCCCCTGCCCCCACTTACCTTGCGGCCATGGTAGCCCTGGATCCCTGGGTCTCCCTGGGGAAGAAAGAAAATCCAAATGGCTTTCCACGCCAGACCAGCTGGTGCCCTTTGCGACACAATGTCACCTTCTGCCTCCCCATGGCCCCCCTGGTCTCTGGCGGTCCCCCAGACCCAGCTATTCCTGGAGCAACAGCCCTCTGCCCTCCAAGGTCCCCAGATACTGTTCTATTGGCTGAAGGGTGCTGTGAGGGGTCAGCTTGTTGGAGACTCGGGACATCCAGTTTGGGTTCTACCAAAGAGTCTTTTCCCAGCCCCTCCCGGCTCTCTGCTTCCACGTTTACAGAGTGGTGGCCACTCTCAGTGTTTTATGCCCTTTGGTCCCCAGGGCTCCTGACTTCAAAGTGACAGTGCCTTTGCCATCGTGGGCTTCCAGGCAACATTTCCCAAGAGATTAGATCTCTTTGGAGGTCTTTCCATATTGGACAGCTTTGGGACACTGTGACCATGTCATGACATCTGTCTGCCTTGTGTTTCCAGCTAGAACACAAACTCCCCAGGCATCCAAGATTGTGCCTTTGTCTTTTGTCTTTCTTTAAAAAGCAAAGCAAAACAAACAAACATACAAAACAAAACCCTTTTGTTTTGTTTTTAAAAACAGGGTCTCATGTAGCCCAGGCTGGCCTCTAACTTGTTATGTAGCCACAGATAACCTTGAACTTTCTGATCTCCCTGCCTCTGCTTTCCGGCTGTGGGCATAAGCATCACACTTTGTTTATGAAGTGCTGGGGATTCAAACCAGGGCCTCCTGTATTCCAGGAAAACCCTCAGCCACTAAACTGCACCTCCAACCCTGGACTGCACTTTCTATGCCAATCACAGCCCTTGCTTAGCCGACTTGCCCACCCAAGAGAGATGCTACATGGTAAGATCGAAACAGTTCATAAAGAGGAGGTGACATTTTTGAAGTGGACCACGTTTAACCCATCACTCAGCTTCAGCCTTTCTCAGCGGACACCCCTACAGGGAATGCTTTCTCTAAAGCATGTATTATCACTTAGGGGAGTACTTACCTTTGGTCCAGGAGGCCCAGGTAAACCCTGTAAAAGGAAGGAAAAGGTGAGGGAGGTTAGTCATGCTCACAGTGGAGGCTGGAGCAGAGAGCCCCAGATAGCTCCGGGGTGTCCCGGAGAGTAGCTGAAACCTAGGGAGGGCACATGGGGACACCAGGCTAGCATCTCTGATTGGAGCCATGTGGGCACTGTGGGCAACTATGCTGTGCTTGCCCACTGGAAAGTAGGTCAGTGGCCTGGGGCTAAATTGGCAGTGTGGCTTAGCAAAGAGCCTCTACCCATGTACCTCCTAATTTAGGGCCCTTGCTGGAAAGCTGACCTTGCCCAACAAAGTCCCAATCTTGTCCTTGGCCCCGAACCCCTGAAGAAGAGCCTGTCGGCCCCCCTCTGCCCGGAGGTAACCACAGCAGCTGGCCATGGTGAGCTGGTATGGGTACAGGGGCCTGTGGGTACCAAGGGAGAGAGAGGCCAGGGGTGGTTGGGTACTGTGGTCTTGGGAGGAGGTCTAGGCAATAAACGTGGGCTGGAGAAAACTAAGAAGTTAGGTCTAGTCTGTTTCCACTGGTATAAACAATCTAAGAAAAAACAAACAAACAAACCAAACAATATACCTAGCTGCCATGGAAAGAGAGAGAGAGAGAGAGAGAGAGAGAGAGAGAGAGAGAGAGAGAGAGAGAGAGAGAGAAAGAGCCAGCCCAGTACTGGGGCAGAGGGTGATAGTTGGCAAAGCAGCGGATTTGGGGCACTTTGGAGGCTTGGTCTGGTTCAATTTTCTAAATTCGTTTCCTTTTAGTTTTTCTGTTTTCCCATCTACAGATGGATGGAGGTGAGGCTACGTACCCCTCCCCTCACCCCGCACCCCTGCTGGAGTCCTGGGGGGTAAAGTTCTGTAAATATGCCTTTTGGGGACCAAGCTGAACCAGCTCTGAGCAACACAGGCTCCCACTACAGCCTAGTCCTCCTACCCCAACGGGAGATTGTGGTGGCCAGAACTGTCGTCCAGTTCTCAGGGACCCTCCTCGAAGTCTCAAGAAGGCTAAATGTCAGAGCAGCCGAAGGGCCCCGGGCATGAATTTGAGTGACTCTGATGTCATTCCTTTCAAGCTACTTGGAAGCCTTTATCAGCGTTGAACACATATATCTCTGCTATAATGTGGCTGCAGAGGACATGGTCTTGGCCAGAGTTTGAAAATGAGTAAGTTGGGGGTGGATCTGTCACTTGAAGGGAATGTCTATGGCCTCCTTCCCCAGCAGTGGCACTGCCGGTCCTCAGGACCCGGGATGCAGGGCCCCAGTGACTGGAGCGGCATGCCCGGAAGGTGGGCCAGCAGCGCAGATCCTGCATTTACCTTGAAAGACACAGTCATCGGAGGCCACCCCTTGTACCTTTCCAGAATCCACTGCCCTGACTTGGGTTTTCTTAAACCAGGGGCCAGGGACAGATGCCAAAGGCCCTTCAGACTTTTCCCAGTTATTCTGCAGTGACATAAGCTTATCAGAGTGAACCCTGGAGACCATGATTGACACAGCCCTGCAGGTGTGTTGGTAAAATTGGGACGGCAAAGAGCTGAGTAGAGTCTCAGGCACGGTCAGCTTCTTGCAGAGGCCACCCATGTTCCGGGCCTTGACAAAACGTTTGTGTCATTTGGTCTGTCCTCAAGGTTTAGAGGCTTCTGGAGACTTCTAGGGAGCAAATCTTGAAGAAGAGAGGGAGGGATACTTACAGGTGGCCCTATAGGCCCTGGCAGTCCTGGGTGTCCCAGAGGGCCGCTTGGTCCTGGGGGCCCTGGGGGCCCTGGAGGGCCTTGGATGCCAGCCTGGCCTTGCTCCCCCTGAAATTAGAGAAAACATGCATTAGAGAGGTGTCAGAGCAGCAGTCAGACCCCCCCCCCACGTGCCATGCATCTGCTGAGGCCTCTGTGGACCCTGCTAGGAATGCAGTGGGGGCAGTGGGTGGGTGGTGAGGGTAATGATGTCGTGTTGCCAGTGATGGTGATTGCATGCAGGGGCTAACGGCAGCAGGGAGAAGACCAGGGTATCAGTGGCTGAGCTGTGGGGGCTTCTACAGGTCCCCAGGGCAGAGAGTCTGGTGGCAGAGATAGAGAGTGAGGGAGAGATGACCCCTGGCCTGAACCCAAGCCCTGTTCCTGGCCTGGCCCGAAGCCAGAGCTCAACCCAGGTGGTCTGCAGCCTGCCTCTATCACTCTCTTAATGTAGCGTGTTTATCATCAGCCCTGGCCTCCCAGTGGCAGGATGGGCGCATGGGGTCCTTGTTTCCTGTCTTAGCATTTGCTGGTTTTGATTATCTGTTCCAGGGGATCAAATGAGACCCTAGGTCAGAGGCCACGGGGTTTTGTCTGGCTCACTGCTCAGTTGAGTGGGGCTCATCAGCCAAGTCCTTCTTGTTTGGAAGTGGCCTCCAGCACCATCTGCTAGACACATCAGTCAGCATCTGCTCTTACATAAGCTTCCCCTTTCCGCTCACTTGAGACCATCTTGTGTAACATGCATAATCAATACAGATCTATCCATAGGAAACTGGTAAGCCTTCTCATGTCCCATGATGACTGACGGTATAAAACCCTAACTCCCCAGAGAATCTGTGGCAGCCATGAGGGCAACTCCTGCTGGCTCTGCTCTGGAAACTGAGTCAGGGCAGTACAGATAAGTCTTGCCTGGCCACCTCTGTGTCTTGGGTACAGATACAGCAACAGGTGGTGGCTGGATCTACTGTGGTTCTCAACCTGTGGATCGAGACCCCTTTGGGAGTCACATATTCAGAAATCCTGCATATGAGATAGTTACCTTATGATTCATAACAGTAGCAACATTATAGTTATGAAGTAGCAGTGAAATAATTTTATGGTGGGGGGTCACTACAACATAAGGAGCTGTATGAAAGAGTCACAGCTTTAGAAAGGTTGAGAACCACTGGTCTAGGGTCTTCCTCTGCCAACTGGAAATTTAGAATATGGCCCACAGGGAGCTGGTATGCAGCTTACATGAGATAATCATGCATGATTCTGGTTGTGTATGTACAGCACACATATGTGTGGAGGGCAGACATCCATCTTAGGTATCGTTCCTCAGGGGCTGTTCTCATTTCTTTTGAGACAGGGTCTCTCATGGGGACTGGGAGGTCACAGGTTAGGCTCAGGTGGCTGGTCCAGAGAACCCCAGGGAATCTCCTGTCTTTCCCACTCCAAGGCTGGGTTTACAAGTATGTGCCCGGAGGTCCAAACTCATGTCGTCCTGCTTGCCCAACAAGCACTACTGACTGAGCCCCACTTTACAACCCATCAGGCAGAAATGCTCACAGCAGGACCTAGAACACAGTAAATGTCCGTCAAAGAGTGGCGAGTGCAAGCAAGGCCACGTACGTAGTGACTCTGTGTGTGTGTGTGTGTGTGTGTGTGTAGGGGATGTGTGTTCAAGAGCACTACCTCAGCTTCCCTAAAGTGGGGCCTGTCGGCAGCAGGATGAGTGGCCCTGAATGGGCCTGGTGTTGCTTTGAGCTGCCAGCGGCCTCCTGAGCAACCGTTGGAGCCCTGGAAGGCTCTTGAGGATTTGGTGGGGTAACGCGATCCGCAGCCTACAAGAATGGACTGAATGCTTAATAGACTGCACATGTATCATGTGACTCTGTATTTTTAGTTGATCACTGGAGTGAGTTTTCAGCCTTATTCAGTCAAGTACTTGAGGATCCATGCTCCTGGGCGGTGGACTCACCAGGCAAGTAGCTCAAGGCGCTGCCACTCCCAGCTCCCTGGGGCCCTGGGGACACCCAGGCCATAGAAGGCAGATGAAGGGTGAGACCAGCAGCGCCTGGCCTCGTGTGACCTCAGACAGCATGGGCAATGATGCTTTGTCCCCAGGGACCTGCTCCTGGCCAAGCCTCCTTGGAGGTAAGCAAGGCAGGAAGACAGAAGAGGAGCTGTTCGCCTGTGGGTTGTGGGCCGCAACACCCTCATTGCTCACACCCCGGCTCTGACATGTCAGACTCAGCAGGCTGTGTGCCTGAGCAGGGAGAGTGTGGGAACAGGCACCAGAGACCTGGTTCTCATGTCCACTTCTCCCTCCTCCTGTGACGTTGGGTGAGTCCATTCATTCTCTGTGACTCGATTTCCTTGCCCTACCACAGTCACTACGCCTGCTCTTACTTTACAGAGGAGGGAGCCCGAGGCACCCTGGGAACAGGCAGGGAACCTGGGTATAAATCCCTGCTCTGTGACCTCAGGCAGCTTATTGAACCTTTTTGAGCCTGTATTTCTGCATCCGTGGTGATAAAGACGGTGGCGTGTAACTCATGAACCAAAACTCGACATCAGGCCTGCAAAAAGGCCTGTTGGTGGTGGCTGTCAGGTGTCATGCTATGGCGGGGCCGGTGTGCTGTGTGTCTCCACTTCCCGCCTAACTTACTGTCACCGTTAGAAGCAGGTTCTGGCACGGTGGGTGACCCCAGCTGCCCCGTCACGACCCCAAGATGTACCAAGCCCCTGGGAAAGCCCCACATAGTATCTACCTGAAAGGTCCGCCTTTTAATGACTGGGGGTGGAGCCAGCCGCACTGAATTGAGGAGAGGCAACAGCTGAGGAGAGACACGAGTTGGAAGGCCAGAGGGCAGAGGCCAGAGGTCACAGGTATTCAGAACGATGTAGGAAGTCACCGAGAAGGCCAAGTGGAGAGAGGAGGGAGAGGGAAGAGAGGTCAGTATGAGCACAGCAGAAGGATAGATGGGGGGGGGGGGGCACATCCCTAAGGCTCAGCTCAAGGGACGAACACAATGCTCATCTTGCCTTTGGCAGCCTCAGCTGTCCTTCTGAAGGCGTGGCCTCCTAAGCACCCTGCCTCAGCTCGGCTACTGGCTAGTAGCCTCCTTGAGTTCCAGAAGAGGGGCTTTCCCTGGCCAGGCCCACCTCTGATGCCATGCCAGACCACTCAGGCCATATGACACACCATCCAACCGTGCGCTGCCCCACCCGGGCCTGCCGGGTGGACAGCGGCTGCTGGGTTGAGGGTCGGAGCCACAGAACGAGCTAAATTGGTGCGTGGAGCCAGGCTGGCGTGTGGTCCCTGTGGGTTCCTTTTTGGGTAGGACAAGAATGGCTGATGTCAGCGAATCTGAGGACCATGGTCAAGGGGAGCTAAGCTTGGCTCCCTGGGTTGAGTTGGCTGTGGGTGTGGCTTATGAGGCACGCACTAAGTACGGCTGAGGCCTCGTTCTGCGGCTGGCATGCTCAGAAAAGATGTCTTGGGAATGGTCAACCACGTCTAGGGGGATGGGCAGCTTACGATCACATTATCTAACATAATTCTCATTTGGGGTAATTTCTGCTGCTTTTTTTTCTCCTTGCTTGGCTAGGCTGAACTTGAGATGACTGGGAAGTTAGAACCCGTATGAAGACCATGGGGGAATCACCTGCATGTGTTTAAGGCCCCTTAACGCACCAGAGGCCCCTGGGCTGGATGTTAAGAACCATGATCCATCTGGGCTGAAAACACACTCAGCCAGGGAATTAGGAGCCCACCTGGGGGCCCTTCTAGGTTATTCCTGCTGCACAAAGGGGCAGCTATCACGCATGAGCCATGCACAGCCCCTTCCTCCCACGCTGAGGCCCAGGGATGTGCCATGTTGAGCTCCGTGTCCAGGGAAGTGTCTCAGCCAAGAGGGGCTGGAGCCCACCTAGAACCGACAAACCTTTAGGGACATTATCGGGTTGGAGCGCAGAGCTGCTAGGACGCCGCTTGGGTACTCCTGGTTTGGGAGGCAAAGGAGGGCAGCAGAGACGGGGTCACATGGAGCAGGGGAGAGCCCACAGACCTCCTAGCAACCCCGCCTGATACCAGCGGACCCAGCTGTGCCTACTCCTTGAACAGCCAGCAATCCATTAGAGGCTCCCTGCTCTCATACATCTAAATTAACTTGCCTGTCAATTGGGTCTTCAAATCTCCCCCCGCCCCATCCCTGCCTGACTGAAGTCTTCATACTACGCTTCCGGGACTATCACTGTTCCCTATCACAGTTCCCTTCTCTGTTCTTGTGCAGGGTTGAGGGGCAGAGAGCCTGCCCTCCCTGCCCTAAGCACCCCTGCAGATTCAATGATACGCTGTAGAAGCGCTTACACTTGTACTGTCTCTGTGCCAGGGGATGCTGTCTTGCTTTTGGGTAACAGAACCATCTTGCAAGTCCATCGTTTCAAATACACAGCTGACTTTCTATGGTTGTATCAGGATTGGGCTAGAGGGACCAGCAGGGCCCTACACCCCTGAAGTGCATGCCACTCACAGGCCAGCTCTGCCTGTGTGGCTGCTGGCCTGGGCCTCAAACCTATTCCTACCTCTTATACACCAGACCTAACACAGCCTCTCTCTCTGGTCCAAGGACCCAGATCGTCAGGGACTGGCGTGGTATTCTGTGTCCTGAGAGGCTGGGCAGAGGCTGGTCATGCTAGAGACCCTGGGGAGTAAGTACATTCTGAGTTTGGTTTGTGGTGGGGGGCTAGGGAGGGTAGGGGGTGTGATGGGCTCTACCCGCCTATGCTCCACCCTGCTCAGCTGTAGTAGTAGCCAGGGCGATAGATTGTGTGTTTCTGGGTACACTGCAGTCCCTAGAGATGGGAGGTCACCTACGATGATCTCCTTCACACTAGTTGCCCAGGCCTGAGCATGATAGGGGTAGTCTGCAGGTTGCTTCACTGTGTCCCATTGGGGCTTCAGGGAGGAATCAGGGAAGGACTCCACCCTCCCTGTCTCCAGCAGGAGCTCTGCTGTCAGCGCACAAGTGAACACTGGGTTCCTATGCTTAGAGAAAGCCAGGAAAAGCCAGGGTCAGGAGGGCTAGGGGAGGAGCCGTCTCAGTCCAGAAACAGCCTACCCCTCCATGACGCTCCTGCTGAGAAGGGTTTCCTGTGTTCCTAACAGGCAAGATGCACGCTGCCTCCAGGGATGCAGTGGCCAGATGGTCTCCCCTCCTGGAGATCTGGGTCATCTGAAACCATGACTAACTCAAAAGTCCCTCATATTTGTCCAGGACTTCCAGACCTACAGACACCCCGCCGCCACACACATACCCCACAGGGCAGAGAGGTAACACCCAGATCCATGCATGCCTCCTGGCCAGTGGAGGGCAAGATGACACACACATTCAAGAGACTCTCAGACACTTGTTCAGCAGACAAATGAGGCCATTAGGAGTCTGACTCCATGCACATCAATGACCACCAGACACAGAGCTGAAAGCAGGTCACCAGTAGCTGTAGGGCGGAGCACACCACACCTTACACACAGGGTTGCAGGTCCTCACCCCCACCCCCCACCCCACACCCCCAGGTAGTGACTGGGCTTCGGGATGAAGCAAAGAGCACCCTCAGTTTGGAGTATCACTTACCCGGTGTGGGTACTCGCCACACTGACCCTAGGAAGGGAGAGAAAGAGAGAGGTGTTAAGCACTTATCAGGGAGATCTGTACTCCCCAAACACACCATGTATCTCCTCATCCGCTGATGCCACTGTTCTGCTTTGGGCCCTCTGAGATGAAGTGGTCCCCCCACTCCCTTGCCTCTAGTAGGCAACAGGAGAAACCCCCTAGGGCCTGCCTGGAGGAGGCTGCATCGGGTACAGGGATAGGACGCCACTAAATGCCACCTACCATAATGGCAGGACTAGGAATTATGTCCAGCTCAGTTGTCAGCCTATGTCCTGGGTTAGTACCCAATAACCTTGATGGGGCCAACAGACCCTATGATGGCTTATGGCTAACAGGGCTCTGGGAATACCTCCCCCCCCCAAAAAAAAACCAAGAATGCCAGGCTCCTGCATCGCTGTCCAGGGGTAAACCTACCAATCTCGGTCAGAAAGTGAACAAGGCAGAGATTATAGGAGGCCACGGAAAAGTTAGGCCAGCAGGGCTCTAAGTTGATATCACAGAGTGAAGGAGCCCTGTGGGACGGCAGGTGGATAGGGCCAAACTTACGCAGGTCTCCAGACTCAAGACTGACAGTGTGTGTGGGGGGGGGGGGGGCGTTGGGGGGGGGAGTGTCATTGTTTTTCTCTGACATCCTCGGTGTCTCTAGGGTTTCTTTAGAACTCACATCTGGAAGCAGCTGCTCTGACCCCTTTCTGCCTGGCAGGAGGATTTGCCCCGGCACAGGTCTAGGAGGCCTCTCCGCTGCACTCACCTTCTCTCCCTTTTGTCCCGGAGGTCCCTACAAAGAGAAGGAAATGACAGTGTCAGGGCTCAGATCCCAGACCACATGGTCCCCAACCTCCCTGCTGGGGACAAAGAGGAGGAGCCAGCTACCAACCGGTTGTCCTCGGGGACCCACCAGGCCCTGTGGAAGAAAGCACATGTGTCAGTGGGGAGACAGAGCAGAGACACATGCCTGGGGGATTGAGACTCATACTGGGCTTCTAGGCACATCTCAGACTGTCCCAAAGTCCTACAGGGCAGGACTGCCAATATCCAACTTGACTAAGGTGGTTTGGCTTTATATGTTAAGCCTCAGTGGGTGTGGCTAGTTGTTCCCTGTCCCCCCCCCACACACACTCATTCCTCCAGTCACTGACATCTCAAGGGACCTCTGCATGGGAGGCTTGGGTTTTGGAGTGTTTTATTCTGAAGGACCATACATCCTGCACCTGGGGGCCTCAGGAGACCCCAACACAGCCTATTTCCTACTCTCCTGGCCATTGAACCAGAAAAGCTTGTGTTACAGAATATTATCTTAAGATGCATTACATTTGTTTATGCTGTGGAACATTTGTTTCAATGATGCAGAGATGTGTTGCGTTCTTTTATGTCGCATTTGTTGAACTCTGTGAAGCTGTGTTACTGTGCCTGTCTAAAACACCTGATTGGTCTAATAAAGAGCTGAATGGCCAATAGCAAGGCAGGAGAAAGGATAGGTAGGTTTGGCAGGCAGAGAGAATAGGAGGAGAAATCTTGGACAAGGAATAAGAAATGAGAAAAGGAGGAAAGGAGGACATAAGGGGCCTAGCCACTCAGCTACACAGCAAGCCACAGAGTAAGAAGTAAAGAAAGGTATACAGAACAGAGAAAGAAAAAAGCCCAGAGGCAAAAGGCAGACGAGATAACTTAAGAAAAGCTGGCTAGAGCCGGGCGGTGGTGGCGCACGCCTTTAATCCCAGGACTTGGGAGGCAGAGGCAGGTGGATCTCTGTTAGTTCGAGGCCAGCCTTCGGCTACAGAGTGAGTTCCAGGACAGGCTCCAAAGCTACACAGAGAAACCCTGTCTCGAAAAATAAAAAAAAAAAGAAAAAGAAAAAGAAAGAAAGAAAGAAACGTTAGCCAGAAACAAGCCAAGCTAAGGTCGGGCAATCATAAGTAATAATAATACTCCATGTGATTTATTTGGGATATGGGTGGTGGGCCCCCCAAAATAGCAAAGAGTTAAAAACAGCCAACAATAGGCTTCAGCATGGGTGGGGCAGGCCAGCGCTGCAGATACTACATTTTGAGAGGCCCGTGGTGTACAGGAAGCCAGAATGGACACCTTAATCCATGTTCTGAGCTCCCTGGAAGACACAGGGGGACTTGGCATTTCTGTCAAGGTTGCCTTATTGTTTGGTTCAAGGGAGGAGCAGGGCTCAGTGTCTGGTGGACTTTCAGGAGACTTCACTGAAGCCCTGGTTGAGGAGGCCTGTGCTGATGTGAAGTAAGAGGGCAGGAAAGGAGCAGGTGTGGGCTGACCCCTCTGGGCCAGGCTCTTCAGACCCTCACAGGGCCAAAGATGAAGGGGCTGGTGTCACCTCTGCCTCCCAGCACCAAGAGGATGACAGTGTTCAGACATGGTTCAGGATGTAATCATGGAAGTCTAGCCATTTCCAGTCTAACATGCTCTGAACCTGAACCCTCGCCTGAGGTTCTGAGGTTGCTATGAGCCCTCTGCTGGCCTATGGGAACCACCTGAGTGCCAGTCTTTAGGCCCCTGGGCATCTGGGTGAGTGGTCTCAGTGTGGCAAGAGGTAGGAAAGAGTCCTTCTGCTTCAGACTCACAACTGGATCTACCTGGAAACTAGAAAATTCCAAGCAGGCTCACAGTGGTAGGGCTTGAGAGTCCTGGGATAGCCACTGTGGGAAAGCAAAGGGCCACCATCTCCTAGGGAGCACTCCACCCCCACTCTGAGAGTGCTGATGTTAGCGTGTTGGTCTGTGCAGTCTGGGAGTGTGAGCTTGTTACTAGTTGATCTGATAAGGTACGAGGCATGGGTCAAGGGTGACACCCTGGATGTCTCCAATGCAGGGGATGAAGCCCACTTCTCCCTGCATGATGACCTAGGGTGGTGAGGGGTGTACCCAGCTAGGAGGTGACTGTGACAGGCAGGCTCTGTCCCCTTGTAGGAGTGAGACCAGACTGGTCCCCCATCTGTCTTGTGAAGGAAAGAAAGTAGGGGGGTCTTACCGTCTCTCCTTTAGGTCCAGGGTGGCCCTGGAAGGAAAAGGGTTTCATGTACATTGTCTAAACACAGAAGCCCTCACCCTGCCTGCTCCAACATGGTCCTCCTTGTGCGATGCAGTTAGCTTCTTTTCTTTCTCAGCGTCCCTTGTCACTTACTCATCTGACCAGACCCTAACCTGCAGGTTGACTGGGCCAGGGGTAGGGCCCTTCTCACTTTCCCTTTCTCAGCTATAGTTACCTGCTCTTCGAAGGAGAACAGAACTTAGGGTGTCTCCCCAGACCCCAGCGACATCCACGACATGTACCCAGGACAGCTTTGCGGGGGATAGCTGACCTTGTGGTAAGTAGACATGACCACTATACCCTCTGGGCTATATGTGGCTTGCTGGGCTGAGGTGACCAGGTCCCTACCCGAGGATCTGAGGAAGCGTTAAGAGATGTACATTATAGCCCCAGAGCATGCAATTGTGGGGACTCCAAGAGCTCTGGAGGGGCAGCCATCTTCCAATTCCTATGAATGCTTGGACCAGGAGACCCAGTCCAAAGGGTTAAGGTGACCAGAGGTGGACCTGAGTGTGCACATGGAGCCTTAGCTGTGGAGAAGAGGAAACACCTTGGCACTTCGGTGGTACTGGAGCAGCTTGTACTATTCCACCTGTTTACTGTTCCTGCTGCCTCCTTGCCTTCCCTGACTCCTGATCCCGTGTCCTTCAGAGTCACCAAAGCCTGCGGGTGACTTTTGCTCCACTCACTGAACCTCCAGCTTGACCACCCGAGGCTTTGCCCTGTGGTAGCCCACTGGGGTCAGAGGTGACTTACTCAAATAGCTCCTCCTCCTCCTCCTCCTCTTGCCATCAGTCATTCTGGCCAGTTTTTCTTTCTATGGCAACTGTCTTTCCATGATCTGGGATGGAGGAGGACCAGGAGCCCCAGGTGAGTGAGCAGGACAGAGCCCAACTCAAGGGTCTACTTACCCCAAGGGTTCACTTACCGGCTTGCCGTCGAGACCAATAGGACCCTGCAAAGAGAAAGGCTTGATGCAAAGGCCAAGTTTCCCAGGTCTCCTGCCCAGGAGGCAGCCTGGGCACAGTGTGTTCCTTGAAAGCTAGGGTTGGTCGGCACCGAGGCAGCGGCTCCTCTGGTTCTGCCCCTTAGAGCCTATCTAGGCTCCATGGGCAAGGGTTAAAGGATACTCCAAGGGCCACCCTAGGGCCACCCGACTGCCACTTCCCAGGTAGGACTCTCTTCGGTGCCTGGCCAGCGGCCAATCAGTTCACGTTCTCTGGCCCGCCATCTGCCCACATCTGGGTATCAAATGGGATGTATCAGCTGCAAGTTCACTCACTCAGCTCCTGTCTGGCCATCACTGTCTATATGGATGTCTCTGTCCTTTCTTGTAGCAGGAGCCCAGCTCTGAGCTACTGGCCCATGAAAGGTTCTAGAGTGGGTCCTTAGTGGTTAGGAATCAGGAGGGAAAATGTGACCTCAGGGATCATCTTGGTAGATGCACTTTAACCCAAACCAGGCCCAGGACCTACCTTCCTATCTCTGCTAATCTGAGCTCTCTGCACTTACCGGAAATCCAGGGAAGCCTCGAGTGCCCGGCTGGCCCTGAAAAGAACAGAACAGTAAGGATGAGTGAGGAGGGATGGAGCCAAGCTCATCCTTCCGGTTCATCCCTGTGCCCATCTCTGACTCCATGTTATCACTGGTGTGCTGGCTATGGGAGGATGGGGAAGACAGAAAGGGAGCATCCTAGCAGAGTTCCTGCAGGGACCAAGCTGGGGAGAGGGAAGGAAGCAGCCAGCATCCTTGGGGCCTACTTCTAGAAGTGGCCGGAGATACTCCACACTGTTTGGACCCCTGGAGCCTTGACATGTAAATAGACAACAGACCAGTGGGACTGTCAGGAGAGGGGAGGCTCACTCTGAATCGCACAGAAGTCCTGGACCAAAATTGGGTCTGTTTTCTTGATTTACAGGCATTGCTCATGGCCGCTAATCTAAGGATGGCTTGGAAGTCTGCGGAACTTGACCTTCAAAAACGTATGCTTTCAGGCTGGGATGGGTCAGATTGCTGCTACTCAGCAGGCCTCTCCCAGCAGCTGGGCAATCTCTGGATTCCCCCTGTCTCTCGGAAGGAGAGACACCCAGGCTTATTTCCTTAGAGGTGCAGAGTGCCACAGAGACAGTTGCATGCTTCCTGGTCACAGTCCAGCGGCTAGTGCTCAGGATTCCCAAGCAACACAAAACCGTGGCCGAAGGTCTGAGTGGCTAACTCAAAGGGCGAAGGTAACAGAGAACTGAGAAACCTGGATCCTGGTCACTCCCCTCCTCAGAATCCAACAAGGGTTTCCCTACCACTCATATCGTTCAAGGCTCCAGCAAGATGGCTCAGTAGGTAAAAACACTTGCCATGAAGCCTGATGACTTTAGTATAATCCCTGGGACCCACGAAGTGGAAGGAGAAAACAGACTCCTGCAAGTTGTCGGCACGCGCGCGCACACACACACACACACACACAGCATACTCACACATGTGCACACACACATGCACACACAAATACGTGTGATAAAAATCTGTGTTTTGTTTTAGTTCTTTTGAGACAGGGTCTCATGATCTACATCCTGGCTGTCCTGAAACTCACTCTGTAGCCCAGGCTGGCCTTGAATGTACCGAGATCCGCCTGCCTCTGCCTCCCGGGTGCTGGAATTAAAGGTGTGTACCAATACTCCTTCATAATTGTTTGTTAGGATGAAGCTATCCTCCACCGCATCCCTGAGACCTGGTTATCTCCCTTCCTGTCTCCTCTGTGCCTCTCCTGTCTGCCCAGCAACAGTGGCTTACCTGCTTTTCCTAAAAGACATGCCAGCTCTCAGCTTGGGATCCCCTCAGCTTACATGGAAGAACTCCTTTGCAAGTATAGACTGTTGGGTCTGGCAGGCTGAGTTCTAGTCCAGCCTTCATCAACAGCTGTGTGATGCCAAGCCATTGTCTAACCTCCCCAAAGCCTCCGTTTCCCTATCCCTAGAATGGGAATAACCATGTAATCTCATCAGGTCACAGAACTACCACCAATTCTGCTTGTGATGCATCTGGAAATAGAAGTTCCACCATTGGGCACTTGTTGAATTAAGCTGATCAGCGGGGCACCAGAAACGAGCCAGGATGCTTATGTTTATTGTATGCATGTGTACATGCTCGTGTGTGTGTGTGTGTGTGTGTGTGTGTGTGTGTGTGTGTGTGTCCATCCATGTATGTGCAAGGTATGAGTCTGGAGGCCAGAGCGCAATGCCAAACCTTCCTCTATCTGCTCTTCACATGAGTTTTAAGGACAGCGTGTCTCTTTGCTTGACCCAGAGCTCACTGATTTGGCTAGACTAGGTGGTCTGTGAGTTCCGGGGATCTTCCTGTCTCGGTCTCCGGCGCTGTGGTTCCTGACACATGCCACAGTGCCTGGCTTTTAATGGGCGTGACAGAGACCTGAACTCAGGTGCTCACTGCTCGCAAGGCAAGCGCTCTACCCACGAAACCGTCTCCCCAGCATCTTGGGATCCCTAGAGGTCTTAATCAAGAAGCAGTTCAGAAACAAGATCCCATCCAGGGGACCATGTCTCTGGGCTCACGTGCTGTGACCCTGAAATATTCCCAGGCTCCCTGGATCTGCGCATGGAAGTACTCAGAGAAACCACGTCACCCGTCTGGCCAGGTGGTATAGGACCCCTTGCCATGTCAGGGTCGGGTGCTGGCCCACAGGGAATAACTGGTTGCGGCCAGCTGCAGGCTCAGGATAGACTTGTGGCAAGTGTCCAAAGCCAAGACAGCAGCGACACCACTCATATGTCAGAGGGCCCTGGCCTCTCAAGGATAAGGGTTGCTAAGAATAGACCTAAGGAGAAACCCGGAAACTGTTGCAATATAATCTCTGAGACCTCCCAATGTAAACTTTCTGTAACTGCTCTGGACACGGAGAGGCCCCGGGGAAGAGGTCAGGAGGGAAGGGTTCCAAGAAGCGTCTTCACAGCCATCTCAGCTGATATTTACGTGGCTGGGATAATCACACGCTCTGTCAATTACAGTGCCAGCTCTGGTAAGGAGCACGCATCCTTCCAAACCAGGGCCAAGTCCGGGACTAACCAGGGCTTTTTCAAGGCTCTGGGGAGGAATGCTGTCATTGACCACATGGAAATGGGAGTCTGCTTCCTGGAGAGCCTGGGCATGGAGAAGGCAGTGGAGTCTTAGGAAGGGACTGTAATTTACATCTCAATTTATGCTGAGCTTAGGGTCTCTGCCAGTGTTCTGGTCATGCTGAGTCCAGGCTGCAGAGCGGCTGTTTGAGGCAATGTATTATTATGGTGTATACTTTAATATGTTATACTAGTATTATATATTATTTATGGAATATGAATTATTATGTAACATGTATTATAAAGAGTATGAACAAGCAAATATGTTTGAGACAGGATCTATGTTGCTCAGGCTGGCCCTGAACTCCTGAGCTCTAGGGATCCTCCTGTCTCAGCCTCCTGAGTAGCTGGGATGGTAGGCTTCCCAATCCCTGACTTACACTAATCTTTTCTGTTAAGTTATTTATCTTTTCTGATCTGGTCTGAGTAAAGCTATTTGTTAAGAACAGTTCCTGCAAATGCTACCTAACTCACCTTTTGTCTTTGAATTGCTCACCTAGAATTGTCGTGTTTAGATAGACAAACTTTCCCTGTGGCTTTTGGGTTTTCTGTCATGTTCAAAGAGGCCTTCTTACTGGGAATTATTTTGCTCATACAGTTTATGGTTTCATATTTGACATCTTAGTATTTTGTTGTTATTCTTTTATTTTTTTTTGAGTTGGTTTCCTGACACAGGGTCTCGTGTAGCTCAGGCTGCCTCAAATCAACTATATAGGCTGGCCTTGAACTCCTGATCCTCTGGCCTCCATCACCCAAGTGCTAATATTATAGATGTGCACCACCATGCCCAGATTGCCTCAGAATATCTTCTGCACTGACAATCTGTCTTGATAGATCTGGTAGGATAGAGATTCACTATAAAGACAGAATCAGGGGCTGGGGAGGTGGTTCAGGTGGTAAAGCCTTGGCTTCAGACAACTGATGACCTGAATTTGATCCCTGGAGCACATGGAAAAATGGAAAGAGAGAGGGGACTCTGTGAAGTTGTCCCCTGATCTCCGCGATGTGCATCATGGCAGGCATGCCCCCCCCTCACACACACACACACACACACACACACACACACACACACACACTACACACATACAGAACCAAACTTTCCATTTGCCTTTTCCCACAGGACCTGTCTCATGCCTTAACACCCATTTCAGAACAATCCACCTTTCTCTTTCTACTGTTAAATGACACTTTTATCACAAATCAGATTCCCATGGGCATTTGGTTTTGTTTCTTTTCTAGCCACTTGTCTCAGCTGTCCTGTTCTTTTTCCTAACAGTCATGAGCTTACGGTTTTTTGTTTGTTTGTTTGTTTTTCCTGACTGAACTTCAGCATTTGATTGGACAACCAGCATTCACCAGGGACAGGCACACATTACATTTACGGATAGAGGATCTATATGTGGGAAGGGTAAGTGAGCTACATCCACCCATCCCTGAAATTTATCTTGCTCTGAGGCATCTCCCCTCCCTGGCAACACCTGCCCCTCCTCCTCCTGGGGAGGGCACCGCCATGAACTGTGTGACTCAGAAGTGTGGGGTGTCCAAAACTCCTTTGCTTTTCTGAAATTCGTTTTGGTCATCACCAAAATCCACCATGTCCATATCCAATGGTGTGTGCAGGTATGTGTGTCTATGTGTATGTAGACAGATAGATAGATGGATGGGTGGATGGATAGATAGGTAGGTAGATAGGTAGGTAGGTAGATAGATGAATGAATGGATGGATGGGTGGGTGGATAGGTAGGTAGATAGATGGAAGGATGGATAGATAGGTAAATAGATAGATGGATGGGTGGATGGATAGATAGATGGATGGATGGATGGATGGATGGATGGATGGATGGATGGATGGATAGATGGATGGATGGATGGATGAATGGGTGAATGGATGGATAGATAGGTAGGTAGATAGGTAGATAGATGGATGGGTAGATAGATAGATAGATAGATAGATAGATAGATAGATAGATAGATAGATAGACAGACAGAGATATAGCCTGGACCAGGGCATTTAAACAGCACTCACCTGTCACTTCCATTCAATGTGCTCCCACTGAGCACAGGGAGAGGCTACCTCTGTATGCTGTGTATGTGTGTACTATTGTGTCCCTCATCCACCTAACACAACCCGAGGGCCCCCACGGCCTTGGGATACAGTTCCTGAACATCTTGTCCTTCAAGCAAAGCCCTCGCCTTGTCCTTGCTTTCCCATTCAGTCCTTTTTCTGGGTTCTTCTCTCAGCTCAGGAGCTTGACACCCCGCCTGACTCTCCTTCCCGGGGTGGACTCTGCAAGACCTTGAACGTTGTTCAGTTGTCCCTTCCCCTGAACCCATCCCTTCCTGGACTGGCCTGAGCCCAGAGGTTCCCTTCCTCTCTGTCCCTACTTACTCCCTGCCACAGCAGCACCCGTTATCTGTGCTGTCATGGCCAATGAGACTGCTATCACGGGCCTGGAGGGCAAGCAGTCAAAATCCCATCATCTATCCAAAACCTGGCGGGATCTAGGTTCCTGACAGACACTCAGCGGGTGTGTCTACTGGTGTGGGCAGCTCTTTGTGGGTGTGGGTGGGAGCTCAGCTCCTTCCTACTGTCCCCAAAAAGCAGCTGGGGAGCCCATTGGAGGGGATAGGACCCTTGACATGCAGTCATCCCTAGCTTGGCCATGACCTGCCGAGTATCTTGGGGTCTGGCCTCCCACTCTGTCTCATAGGACTTCCATGAGGACTCCCAGACACTAGGTTCCAGCTCCTTGTGCTGTTGAAATGGGAGTCATCATTCTCCAAGGGCCTGGAGAATGGAGAAAAGGGCCTCCTTTTGCTTAGACTATTGATCAGGCTCCAGCAGAGTGGGCAGGTGGATCTCTGAGTCTGAGGCCAGTCTGGTCTACAGAGTGAGTTCCAGGACAACCAGGGCCACACAGAGAAACCTTGTCTCAAAAAAACAAAAAAACAAAACAAAGCAAAACAAACAAAAGGCAAGGCTGGTTCTGACGAGCAATATTATTCTGGGCCTTTCCTGACAGGGTGGAAAGCCACATGTCCCCATGTCTCCAGCTGCCACCTAAGACTTGCCTACTTGGCTTTTGTCTGCTTGTCTCCTGCTCCCATAGCCTGGTGCAGCAGGGGCAGCTAAGGGGTAGCTTGGTGTCTGGAAAGGACTCAGTCAGTGTGGTTTGGCCTTCTGGCTGATGATCAGTGGCCACTGTCAGAGGACTCTGGGCATGGTCAGGACACCATGTGTCACAGATCCAATGCAGGCACCCACAAGGACCGTCATCTTCCCCTCAAGGTGAAGATCCTTTATATACAGCGACACTTGGAGCCAGAAGGGGCTGCTGGGACAAAATTGCACTTATCACTTACGAGCCTGGTAATTGGCATGGGCATGAGGTTCTCGGGTTTCTCCTGTGATGTGTTGGGGTGTATGTGTGGGGGGGAACACCTCCTGCCTGTTCTGGAGGCTTAGCGTGTGATTAGTGCCCATCACTAATCATGCTCCTCTACTCCAGTGGGTTGCAACCCTTTTGGGGGATCGCATCCCAGATATCCTGCATATCAGATATTTGCATTCCTATCCATAACAGTAGCAAAATTACAGTTACGAAGTAGCAACTATGAAGTATCAATGAAATAATGCTATGGTTGGGGTCACTACAGCATGAGGAACTGTATGAAAGGGTCGCAGCGTTAGGAAGGTTGAGAACCGCTGGTCTTCCCACTACCCCGCTCTCTCTCACTGTGTTCCCTGTACCCTCTGCTCCTTATCAGATGACAGGTTCCTTATGGTCCTCATCAGGGAAAGGGAGGCCCACGACCACACAGGACCCTGGCCAAACCCCTTCTCCTCTATGGGCCTGTTTCCTCTTCAGAGAGGCTGTGTTAGACTGGGCTGAACTCCTGCCTCCTCCCTGACGCTGGTTCCATTGAAGCTGTGTGAGTGGGTCTTGGGGTCCCACTCCTCCTCCTCCTCCTACCCATAGCTGTGTTATCTTGCTTGAATCCATCACCTGCACGCCAGGAAGTTCCTAAGCAAGCATGTCAGAGGGAAGCCGGGAGGTGCTAGTTACCTCCCGGGACCCAGTACTGACCGCGAGGAGGCGGCTTGGGAGTGTGGAAGGTGGGTTGGGGCCCCATTAGAACCAGGAGTGGGTGCCGGGGCCAGTGGACCTGGACTGTGTCATCTGCTCCTGGTTTCAGGAAGTGGAGATTAGTTCCAAAGAAAGCCGGGACACCCACTCAGGGCAGCCAGTGCTTTTCTGCTTTTCCCTCATGTAAACAACAGCAACCACCTCTCCTGCCTCCCAGCTGCTGGAGTTTTGTGGCGAGAGGCTAGGCCCTGGAGCCCTCCCAAGAGGCAGTAATTTAGGTATATTTAGTCAGGCCACTTTCTTTAACATCAACAGCGATGCTTGAAGACCAGCAGGGCTGACCACACGGCATGGGATGGCCACACCCAGAGGCCTGCGCTGCCGAGGCTCACCCTTCTCCCCCCAAAATCTCTTTTCATTAGCTCTCCCGACCTCCGCACCCCGCAAAAGAACAGCAACAACTTACAGGGGGACCTCGAGGCCCGACGATGGACATCCCCGCATCTCCAGGGGCACCCTGTAGGGAGACAGAGGGTGTGTGGAAGGGTAGACAGGGAGGAGAGTAGTGGGAAAAGGATGCAAAAAGGGGATGAGGGAGCTGCATTTGGGAGAGGGGATGCCAACCCCATAGACCAAAGGGAGGCCAGAGATCAGTTGGAAACGAGGAGCCCAAAGACGATGATTAGAACATCCCAGAGGAGCTGAGAAGGGCAGTAGGAAGCAATGGAGAGATGTGGGTGGGAGGGGACAATGGGTTCAGGAAGGGCAGACAGCAGGATCCATGACATCCGGGGCAGGAGACACGGGGTAAGGTGGTTCAGTGCTGATATTCCACCCATTTCACCTGGCAGCACACTCCATGATTGTTAAACAGGAATTATGAGAACAGAGGGTCAAGACATACAATACCCTGACTCTACAGGCCCAGCAGCCTTGAGTCCAAAGGCTGGCTGTCCCAGGGAATGCCACAGAAGGATGAAGGCTGTGTGTGCCCAGTGCTGAGCCCCTACAGCATGTCCCGGAGCTCCTTGGCTGGGAGCCCTGGGTGCCATCACAGGTGGTTGAGCCAGCTGGATAAATACAGGGTGTGTATGTGTAGGGGTCCCCACCAGGAGTCCATAGCAAAGGCAGGAGGGCAAGGAAAAAGCCCGGAGCCCTGAGTTAAAGTCATGGCAGTTTGCCGAGCTCACACAATCCCCCTGAGTACTGGAGCTTGGAATGTTCTGCAGCCCTTGTGGGGAAGAGTCCGAAATGCATTTTGTTAAATGTCCTACCTCACAAACAGGTAGCAGTGATCTCAAGCCAGTAACTGTAGCACTGGTGGACATGGCTTAGGGCAAAATGCATGCTTTGAAGGGAAACCCCGCTCCTTAGCAGCTGTGTGATTTGGGACAAGCTAATTTCTCTGTTCATTTCCTAAACTATGGCAGAGAAAACAGCACTTAGCATATAGGCGGGATATGGACATTTCATGGGATAATACTGGAAAGTTTAAAAGCACCATGTGGTCTGAGGAAGGGGCTGTGTCTGTCTCTGCTTGGCAGTTTCACCCCCTGATAGGATGGGATCAATAGTTTTGTTCCATTTGGAAGACCGCCCAGCCCTATGGCCAGTAGCCTCTCAGTCTTGGAGTCACAGCATCCAGGGCTCCTCTCCAGCTCTGTCACCTTCTAGCCATGTGGCCATGAGCACGCAACTTTTCTTCTCTGTGCCTAGTGCACAGAGAAATAGTAAAGTTTCCAGAAGGGCTGTCAGCCTTAGCTGGGCGGATAGAAACAAGAACACTTAACAGCATGCGGAGCCTGGAGTGTGCTGGACGCCAGGAGCAACTATTACTGTTAGCATTTGTTGTTACTTTGGGGATAGGATACTCTGTTGCAGAAACAGTGTGTGTGTGTGGGGGGGGGGAGTCTCATGCCTGTAATCCCAGCTCTCAGCAGGCAGGGGCACCAGGTAGGAAGACCATTATCCATTATAAGTTTTCAGGTCAGCTTGGGCTATATGGTGAGTTCTAGCCTAGCCTGGGCTACAAGTCAAACCCTGTCTTAAAAGGGGGTGGGGGAGGCAGAACAAAAAAAAGCCCCACAATACTGACGTGTCCAGTGTCTGCAAGGACGGAAGAGAAGCTGAGGACCAGGAAGCCCAGGTTCTAGTCCCTGGTCACGTTGCTGCTGGGGACATTGGACAAACCTCAGTCTTTCCCTGGATCTTACTTTCTCCTCTGATTGGATAGATTATGGTCTGAAATCTTCAGAACCCACCAGGCTGCTATTTCAGAATGTCCTACCCCCATCCCCCAGGCCCCCCCACCCCTACCCCCACTATCCAGAGACTTCTGGCTTCCCAGGCAGGGTGGGGGGTTCTTTCTGTGACCCTGGGGTCCCCCTGGGCAGTCCCAGCTACACAACAATGACAATCCAGTCTCCTTTCCTTGAGGGTGGGTGACAGCCCACAGCTAGGAATCAGAGCAATGGGATCCATCCGTGGTTAAGGCAAATAGGGGCAGACTCACTGAACTGGGACAGCTGGAGCCTTGCCCAGGAATCCCGGGGCTCCCAGGGCTCCACACCAGGGTGTGGAGGATGTCAGCCTCAGAGCCTCCCAGTAAGACACAAGGCTGGGATAAAGGTGAAGGGGGCAGCAAGGACTCACCTTCTCTCCTGGTTGACCTTTGACACCCTGGGCAGGCCGCCCCACGAAACACAGGGCAAGGGGTAGAGACGGGGGGGGCAGGGAGGGGGAGAGAAAAAAAGATGAGAGACAGACATGGGCACAAGAATCCGTGTTAATGGCACAGCAACTGAAAAAAAAATCACTGTGAAATAAGAAACACCGCACAACAGAACACAGATGCAGACATGCGACGGCCCTCTCAGCCAGCAAGCACGGCCAGCTGCTCTACATCACGAGGAGAGAAACAGGGGACCCTGTCCAAGTGCTGTGTGCACGCGTGAGCGAGCGAGCGAGCGAGCGAGCGAGCGAGTGAGTGAGCGAGTGTGACCCAGGCACAGGGACAGAGAGAAAGAGAGGCCCAACCCAGTCAGAAAATCTCCCTGGGTAGCCCAGGTCCAATGGGCTATGGCCAGGGCTGGGAAGAAGTTCCCAAGGCCTGTGATCATGGACCCCAGGAGCTCTGAAGGTCCCCTGGAGCACCAAGTACAGAGCCCTGCTGCATTTACTCTGTACTTACAGAAGTAAGACTGGAGCCCTTAGGGCTACACCTGCCAGGTAGAGGGAAAGCTAGAGACATGCGGTGGCGGGGTGGGGGTGGGGGTGGGGAGAGGGGTAGGGAGGGGCAGAAGGTGGCTACCGGGCCTGAGTGTCTCAGGCCTGTAATCCCAACCACCTGGAGACTGAAGCAGGAAAGAATACAAATTCAAGGCCTGCCTGAACTAGAGAGTGAGTTCAAGGCCAGCTAGGGACAACTTTGTGAGATCCTGTCTCAAAGATAAAGTCTAAAGAGGGCAGAGGATTGAACTCAGTAGTAGGATGGATGCTTGCCTCATAAGCTCAAAGCCCTACATTCAATCACCAGTACTACCAAAAAAAATAATAATAATAATAATGGCAGCATTGGTAGGAAGCAGGAGACACAAATTCTGTGAGGATGGAGGGTGAGTCTGTAGACAAAAAAAGCTGAATACCCAGCCAGAGGTCCCTTGTCATCACAGTGGCCAATGGAGAGGCAGCTTCTGTCTACCCAGCTCCAAACAGGCCAGTGGCGCCACTTCTGGTGAAGTACGGGAATGACCCAGGAATTTCACACCTACTGGTCACTGGACACTTCAGTCCTTATCAAGTGGCTTATGCCAGGACCCCTAGTGAGCAGCCAAATGGGCCATCCTACATTTAAAATAGCACCAGCAGTGAGGAGCTCCAAAGTGGCTGGAAAGCTTTGCCCAGGAGGTGGGAGGCTTCCGGTGGCTCCCCTACCTCTTCCCATTGCCACCACACAGGAAGCGCTGGTGTGTGTGTGTGGGGGGGGGGGGGGGGACAAGAAGGAGTAGCCTAGCCGGAAGTACATTTTGCGCTCAGCGGGACTTCCTGCAGGCCAGCTGCTGCACCCAAGGGGGAAAGCTCCTAACACTTACCTAACTGACTTTGTGCGCTTCCTGGGTAGATTTTACCCATCAAATGAGATCTTTAAGGCTGTGTTTCACTTCGGTGGACTCAATACAATGACTTGCGGAAGGATGGAAGGGTAATGTCTCATCTCTGGATGGGATCCGGTAACAGCACATACAGACCCACTGTCCAATGGGTAGACTGAGGAAGCAGAACCACAGGGCAGGCACAATGCCCAGTGTCCTGGTTTAGAATCAGTGTGAGGGCTCCATGGAGGGGGCCAGGACTTCCACACTCCACTGGTCTTGGCAGCCTTATGATACTAAAGAATGGCACAACGCTGTTTGTACACACTGACTGTTTTTCCACTCTCCAAGGTACCAAGCCTTGTTGAGTGTGTGTGTGTGTGTGTGTGTGTGTGTGTGTGTGTGTGTGTGTGTGTGTGTGTTGGAGGGGTGTGAGGGAGCAGTGGGCAAGAGCTTTGAAGTTGCTGAGGTCCCCATGAGATATCACTCTGGGGAACCTTATGCTAAGAACCTGGTAAATGTTGGGCAAAATGACATCAACTAATGCGACCCCCAGCACCATGGAGATGGCCTCACAGCTCGGGCTGCATAGAGCACCTGTACTGAACTCTAGAATGTTCCAGGCCTCTGAGGCATCAGTTTAAGGCCAGCCCTTCCTTTCAGCTGTGATATTATGAGTGGACTGCCAGGATCAAGGGCCCAAATTTCGAACCTGGTTGCCTGCATTCAAGTACCTGCTTACTCACTTCCTAGTGCAGAATCTTGAGATCTTTACCTTCCAACCCTTGGCTCTCTTATCTGGAGTTCTGGGGCTGGGATGGAAATTGTGCCTCTAAGCATGCAGTTCTTTCGAGGACTGAATGAGCTGATACGTGTGAAGGCTCTTCGGTCTGGTTCAACAGCCAGTGTGATGTCAGTACTAGCAAGGGTGGCCTAAGCGTGGGGTGCCCCAACTCCATGCTTGCCTCCAGCCATGCAAATTCGCACACAGAGATGTCACAGTCATGCTTAAGGCCAATCCCGTCACAGAGACGAGAGTCACAGGCAAAGGCAGCATGTGGCAGTGGGTGCATGCTGGAGGTGAAGGCTGATGCTGGTGGGTAGTCAACAGTCAGATGAGGAGGGCAGCCCTGACTATATCCATGTCCTGGCTACATCCTAATGCGGGCATGCCCTTTGCCCGCTCAGGCTTCTGGGTTTCTAGGCCCTGGAGACCTTCATCCTGAGGCTGACAGGACAATCCAGGGGCCAGGGATTCAAGGCCTGGATTCAGCCCTTCTCACGTCTTCTGACCAACCACTCTCATGTCCCCTGAATGCTTTCCTCACTTTTCACAAAGGAAACAGGAACTGTATTCACCCTTATGAGGACCGAGAGGGACTCCCTGGTACCAAGCCCTGTCTTCACTACTTCTGAGTGTAGAGCGCCCATCCACAGAGGACGCTTGTGGGAGACAGTGGCAGCTCTGGGGATGGTTGCAGGGGCAGCTGGTGCCTTGGGAGTACTCAGCTCTCACTCCATCCCGCCCTGTGTGTTCAGCGACCTTCTTGTATTTTTTCCTCTGCTGTCCAGTGTTCTGCAGAATACCAAGTCCCTGAGTCTCCAAGGACATATTCCAACAAGCCCTCAGTAGGTGTCGGAAACCCTGGTTGGCATTGGGACCTTAAGTACTACGGCCCAGTGAGAAATTAAAAGCAATGGTTTGTATTAAATAGAACAAGTGTAACAATATTTCCTAAGAGGTTTGGGCAGATGTGGTCTCTCTTGAAATACTGGACTCTAGGAACTGAAGTTGTGTGTTGCAGATGAACCACAAGATGCTGTTTTTTTTTTAACAGACTGGAGACTGGAATAAAATATCTTCCCCTCTCCTTCCTTGGCCTTGCTGAAGTTGCCCTGGGCAGCATTTCACTATGCATGGAGGACAAGCCAGCATGGAGAAGCAAGCAATGGCCACCCTGCAAGCAGGGGCATGTGGGCCAACTCACCACACGTCCAGGCATCCCAATGGCACCCTTGTTCCCCTGATGAAGGAGGTGGAAACAGTCAATGTGGCTGCCACCCGCCAGAGAGTCCCATGCCCTGTGCAGCCCTGGCTTGGAGGCACAGCTAGGCAGCTTTGTTTGGGGCAGCTGGAGCAACATCTGGAGTGGCACCAAGGGTCATGTGGATGTCGTGGATGAACTACCCAGGAGACCTCACTAACCAGTGTCGGGACCTCCATGCCTGGATGGAGCCAGACTTCTCATCTCTCACCTCTGGTTTTCTGCACTCAAGCATGGTGCTACAGAATAAAGGTTACAGCCAGGGAAGGTCATCAGCCTGGGCCTCAGTGTCCCTAGGTGTCTCCAAGGCCCTTTCTCCCTTAGGCTTGTGTTGTGGCAGCCCATCAGTGATAGCCAAAATGGGCCTAGGAGTCGTCATCTTTGACTTGAAGACACAGAGCAAGGGCGAATGACTTCCCTATGTCTGTCTGCCAGAGCTGGGGCGGCGGGGGTGGGGTGGGGGGGGGAGGAAGCAACGCCCATGCTCCCCAGCTTCTCCTTCTCCTGCTCTGGTGTCATACCCTGCCCCCTCTTCTCGCAGGCTGCTCCAGCATGTGCATTCACATGCTTTGTTTTGTAGCCAGGGTTACATCTTCTGGCTCTGGAAATCTGCTTACAAAGTTTCATGCGTCCCCCTTTCAGTAGAAAATCTTTTTTTGTAATCATAGGCGCGCAGACATCATAAAAATCTGGGGTGGGGCCTCAAAGGATGAGGAGCAACAGGGTATAGAAGATGATGTCCAGGCTCCTGGACAGGAGAAGATCACCCTGAAATTTCCCTAGGGCTGTGTGTGTGTGTGTTGGGGGAGGGAGACATTCTGAGGTGACTCTGGATCTGTTGATCCCTAAGAGGCAACCACAGAGGCAAAATGCCTCAAGGGACAAGCGGCATCCCAAGACATATGTGGGACACACAAGAAAGACCGTCAGTTCCTGGTAGGCTTACATTGTCAAGATCAAGGGCATCTATGAGCAAAGCATTCTGCCTTTACTAAGAATGGCACAGTGCTGGTTGTAAGCACCAACTGTTTCCCCATCCTCCCTAAGCACCAGCCTTATTGAGTGGGAGATGGGGGGGTGACAGCTTTGAGGCTGCTGAGGTCCCTGTGAGATGCTCCTCCTGCCTTATACCAAGAACCTGACATTTGGTGAATGCTGGGCAAAAAGGCATGGGCTAAATAAAGCGGAAGCCCACAGCACCACGGTTCTGTACGCATGTTGACACTTCCTGTCCTTTATATCCTAATAAAGGGCCAGCACAGGTGCACCTGCTAGCAGGTCACCTCATGGCCCTTCGCATGGAAGGTCAGACCCTCAACCAGCAGATCTGCCCCTCCCCCCAGGCCACGCCAGGCCCGTGCCTGTTGTCTGCTCTGACAGACGACGACCTCACAGTCCATTCACCATTCAAAAGCTTGGACTTTTGAATGATATTCCAGGGTGTGTGTGGGTCTTGGATTATTTTTCCTTTCTTTTTGGAAAATAATGTTCTTTGCAGCCCTGGCCATAAAATGCTTGGGTTAGGGACAAGCATGGGAAGGCCAGTGGCTGGAAATTCGGCAGTGTCCCTGCTCTTCGGATCGACCCCTAAATGCCTTTTAAAGGTGGATGTTGTAAGAGGGAAAAAAAGCCCATCCACATTCCTCTCAGTCACCTGACCATCCCCCTGCTTAGATTTCACTGGACTGAGTCACTTGCAGCCCTGGGAGCATCTCAGCACTTGACTAACAAAGTTACTGGCCACAGATTCTAGAGGCTGTTGAATTAGTCAAAAGGCTATAGTAGAATTCATATCCAGAAGGTTCTAGAATCCAATGGAAGTGGCCTTTAGCAAAGGGAGACTGGGAAGACAGGTATCAAAGGTACCCCTGTAAGCCCTCCTCCCCTGCATCCCTTCCATACTCTGCCTAGACGCCTCCTCCCTGACCTGCCATACTCCAAACCCATCCATGCCTTTCCTTAACCCCCTAGACGGCTACAGCATCTTGTCTGAGCCACTCCCTGCTCCATGGCCCACAGCATCCATATCCAGTCCTCATCTCATTTACCTAAGCAGACAAATCTCTTAGGAGACGTTAAAGATGGCGCTCCAATAAGTGTCATTCGTGGGCCACAAGGAAGCACAGTGCTCAGCGGGGGTGTGATAATCCACTAACAATGCGCTATTGGGAAACTGGGGCGGGTTGACCAATGCACGCCGCCTCCTGAGCCTGATCCTTTGTCTTCCCGTCACTGACATGGATTTGGGAATACCCACTTCTCCGAGCTGATACTGTTTTTCTCTGAGTTATCAGGCGATTGCGGCTGGGGATGCTCAGAATGCCCGGGACCTATTAAAGCGCCAGGAAGTGATGGCTAGTCACATGACTTCTACCCACTGTTGTCCAAAGTCTCTGTGGTTACTCAGCCTTCTTGTGGCAACTGGGAAGGAACAAAGGTTTGGAGTCCACCTTTCACCAGAGGGCCGCAGGAAGACTAGAACAGTAATTTGAATGTCATCTACCATGAAGGAGGGTGGGAATGAGCCAGGGGCTGGCCACTTGTTCCAGTCCCCCATTATGAAACTATCTATCTTGACAACAGCTCCTGTGTTGGGAGGGTCTGCTGCTGGGCCTGCCTGCTAACACCTCAGGAGGGTTGCCAAGACTTGTAGCCATAGGCCCCAGGTATTCTCCAGTGTACCAAAGTAGAGGGTATGGGTGTGGTTTTGCCCTCAGCCACAGATTAAAGACTCCAGAGGGAGGCCACACTCAGAGAACTGTGAGGAGAACTTGCCCCCCAAGCCAGCCAGTCAAGGGACTGAGAAAGACTGAGTGACAGCTCTGGAGTGTGGCTCAGTGCGAGTATGCTTGAAGTATGCCAGGACCCCGGGCTCTATCCCCAGCGCCCACATGAAAAGGAGGCAGAGAGAGAGAAGAAATAAGTTACTTACTGGGAGTCCAGGTCTTCCAGTGGGGCCCTGAAATAAAGAGGTGGAGAGTGAACTTGACACAGGTCAGAATTATGAATAGTTGATGGGGTAACATTGCCCCAATCAGCTGTGACCCCAGAGGAGTCCCTTGTACTCTAGGGGCTTTTTAGTTTGTTATCAAGACAGGGCTGGGGCTTCATTTCTGTCATCCATCCATCCATCCACAAACCCAAATAACCAGGACCTCCTCCTATATGCCAGGCCCAGGACTAGGACAGCAAACAGAAAGATGATCCGTCCCTTCCCGTGACTCAAGGGTCACTGGGGTTTTGCCTCTCACTAGCACGCCGCTGCCTCTGAACCCTTCTGTCTGGCTCCTTGTGGTACTCTGGGCACCATTTCTGCCCACTGGCCCTGACCAGGAAAGGGTAGGGATGAGAGGTAATCAGGACTCCCTGTTCCCTGTTCCACCACACAGGAGAAGCTACAGGTAGGGCAGAGCCTGCCATCTGCTCTGATGCCCCTGGTGCACGGGCCACATCTATGCCAATGGCGTGGGGCCAGAGAGGGGGGAAAACCCACAGAGGATCATGAGGGAGACAGTGGGACTTCTTTGATGCGTGAGACCACATCAGATCACCAACTCCGGGATGGGTCGGCACTGGGGTGGGGGTGGGGGCTCTTCAGCCTTCCTGCTTCCCGGGACCCAAAGGACAAAAGTCTCCACAATGTGAAGAAGAGAACACCAGCTGGCACCTGGGAGGCTGAGGCAGGAAGATGATGAAGTCTAGGCCAGCATGGACCACAGAGTAAGACTCTGTCTCAAAATAAGTAAATATATAAATAAATAGAAATTATCCAAAAACATCCTATCAATTATACTTTTAATCATAGCAATACATACAAGAAATCTCTGAGAAACCCACAAAATCCAGAGAGTGGCTGGACCCTGACCTCAGATAGGTTTGACCCAAAAGGTACTGTACTATACTGATAGCTGCCTTCTGCCAAGAGGGGACAGATTCCTGAGATGCTCTCAGGAGCTGAACCTGCGTGGAGGAGTAGGAGTGATATTGTGAAAAGGGCCATTCTACCAAAAGCAGTCTATAGATCCAATGCAATCCCAACCAAAACACCAATACAGTTCTTCCCAGAAATTGAAAAATCAGTCTTCAACTTTATGTAGAAACGCACATACACACACACAAAACCCAAACAAACAAACCAACCAAGCAGGGTAGCTAAAACAATCCTGAACAATAGGAGAGCTGCAGGAGGCTCACCATCCTAGACTCAGGTTGTGCTGCAGAACTACAGAAATAAAACCAGCATGGGACTGACATGAAGGCAGACATGTCGACAATGGAGTTGAGTTGATCAATGGAACTGAACTGAAAACCCAGACACAATGTCACATACCTATGGACACTTGATTTTTTGACAAAGAAGTAAAAAGTAACCATTGGGGAAGACAGCCTCTTCAACAAATGATGCCAGTCAAACTGAATGACTGCATGTAGAAGAATGAAAATAGATCTGTATCTCTCACCCTGCACAAAACTCAACTCCAAATGCATCAAGGGTTTCAAAGGAAGACCAGCTACCCTGAATCTGATATAAGACTAAGATCAACAGTTAATGAATGGGACCTAAAAAGCTGAAAAGTTTCTATATGGCAAAGGACACTGTCATTCGGGCAAAGCGACAGCCAACAGAGTGGGAAGAGATCTTTAACAACTGTACATCTGATAGAAGGTTAGTATCTGAAATACATAAAGAACAACAACAACAAAAACCCTGAACATCAGGAAACAACCCAATTTAAAAAACGAGTTGTAGATCTAAACAGAGTTCTCAAAAGATAAAACACAAATGGCTGGGAAACACTTAGGGAAATGTTCAACGTCCTTAGCCATCATGGAAATACAAATTAAAACTACTTTGAGATTTCATCTTACTCCAGTAAGAATGGCCAAGATCAATAAATGAGAGCTCATGCTGGTGAGGATGTGGGGTAAGGGGAACACTCATCCATTGCTGGTGGGAGTGCAAACTTGTACAGTCACTATGGAAAACAGTGTGACAGTTCCTTGGGAAGTGGAAATTAGTCTATCTGAAGATCCAGCTCTACCACTCTTGGGTATACACCCAAAGGACTCTGTATCCTACGATAGAGACACTTGCTCATCCATGTTCACTGCTGCTCTATTCATAATACCCAGAAACTGGAAACAGCCTAGCCATCCATCAACTGATGAATGGATAATGAAAATGTGGTATGCTCACACAATGGAATATGATTCAGCTGTTAAGAAAAATGAAATCATCAAAGTCACAGGTAAATAAATGAAACAAGGAAAAATCATCCCGAGTGAGGTCACCCAGATCTCAAAAGACAAATATTGTATGTTTTCTATTATATGTGGATGTTAGCTTTTAAGTTTCCAGTGTGTTCATTTTAATCCGAAAAACCACAGAGGTTAGGTACCTAGTGAGGAACCAGGGGGGAGGAACATCAAGGAAGGGAAAACAGAATGCAGTGTTATGAGGGGATAGAGAGGAAACTAGGATAGGAGGATTCAGTAGGGAGGGGGATGGGAGGACAGGGTAAAGGCGGGATATGGGGAGTAGCAGCTCACACTAAAGGCCATTTGAAAATGATATGGAAGCCTACTACTGTAGTCGCTCCTTAAAATAGAAACACACACGAAAAGAAGGTAAAGAGAGTCACCAAACAGGGGAGAAACTAGACTTCTTATGCCACCAAATAAAACCTCCAGTCTAGGAATGACTTATACATTATTGAGTTGTTGGCCAAAGGGGCCCCATGGGAATGCCCAGACATCACAAGCTATTGCCAAGGCTATCAGTTGCTCGCCCCAACCTGATGGTCAGGGCCTGTTGCCGAAGACAGCACCGACTTATGCCGGTGAACCCAGAGAAGTCAAGCTGGCGCCTCACTAGAACCTTCACCCTAGTGCCTAGCGTTCATGGTCCCGGAAGGTACTCTGCACATCACCAGAGGAGAAAGGTGAAGTCAATCCTGCTATAAACCCTGCCACCTACATCAGCGACCTGCCTGAAAGATACACTTGTGCAGTAGTGGCTCAAACACTGTGGGAGTAACCAACCACTTTTGGATTGGATTTAAGACCCACTCCATGAGTGGGAACACCTAACACTGCTCAGGTGGCCCCAAACCTGAGACTAGAGAGGTCATGGGCCTAGGGGAGAACCCACTACTATTATTCTGATAAAGGGATATAGCAATGAAATGGCATACTGCTACACCCATAGATCAGGGCCTTGCCCAACCCACATCAGAGAAGCTGCTTCTTGAAGTAGTTGGTGACTAACACAGAGACCCACAAGTGGACAGTCTGCATTGAGTGAGAGACTCTGGAGGACTCAGTCCTAAGTGGGGATGACTTCACTGAACCCCTCCCCTCAAGGCCTGGGAGTCTGTAGAGAAGAGAGGACAGAAAGAGCCAGAGGTAATGGATAGCTCCAAGGGAACAATGTCCCCCAGACACAACAGGACTGATGCGTGTGAACTCACAGAGACTGTGGCAGCACACACCGGACCTGCACAGGTTCAAGCCAGATGGGGTCCCAGGACTGAGGCGGGAAATAGACCCCCTAACGAAGATGCCATCTGCAACTGATACCCAATGGCAAAGGGAAGATCAGCTTTTCTCCAGTGGAGTATCACTCACTGGGTCTATCAATCACACTTTAGCACAGGCCCCATGCCCAGGAGTTCTTGGCCCACACAAAACAAACTCAAAGGCATTTTTGTGGATTTTGCTTTGTTTAGGCAGTTTTACTTTTTCCTCTTGTGGGTCTTTTGCTTGTTTGATTTTCGTGTTTGTGGGTTTTTTGTATGTGTTTCTTGCTTGTCTTTGTTTCTTGTTTGTTTTTGAAAGTGAGTGAGAGAGAAAAGAATATAAATTCCGGTGGGGAGGGCAGTGGGGAGGATCGGGGGAGGAATTAGGGGAGGGGAAACACAAGATAAAGGGTATGAAAAAAAGCTTTTCAATTAAAAAAAAAAAATGAGCTGAGCCTGAGCCCTGGCCCACGGGGTGGGGCCCAGCACAGGTAGAGATCTTTCGGTAGCAGAGATAGAATCTTCTGGAATAGGAGCAAGAGCTGCATAGCCAGCCCACCTGTGCTCAGTCTTGGCTCTGCACTTACTACGTGAGTGATGAGGATGACCGGAAGTCCAAGGCGCCTTCCGTTTTCTCAGCTTGAAAACGGGAGAACCGAGTAATCGCCTGTCTTGATGATGAGATAAACTAGTGTAACACTGAACTCCGGGACTTGTATACAGCAAGTGCTAAGCAAATGCTAGCATGAGCCATTATTAGCCCCATTGTTAGGTGGGTGAGGCACAGGACCAGGAAAAGCCCCCCTGCACTGAGTGTCCAGTGCCTTCCTACCTAACTGTAGACTGAGTTTTCGAAAAAATAAAAAACCAAAAAAAACTGATTTCCCCTTTTGCATGGGCCAACAGGGAGCTCAAATCCCAGTTTTTCTGCCTCTCCTGTTCAGCTCTCCACCCCTGTTTCCTTACCCAGTTTGTTCCAGTTGACTTTCTATTGCTACAATAAATACCATGACCAAGGGGGAGGGTTCAGATGTCAGTCCATCGTGAAGTCAGGGCAGGAACTCAAGGCCTGCAGAGGGGCACGCTCCCTGGCTTGCTTCCCACGGCTTGCTCAGCTTGTCTCCTTATACAACCCAAGACCCCCTGCCCAAGGACAGCATCCTCCACAGTGGGCTGGGTCCTCTCCCGCACCAATCAAAAAAATAACTTGCCTCCAGGTCAGTCCGATGGAGGTATTTTTTTTTTTCAACTGAGGAGCCTCTCTCTTCCCACATGACCCTAGCTTGTGTCAAATGGACAAAAAACCCAACTAGTACATAGTTTTAAGCCCCTCTCTCCCGGAGTGAGGTGGGATAGAAATAAAGGAAATACATTAATCAATAGGAATTACAGAATTTTTTTTTTTTTTAAACAGAGGGTGCTGTATGCTCCTATAACTCAAATGATGAGAAAGGGGGGCAGCGGG